CTAAGAAACCCATAGAAATTAAAAATATATGTATATTTTATGATTTTTCCGTATTATTGAAAGTACAAACAACTGAAATGTGAAGCTAAAGTAATAAACATAAATTATTTTTAACAAAACTGCAAACCTTGAATGTACATAACTTTTTCAAATACAGTTCATGCTAACATAGGGTCCGCAGTTGTATATGGTTCGTGGATATTTGATTCATGATATATTTTTTTTGTCAGTTCTTCGTTGACATATACCACATCTCTTTCGTTTCTGGTATTGATTATTTAATTTTCTCTCTTTTATAAGTAAAAGATTCAGAATCGGAGTTATAGTTACTCTTCGGAGAAAAATCAATGTCTCGATGATCTTAATATCACTTAAGTCTCTATAAGTTCATCAAACCACTCAATTAATGCTTCCTCAAAATTAGCGTCCCCATGACGCACACTTTTTTGACTACCCACTATCCTAATAATGAAATATTCTTGGCGTGGTGGTGCCACACAAACCCCAATGAAACTTTACCCCCCGTTCGTTGGTAGGAACAATACTTGATAAAAACAAGTGCGCGTTTAACAGTTGCATATGGGTACCTTAACTTTAAGGTAAATGGCGCGGCGAGGCCTAAATATTAAACGTAAAAATTTAACAGAAGTTTAAATAATGCTTGGGGTCCGCTAGACCCCACCATGCCAGTTGCGGGTTAATTTAAGAAAAACTACTTTTATTTTTAACATAAAACTGAACATGTAACAATGCAAAACCATGCAAATGTCAACATACCTTAGTTTGTCAACCTATGATTGAATGCAATTTGTTGTGCTATCTACACTACCAAATAAACTATAACTTGATAAGGTAGTACACTTACCGTAGGTTAGTGTACCTAAAATATATTTTCGTAATTCAAAAGTTGTTCAACTTAGACAAAAGACTAAGGTTTAGGAAATATAAATTGACATTGACAAAATTATTAGTTGACAATTAATGTATGTTGGCCAGAGAGAACACTAATAACTAAAGTGAGAGACCGATCAACGTTAATTTTTGAAGACTGAGTTAGTGGCGCGGCCTTTGGCGTCTAACCCGAGCTATGAGCGCATTATCGATATAGTAGGTTGCATTCATACCTATATACTGGCGCCAAAAATTTAAAATTTGTATATTTGAACCGAATCTTAATCTTTCAAGTTTATAATAAGAAATCTTCGTAGTTTTTTTAGATTATTTTGTTGACAACGAAAATTTATTATTAGACTTTAAAGCATTAAAACCTATAAATAAAATACTGTGTACATAATAATTTATTTAACTCCAGACCCCTTGCCATACTCCAACTCAAGGCTGCAATATTCAGTATCTTTTTTATCTAACTTGGTTGGGAGTGAACAGGGAAGCACAGTTGGGAGCTCGCACAGAGTATCATTAGGTATCCCGTAGGTATTCAATGTTTTGATAGTCTTTATTCTATAACAAGAACCTAGCAGTTGAAGAAAATAATTTGTATTACTGGAAATAATACCAGGTATAATACCTTGTCGATCCATAGGTATCAGAAAAGAATGTGATGTTTTAATTTAAAAAAATTAAATTAGCAATGTACGATTATGTATTATATAGTAACGGTATGTTAAAATAATTACCGAGATAAAACTTACCTTTAAAGGAAACGTTTTGTCTGGGTCTCAACCACAAAACAAAAATTACAAAAATGCCGAATAAACGTGGAATCTGAAATAATCTTGAAATAATCAATAATGACAATAATCTTCTCTTCTGACAAGCTAAAAGAACAGGCACATTCAGTCAAAAACAATTTATTACTCCGATTTGCTCCGATTATCAACAGATTTTAGTTATCTCCTTCTAGAACTAAGAAATAGAAAAAGCTACTGACAATCTAATTAATCCTGTCAAATGTTTAACTTGCAAAGTTGAAAACTTCCTTTTTTGACCGCTTAAACGCTATGCGCGTCTGGGATGCGCGGTGACAAAATAAACTTGTCTACGAAATGCCCTATTCCACAAGCCCTCTCACTTTGGTTATTAGTTTCTCTCTGATGTTGGCATTTGCCTAATTTTGCAGTGTTACATGTTCAGTTTTAATTTAAAAATAATAGCAGTTTTTCTTATATTAGTTAAAATCAGCTGGGGCCCAAAATTTTTTAAATTTGGCATGTATTTTCAGCATACACCTTTAAAAAAATATTTAGGGACTTCGCTGTAAAATCAATGTGGGGGTCAATAACCGAATGAAACAAAACTATTTCAGTAAAGCTTGAAAATAAATATTTATAATTACTAAACCTTGGGAAGTATGGTTAATAAGAAACTTAAATATTTATTCTCATAACGTCATAAAGTATGAAACACAGTTTCTTGTTATTTGTGGTATTTTTATTCATCATTTTTTTATAAACAAGCATTTTTAAACCACCTACTGTTTATTTGTCCTTATTCATCATCACCCTGTATAATAGTTTACCGAATGAAACAAAACTATTTCAGTAAAGCTTGGAAATAAATATTTATAATTACTAAACCTTGGAAAGTATGGTTAATAAGAAACTTAAATATTTATTCTCATAACGTCATAAAGTATGAAACACAGTTTCTTATTATTTGTGGTATTTTTATTCATCATTTTTTTATGAAAAAGCATTTTTAAACCACCTACTCTTTATTTCTCCTTATTCATCATCACCCTGTATAATAGTTTACCGAATGAAACAAAACTATTTCAGTAAAGCTTGGAAGTAAATATTTATAATTACTAAACCTTGGGAAGCATGGTTAATAATAAACTTAAATATTTATTTTCATAACTTCATAAAGTATGAAAGACAGTTTCTTGTTATTTGTGGTATTTTTGTTCACCGTCTCTGATAATCCGTTAATATATCAGCAAATTAAAAAGAAGCTTTGTTTTAATTTTTAAATTTATATTTTTATAAAATCTGCATACGTTTTCTGAATATAAATGAAGACTTGAAAAATAAAAACACTAAATCACCACAATAATCATCTGCTGATGATGCTAACATGGTTAGCGAAACGCGCGTCCAGTGTAAAAGTAAGTGTTTTGGTGTATTGAGGTGATTTAGTGTTTTTATTTTGCTGTGTAATACCAAAGGTTCCAACCCTCAACTGTAATTGAAGACTTGAAGTAAATAATGTTCTAAGTACCAAAATCAATATTTCGAGATAAATAAAAATTTTTGTTATACAGTGTCCGGTAATAGTGCGTCGGGCATCTGTAGCTCCTAGAAAAAAAAAATTGAGAATTTTGTTTAGGTGCAAACGAAAACAAAAAGGAAAATATTTTAACTTTCATACGGTCGGTGGTTCAAAAACGTGTGAGATAATCATGATAGTATTTTTTTTAAATGGAAAAACCTGTACATTGTTGCAATTTTGGCTTCCTTTCAGATCACTTGAGATAATCCTAAGATATGAGAAAATATATTTCGATAATTTCAGAAATATTAATAAATAATTAAAAAATATGTATTTTTCAACCTTCCTTAAAAAAATTATTACAAATACAAGAACTGTTTTGAAATCAAAACTATATTAGGTATTAACTTTAGATAGTCTATACTTACTTTGCTACAAATATTGTAATCTTAAATGATACAGGGTGTTCAAAATTCTACGCCAAACTTTCTAAAATATAAAATAATTTTTCTTTTTTTTGTTAGATGAAGAGTTAAATAACGATTTTTTTTAATTAAGTTATTTCAAAATTTTTAATGGTTTCGCAGATACACGTAGTATTATTTCATAACTTTAACATATATTTAACTTTGGTAAAATATGAAAGAAAAATCATTAGATGGCTTTGATAAAAATTTACTGTGGAAAATGCCATAATATAAAATATAAAACCGCGAATATCTACAAAACCGTTAAAAATTTTTAAATACTGTAAATAAAAAAAATGTTAATTTTTTAATTCTCCATCTATTGAAAAAATAATATACAGAGTGTTCCATTTAAAAAAAAACGTAAAAAAAATTACGGTATATTTTAGACATTTTGACGTAGAATTTTGAACATGCTGTATTATTTACGATTACCATATGTACAGCAAAGTAAGTACAGACCATCTAAAGTAAATATGTAATATAGTTTTGATTTCAGGAAAGTTCGTGTATTTTTAATATTTTTTTGAGGCTGAAAAATACATATTTTTTACTTATTTATTAATATCTCTGAAACTATCATATTTTAGGATTATGTAAAGTGATCTGAACGGAAGCCAAAAATGCAATAATATACAAGGTGTTCCATTTAAAAAAAGTCATCCCGATCCACTCACACATTTTTGACCCACCATTTTTTTTAAATATTTTCCTGAAATATATCCTCGTACACACTTTAGGTTTGCACACAATTCTGAAGTTTTTAATGGTTTCCAATACGAGCTACAGATACCCGACGCACTATTGCCGGACCCTGTATAACCAATGAATAAGAACAGGCGGTGTCACTGTTGAGATTTTTTTACTTATACTATTACAATTTAATAGTCGTGGCTCTTAGCGCTTTATGTAGTTGGTTATGGACCTTAGGACATTTTACAAATAAAACATGACAAACCGACTTTTTGGTACTTAGAACATTTTTATTTATTACAATCAAGTGTAATCTTGTTCAAATATACACAATACTTAGTATTGTTTAGAAATAATATCACAGTAGCTTGATAGAAAGCAAGTCGTAGTAATAATATCCAAATAAAACAAATTTTCTATAATATACCAAAACTTTGATAGCATGATCAGCATGTGATTAAAACCTGTTTAGATTTAATAATCTGCTGGTGACGGCTTTCATGATTAAACAAACGTGCGTACAATAAAATGTTTTGATGTATTGAATTAACTAGTATTATTTTGTTATTGTAGCGACAAAAATTCTAACCTCAATTGTATTAGTATTTATAGTATTAAATATTTAATATTACAACTCAATGGACAAAAATATAATTTTAATTTTTTCAGGTAGCATGGTATGCCGGCAACATCTTGTGTAAATTTATTCGTTTTCTTCAAGCAGTTGTGACGTACTCTTCTACGTATGTCTTGGTGGCGCTCTCAATTGATCGGTACGATGCTATCACACACCCTATGAATTTTAGCGGTAGTTGTAAGTAATTTATGAACTTTCAACACGTCGTATTTGTTGATGTATTATTTATATTTATACAAAATATACTCAAAAGTGAAAACATGGTGTTGTATTAAACACATATTTCTCATAATGTTTGGAGTATATTAGTAATATTAAAGCTAAAATTGTCTTGTAAATTTCTGGTTACATATACAGGGTGGTCCGAACTGTATTCCGGAAACTTCGACATCATATTCTGCAAATAAAAACAATTCAAAAAGCTCGTATAAATGTTTAAAAAATAATAATAATAAGCTAAAATGCTTAGTTTCGGAGATACAGGGTGTAGAAGTTTCATTTTTATTTCGATTTTTTCCATATAATTTTTGAAGTAACGTCAATATTTGGATGAAAATTGGTGTCTGGGAGTTTTTTGTCATGAGAAATTTGATTTTTATGTCAATATGACTCCTATTTGTAGGGGGCGCCACCTACCTGTGTTTTAACTGTTTTGAAGGGCAATAACTTTTCGTTCGTACCTGTATAAAACTACTGAGTGAAAAAATATACATTTCTCTCGACATTTCTGTAACTTTTTACGTAAAAAATGTCTCTTGGTAAAAATCGTTACGAGCAACCGTTTTCAAGATATTTAGAATGGAAAATAGTCAATACATGTCATTATTGACAAAAAATAAACACGTTGAGTAGATAGTTATTTAACTGAAATAATACATTTGGAAAATTTTAATTTTTTTAAATTAATCAAAAATTTTTCTTCGAAAAATTGATGATAAAACAGCTTCTGTTGGACTTTTGGCACAAAAAAAATTAAAATTTATTATTTTAGTCTAATAACATAACATAATGTAAACATGACATAAATTAAACATGCATGCTGATTAAATACAGCATGCATGTTTAATTTATGTCAACAGGTATTGATAATTTCGATTCCCAATATCTCGAGAACCATTACTCTTTACCTAGAGACCTTTTTTACATAAAAAACATCGTAAATGTATATTTTTTTTTATGCAGTAGTTTTATACAGGTACGGACGAAAAGTTACTACTCTTCAAACCAGTTAAAAAATAAGTAGGTGGCGCCCTCTACAAGTAGGAGTCATATTGACATCAAAATCAAATTTCTCATGTCAAAAAACTCCCAGACACCAATTTTCATCCAAATATTGACGTTACTTCAGAAATTATTTGGAAAAAATCGAAATAAAAATGAAACTTCTACACCCTCTATCTCCGAAACTAAGCATTTTAGGACATACATCTATATAGTCTGTCCAACGAGAAGATCCTTGACAGTGATAGATGTGTCTGTCATTTTAATTTCAAAGTAGTTTATTTTATTTTACAAAGAAATAAGTTGGTACAACTGGAACGCATAGCAGGATATATTTAAAATTTGATTGACAAGATGACAAGTGATTACTTCAAAATATTGTGAAAAAAACTGTATAAAACTGAAAAAATGTAATCGAGTTATTTTATTTAATAAAAACGGTATGTGTTAATACAAAACAAACAAGAACAAGACACTATATACCAAAAAAATATGCAAAAGAACTATTATTTACTTTCAAGCTTTATGAAACTACCCGCATTTATGATTATATTTATCAATATAACTTATGTACAAATACAAATTTGTAATATTCCACAGGAATAAATAAAACAACATAGGTAAATAAAACAAACTATTTTATTAATAATAACACCTACCAAATTTTATACCTTAAGGTTGATTAATTAACTGTAATCTTAATTTTTTTAAACCAGTACATTTTGACATTATTTTTCTGCAGTACTAAAATCCATTATTTACCTATCGTGTGATGTCGATATTTTACAGCTACTCCAGTTTTTAGTATGTGTTTAGTTTGATCCTTCTACCATATACGAGATGCACTTATCTACGACGAAATGGTATACAAACTTTATCGATGGCAACTTCATTGGTGTATAAAACTTTCTGCCTGGGCAGCGAGTATAAACCATAAACTGTGCTCTGGGTCTACAGTTAATTTTCACTCGATTTTTCCTCCACTTGACTTCAAAAGACACAAAACACACGTAATAATACGAATCAAAATGCATCATCTTCCAGAACTCAGGGTATTTAACAAAAGTTGACACAAAATTCTAACCTATAATTTGGCAAGACTTTGACAAGCGTCAAAAATGACAAAAATCTAAAGGCGAGTTTATACGCATCGGCGTCCGTTTGTCGTTCATCGTTCCGTCAAACCAATAAAATTGAAATACGATCTGTCATTTTTTAAATAAACCAATAAAACTGGTTAAAAACAACAAGACACGACGTATGACGGATTTATATTTAAACCCATCCATAGATAACTTAAAAATTATTAGAAACTTTTTTAGTAAAATAAATAGATTGGTATGGGACGTCATTTGCTTTTCTTCTCTCATCGTCTGTCGAAATCTTACCTGAGAAAAAAAACAGAGTTATACGAACTTTTTTACTTATTTTTATCTGCGGAATATGCTGCTGAAGTTTCCGGAATACAGTTCGGACCACCCTGTATATAGGAACGAAATAAGACACTAGTTTAGCACAATACACCAAAACACTTTACTTTAAACAAAGGACCTTTCGTCATGCAGGTGATAAATATAAAAGTCTATTTGTTTAGTTTTAATTACATAAGCTAAGTTTTAATGATCTGCTGATGATGCTAACATATGGTTAGCGAAACGCGCGTCCAGTATTCAAATTAAAGTGTTGTAGGGTATTTAAGTGAACTAGTGTTTTATGCTGCTGCAGCAAAGCTAGCAGAAAAAGCTCCATCTTCAACAGTATTATACGAAATGAATAATAAAAAAGTAAGTATAATTAATAAGAACGAACACACTATAGTAAAAAAACTAAATAAAAAACGAATTAGTTTGCACGTTTTTCCCGAATTGTTTTTTAATATTATTTTAGCACACCTTTTCAAAATTAATGTTCAAATAGAATATTGATCTAAAATTTATATATTTTATAGATCTAAATAACCTAAGAGATCTAAAATCTATATATTAGGTATAACCCTATTTTCATTCATGTTTAATGTCCTTTTTTTAAACAATTTGAGATATTCATTGCATGTAATTTATATTAGTTTTTGGTATTTACTTTATCACTTAATAAATATACATTTAAAGATGTTCACCTATGTTCTTTACATTAGTTATGCTATTTTGAATCAATAACTTGAAAGGAGGAATAATCTAAGTTAAGATATTTTAATATTTATCTATTTTACTTTTTTATATTTTAATATGTATCAAAACTTTCAAGAAGTTTATGAATTTTTAAAGAGTATCAATATTATATGTAGGAGATAATTTTTTGGTGTTATGTACAGGGTGTTCGAAATTGGTCTGTTTTAAGAGGGAAAACCTATTTCCTGGCTAGATAGAGCAAAACCGACGTAGATGTCATGGACTCGATTTCTGAGACACGTTTAATGGCATAAACCGATTGTTGATATTTTCACTGCCAACTGAGATACGGGGTCTTTTTGATTTTTTTACCATTTTGAAAATTGCCCATAACTTTTTTAATTCGTGGAATAATAAAATTCTGTAAAGACGTTCTTAAGGCACTTTTTTAAGCACAATCCAGTGGCGTAGTCAGTTTTTTTCTATACTTGCTCTTTTCGTCAGAAATAATAAAAATTATAATTATTTAAATGAAAATCATAGTTGGCTATGAACTTAAAAAAATGCTGATGTTTAACCCTTTGCAACAATATAAAGTTATGAGTATTTATTTCTAACAATGAGAGAAATATTAGTGTTTTTTATCTTTGTGTCGAAGCGGGCTTTGATTTTGTGTTGACCTAGTTGCCTAATTATTTTTTATCGCAATTTAAGATTCAATATTATTATTTATCTGCAAAATTGAAGACTTTTGACATCATTCTATATTAGTTTTACCAATTACAATTAAAACGTCATTAAATGGAGAATTTAGAGAGTATCGGATTGAAACAAGGGACCCCATAACTTCTTTCGAATTTTCTATGGGGAAAATTAAAAGACCTTATATATAAAGGAGGAACCATTGGGACGAAAGAAGAATTGCAGAAGGCTACTAGGCAAGCTTTTGGACTTATTACAACAGTTCGCCTAATATATCGCTGTAACTCTGTGCGCAAAAGATGTTTATTACGTATTCAACAAGGAGGTGCCCAGTTTGAACATCTGATGTTTTTTTTTTAGAAAACTATATTCGTCACTCAAAAAATATGCTTTGTTCTTTGTGTATTGTATCGATTTCAATTGTAATTACTAAAACTAATATAGAATATTAATTTACCTTTTGAAAAGTCTCTAATTATGCAGATAAATAATAATATAGAATATTAAATTGCTAATATTAGGTCAACACAAAATCAAGACACACTTCGATACAAAGATGAAAAACCTAATATTTCTCTTATTCTTAGAAATACATACCCATAACTTTATATCGTTCGAAATGGTTAAACGTCAGCATTTTTTTAAGTTCATAGCCAAGTATGATTTCCATTTAAAAAATTATATTTTTTATAATTTCTGACAAAAAGAGCAAGCATAGAAAAAAACTCACTATGCCGCAAAATAAAAGCACTAAATCACCACAATACACCAAAACACTTTTATTTTACACTGGATGCACGTTTCGCTAACCATGTTAGCATCATCAGCAGATGATTATGAACTAAAGACTATCTTTAGTTTATAATCTGACTAAACTATCTGAACTAAAGATAGTCTTTAGTTCATAATCATCTGCTGATGATGCTAACATGGTTAGCGAAACGTGCATCCAGTGTAAAATAAAAGTGTTTTGGTGTATTGTGGTGATTTAGTGTTTTTATTTTGCTGTGTTAACACCAAAGGTTCCAACCCTCAACTGTAATCACTATGCCACTGGATTGTGCTTAAAAAAGTGCCTTAAGAACGTCTTTAAAGAATTTTATTATTCCGCGAATTAAAAAAGTGATGGACAATTTTCAAAATGGTAAAAAAATCAAAAAGACACCGTATCTCAGTTGGCAGTGAAAATATCAACAGGCGGTTTATGCTATTAAACGTGTCTCAGAAATCGAGCCCATAACATCTATGTCGGTTTTGCTCTATCTAGTGAGGAAATAGGTTTTCTCTGTTAAAACAGACCAATTTCGACCACCCTATACAACTACTTAAATAAGTATATAATATATTCCAGTACTCAATTGCTTTATTTATCACTCTATCTATAACTATATTGCAAATATTTTTAAAAATAAGTGAATATTTAAGTGTATATTTTATGATTGGGTTAAATATAAGAAAAATACAAAGCATACCTGTAGCATACCAAACCAAACCAAACCAAACCACATCATATAGGTATAGGTGGTCTTAAATAAGTGCAAATATTTTTAGGAGTGATTTATTTGGACCCTAGGAACACTATGACAATTTTTTCGCAAAAATAAATTGGAAATCGTGCATTTTCTTTTAAAAAATTTAAAAGAAAATGCAGGATTTTCTGTATATTTTAGAAAACTTTTTAGACCTGCTGCAAATTTTCCCACGTTATAATTTCTGAATAATCTGAACATATTACCATGGTTACGACACTTAAAAAGCATGCAAATAGAGAAAAAATCCGGTGGCTCTCAATTGTTTTTTTAATTTTCAAACTTGAATATCTCGGTTATTCTGGACTTATTTGAAAAATGTTAAAGAGAAAGTATGTTTATTTTATCGAGATCTACTTACCCTAAAGATATTTGCAGTTAAGACTCAACCTGTATAAAACGGAATTGTAATTTGTCGGAGTACACTATTATTCTTACTTACATACTAACTGCCATTACTCGCTAACGAGTATTTCACACGCATCAGAAGATGGTTACGCAAGGCGTTTTCTTTCATGAGCTTTTCTGTAACTGAAAAGCCCGATACGTGATATTATCTGTCTTAGACATTCAAAAATCTTATTACTTTGTTATCTCTTTACTTTTTGGTTGTCGTTATTAACTGAGTTTACAATCCTTCTCCTTTGCGTTCTGTTGTGCGCTGCTTCCTCTCATTGATATTGCATGATTATCCCTTTTAAGTTTTCGTGGAAAATCTCCTTGTACCTTGTGAATTCCTCTTAGTGTCTGCAAGCTCACCGTAAACGAGATATTTTGGTAGGCGGTTTTCTTGCATCCTGAATACATGACCAGCCCATCTTAAGCGGGATTTAGTAATCATGACTTCACCGCTCTCGCACCTAGCTTTTTCAAGGACCGATACGTTTGAGACATGGTGGTACTATTTAATTTTTAACAGTTGTCTAAGATGTCTCTCTTGCAACTGTTTAATGCGTTTGTGTGCCAAACCAAACCAAACCCAGGTTTCGCTTTCATATAACATGGTGGGGATTATTATTGCTCGGTAAACTGCAAGTTTCGTTTTTGTACTCAAATCATGATTGTAGAAAACCTTGTCTTTTAAATACAGAAAAAAAATCGTGGGTGTTTGGGAAGTTTCGAAAGGAAACAATGTTTCTGCCACGATTCGCATCTTCAGGCACCAAAACATAAATTAATCCATATGCCTACAAACATTTATGGCGATTCCAACAGCCAACACTAAGACACATACAGACGAACGAACAGAAACTTAACGGTATTTTTTTTTGCCCGATGTACAATGATGCTCGGTTTGTGTCGTTTTTTCTGCGTACTAACTGGGAACTAACAATAATTAGAACTTGTCTTTTAATTTCCGTAATGCTCTTGAGGCGCTTCTAATCCTGTGCTGAATTTCAGAGTCGATATTGGCCTTTTCTGAAATCAAACTGCCGAGGTAATTGAATTCTGCTACATATTCCAACAGTTCTCCGATTTTTATAGCATTGTTGTGATTTTATGGAGGAGTGCACATAATTTTAGTTTTATTGGTGTTCAGCTTAAGGCCCACAGCCGCGTATGCCCAGGTATATATGTTCAGCATTTCTTGAAATTGCTGTAACGTTTTTGCAACTAGAGCGCAGACTTCAGCGTATTGAAGTTCTGTGATGAATTGTGTACGTGTTTTTGCCGTGAGTCTTTTTATGTCGAACAGACCGCCGGCGCCGGCCATCGTCGTATCTGTATCTTATGCCCATTCCTCTTCCCTGCAGTTTGGTGTCCACTGTAATGGAGAGCGCTGCCATGAATATGTTGAATAGGAGAGGCGCTGACACATCCATGCCTATAACTTCTGTATTTGTTAGGAAAGGATCGCTCAGTGATCCATGATGTGAAACTCTTGACCTGTTGTTGTTATGGAAGCTTTTACTACCGGTGAGAAACTGCCCATAGTGCATCTCTGTTTACAGAGTCAAAGGCTATTGTTAGATCGATAGATGCAATATAAAGTTTACAATGCTGCTCTTTTACTTTTTCCTGTAGTTGGCAGACGGAGAATATGGAATAGGCGGTGGTCGGTGTGAAAACCCGTTTGCGATTCCGGGAAGATTTTTTCTATATGTGGATACAGGCGGTTTGACATAATTTTTGCAAGAATTTTTCGTCCGATAGTGATTTTCCTAGATAGTGAAATTCCCTAGTAGTTTCCGCAGTCTGATGCACCTCCTTTGTTCTTAAATATATTCCGCTTTCCCATATCACATCGAAGAGAGGAGCCTTAAGATGACCAATAAGTTCTTTACTTGCACACTTATAGATTTCCGCTATAATTCTATTAGTTAGAGTAGGAGACGTTTTCTATTAGTTACTGACACGAAAATCGTTTTTCTTTAAAACGAGAAATTAACGATTCCCGACGCTACTGTAAATATGCCACTCTCTGTATACAAAGTCGTTTTATTTTTCGGCATAAGCTCTGTAATACGCGAGCAAAGCTGCTACTGCAGTAAAGTCAAAGGTAAAGTCATGTATCTTTCAGTATATTTAATCTAATATTTCAAGCACATTCAGGACCAATGTTCTTATATGTCTAATTGAAATATGTTTTTCAGCCAAGCGAGCAAAGTTGTTGGTAGTCCTGGCCTGGTCGGTGAGTGTAATCTTCTCAGCTCCAACACTCTTCCTTTTTGAGGAAAAACCCGTTGAAGGTAATGAGCATACCTACATTTTCCGACAATAAATTTCGGACAAAAATAATATAAACACAAGATAAATACATGATAGTATTTTTTAGATATTCCACAATGCTGGATCGACCTCCAAGTATGGCAATGGAAGTTATATATGACACTGGTAGCGCTGGTGTTATTTGTTGTTCCGGCATTGATTATTAGTACGTGTTATTTAATTATTGTTTGGACTATTTGGTCCAAAAGTAGAAATCTGAATCCAATTGCGGGCCATGTACCAGTACCACTGGGTAAGTATTAATGGCATTCTAAGGCATGTTTTAGTAATATCAATGATTTTATATTTTCTTTATATTTAAAGAATGGATTATTTTTTAACGATGAAGAAATAATATACTCAATAACACAACGTTTCAGAAAATAAGTAATGATGAATAATACATAGAATGACGTACCTCTTTATTTCAGTATGTATAGGCTTGGTACATTCAACTGATTTTTTAAAATTCCGACAGCAGCGCTCGGTACGGCAGAAATCAGAACCGTCCGGCTACTTTACTTCACCCCCAGTTACCGTTCATGTTAATCGCATTGAAATAATATTGAAATCGTGGCTATGTCATACTATTTAAGTATTTTGGTGTTTACTAGTGCCAGTTATTAAAACTATAAACTTGTCAAGTACGAAGTTTGTGTGATGTAACGTTGTTTTGTGTAGCAAAATTAAGTGAAAAAGAACCCGAACTGGGCATCGTGTTGTGTAGTGACAATTTCAAAAGATAATAAAATTGCCGAAAAAGTGCCAACACGAAAAGGTGTGGTTGCGTGGTTGTTGGGTGTACTAACATTCAATACAACTCTACCCGAATAACATTTTATAACTTTATCAAAAGCAAAGATGGATTCAGACGGGTCGACGAAACAACTGAATAAACAAAATGCCCATTACATAATCAAAAAATTAAATAGGCATATAATATCAGGATAAAATATGATTTGATCAATATTAATGGTATACATTTTTATAATCAACTAATGATTAAGACAATTAAATTCTTGGGTAAAGTTTTTTACTTGAATATACAGGGTGTCCCAGAAATAAGTGCAAGTATTTTAAGGCGTGGTAGATCTCGATAAAAGAAACATATTTTGTCGTTATCGTTTTTCAAATAAGTCCAAAATAACGGAGTTATTTTACTTTGAAAATTTCCAAAAAAAAATGATTGTTTGCTAAAATTTTGAGAACCACTGGATCTTTTCTGGATTTTCGTTCTTGTAAATTTAATCTACTTCCTATGTTGTCATATTATCAAGAAATTATTTTTTTTATATAAAAACTAAAAAAAATTCCAAAAATATTTTCAAAAAATTCCGAATTTTCAAAAAATGTTTTTCGCGAAAAAAAACTTAAAATCTGTTTCTGGGGTTCAACTATACTACCAGTTAAAATACTTGCACTTATTTCTGGAATACCCTGTATATAAAACCCCATAAGAAATATATATACCAAAATCCTAAAAATTTCTTTGCGGAAATGCATCATTCTCTTTTTTCCGACTTTAGAATAACTGAAATCAGATATTACCAGTTTTGAGCACAACATTTATTTACTTTAATGCAACAAATGCAAAGGCGCATTAGTTTTCGTCGTGTTGTTGAAGAATTTCAGGAAAAACATATAAAATAATTTTTCTGTATACATACTATTTAAAAGCTTTTGGAGACAGTTGAAGTGAGGAGAATAAATCTAATAATTCTTTGTTGTGTTTGTTCATTATTAATTAAATTATTAATAATACAAGAATTTCGGCGTTCCATTGTCTTTATTATATATACTGTAACAGTTTATTACAAAACGTAGTCTTATACAGTGTGCGTTTCAAAAGTGGCTCACCCCTATAACTTTTTTATTTTTTAAGATAAAAAAACAGATTTGGTATGTTAGTATATGGACATAAATTAGGATTGATTGACTTATTCAATTGTTTTCAGTCACTTCCTGTTTTACCGGAAATTACTACAATTTTTGATTTTTAAATGGCACTCCCCGTATTTTTCACTTTATTCGATAGAAAATGACACTCTGAATCGAGTGACATTTTATAATATGTCAACTTTTGGCATATTCACCCAAAAGCAAATTGTATTTTAAATTTTAATCTAAAGTGCCATGGCTGTGTTAAAATCACTAATTTTTAGTCAAGGAGCCTTAGAAAAATAGATTTGATCGTCTAATGTTTTTAGTGTCTTTAGTGTCCTGGCCGGTTAAAAGATGCCCAAATCGTATTTTTAATCATATCTCAATATTTTCAAATGGAACTAGGGTGGCTTATAAGCATATTTGGAAAAAGCATTTTTTACGAATAATTTGATACCACACACTTGGTATTTCGAGTCAAATTCTCCTTATGAACCGCATGTTATAATTTAAAATAAACCATAAGCGAAAATGTCAAAAGTTGACAAATGATATGTCATTCTATTCAGAGTGTTATTTTCTATCGAATAAAGTAAAAATATACCGAGGATGCCATTTAAAAATCAAAAGTTGTAGTCATTTCCGGTGAAACAGGAGGTGACCAAAAACAACTGAATACGTCAATCAGTCCTAATTTATGTCATATACTAACATACCAAATCTCGTTTTTTTATCTGAAAAAATAAAAAAAGTTATAGGGGTGAGCTACTTTTGATATGCACCCGGTAGAGTTATTGATCGTTACACTTCACCAAAAGTAGTACTTAATAATAATGAAAACTAATTGGTTTTTACCATAGGGACGTAATTAAGGATTAAAAGTATATTTCTTCACAGTTTTTCCCTATTATTTTTTTTAAGTAAACAAAAAGACTAAGACCGTATTCCAAAAATGCCATTCAACTACGGCAAAAGTAGGTTAGCTCTACACATAGTAGATGCGATGCAAAAGTAGTAAATGAGGAAACTGGAAATATGTAATTTCGTTGCCCCCTACACCAACAACGGAGAAATATTGACACGGCTTAATATTCCTAAGGGCAAGACTGTTTTTTATCGTCACTTTATAGAAGATTTTACGACTTTATTTCAAATAAAAATTTTCCATCTCTAGCCATGCTCGTCAGAGTATTTTGATTAAATCTTATTTTAATTTCGAGAACTAAAAAACATGAAAACCGTATTTAATATTGATTTTAATTAATTTAAACAAAAGGACAATACTCTATATGAGTTTTAAATTGAAGTGAAAACTACTTAGTATATTCATAACTTTTTTATATTTATTTTTCCCAATATTTAGAGAAATGGTAACTTCTGATGTTCGGAAAATATTATAAATTATGAATATACCAACTGGCTTTACACTTAAATTAAAGATTTTTCAAAAAGTGTAGTTAATCGAATACACTGCCATATATCAAAAGAAAGAAATATGAACATAGTTTGATATTTTTACGCTTACTTATTAACTCCAGACATGAAATTTTATGTTCAATATTGATGTCATTAGAGAGTCATAAGATTTGAGTGACTTGAAAACAGAGATATTAAACAGAAAATATAACTCATAAATATTTTATTATACATATTTTATTGTTATGGAATATCCAATTAATAATAAATAAAAAAGTATTAAATTTAGATTAAATATACAGGGTGCATTGCGCCTCTCATACGATACGGAGGCTAAATGGAAGAGGATTTTTTAAGATTTAGTGTCAGTAAGTAGATCTTTATAATTTGATAAAATCTAGATGGCTGTCATATGTCTGGCGTTACTTCAACTTAGCTGTCAAAATAGTTCAACTTTAACAACTAGTTATCTTTTGTGTCAATTAAAACAAAATTATTCGGCAATACTAGCACGAACTTTAGAGGATCTCCAGCAAATAATAAATAAGATAGGGGACATGGGAAATCGTTTCGGTCTTAAAATCAACGCTGCCAAGACCAAACTTATGGTAATGGACGCCAGCCTACAATCAACACCGCATTGCCCGTGGATGGAAATATTATAGAGCGAGTTCCACGATTTAAATATCTGGGTGCCATGATCAATGAACGATGGGACTGCGATGAGGAAGTTAAACTTAGAACGAATTATGCAAAGTCAACATTTTTTAAACTTAAAAACTTCCTATTAGCACGTAGTCTCCCGCTAACACTTAGACTACGGGTAGTGAAATGCGACATATGGCCCATCTTACTATACGGCGCAGAAACCTGGTCACTCAAGGCTAGAACCCTGAACCGCACCGAGGCTTTCGAAATGTGGACTCTCCGGAGACTCTTACGTGTGCCATGGACCGCACATGCAACCAACGAAGAAGTTTTAAGAACTGCAGGCTATGAACGAGAAATGCTTAATACAGTTAAAAAAAGGAAAGTCTCATACCTCGGCCATATCCTTAGAGGAGACAAATATTACATTCCTAAGCTGATTCTACAAGGAAAAATAGAGGGACGGCGAGGCCCAGGAAGAAAACAACATTCCTGGTTAAGAAACATACGGGATTGGTGTAACATCAGCGACGCAGCCACCATATTTCGAAGAGTCGAAAACGGCACCCTACACATTATATGAAGAGTACAGACAATCGCCAACGTGCGGCTAAGCACAAGGCACAGGAAGAAGAAGAAAACAAAAACAAAATTCGCAGAAATTTACAGAAAATGTAAACTTATCAGTGATAATTGATATGATTCTATTAATTGGTGGTTTCAGTGTGCATTGTCCAATTAATAGAATGCATTATGATCCTGGTTTATCTAGTCTGGACTTCCGGTTATGTTAAAACAATGCTACTTTACTTTTATCACAGATAATATTATGTTATCTTTGCTTTTATGGGGATATGTTAAAGACAGTGTTTACAAAAATCGACCAGCTGTTGTTGACAACATGAAAAATGAATAATTTTATGCAGTAAACAAGAAGGGGGACATTTTGAGTATTTGGTTTCATCTAGCTAATTTTGGCCACATAATTATACGTTTACGTTTACATATCTATAATAATTAAGATATGTTTCAAAGGTGTAATTTTTCATTGGCGTTGAATATTTCACTTTACATTCTGTAATTTTTATTAAATTAACGAAACGATTATTACAGCCACATAGATATTATCAATAATTAAGATCTACTGACACTAAATCATAAAAATTAAAATATCTAGGAAAATCTTTGTCCAAGGGGTAGGCCACCTTAATAGTATTTTGAAGAGATATGAACATGAATGCTCCGTTGAATAGTGGAATAATATACTTCGTGCTCTATTTAAAATAAAAGAGTAGTAATTTGCTTTAACACAATGGTTATTTTAACTAAATATCAGGTTATACAGGGTAAATTACAATTTAGTTTTGGTCTGGGAACTATCGCACGGTACACTACACTTACAAAATTTGAAAAAATCTCACTAAATTTCAAGCCCTCACAATGTTTTTTCAGATTTATACCGGGTGCGTCTCAAAACTGGCTCACCCCTATAACTTTTTTATTTTTTCAGATAAAAAAAGGAGATTTGGTATGTTAATATAGGACATAAATTAGGATTGAATTACGTATTCACTTGTTTTCGGTCACTTCCTGTTTAACCGGAAACGACTATAACTTTTTATTTTTAAATGGCACCCTCGGTATTTTTTTACTTTATTCGATAGAAAATGACACTCTGAATCAAATGACATATCATATGTCAACTTTTGACATATTCGCTTAAAAACAAATTGTATTAAAAACTGTGTTAAAAACACTAATTTTTAATCAAGGAGCCTTGGAAAAATAGATTTGATCGTCTAATGTTCTTAATGTCTTTTCCTGGTCAGTTAAAAGATGCCCAAATCGTATTTTTAATCATATCTCAATTTTTTCAAACGGAACGAGGGTGGCTCATTAGCATATTTGGAAAAAGCATTTTTTTACGAATAATTTGATACTACACACTTGGTATTTCGAGTCAAATTGTCGTTATAAAAAGCATTTTATTATTTCAAATAAAAAATAAACCATATGCGAAATGTCAAAAGTTGACATATCATATGACATTCTATTCAAAGTGTCATTGTCTATCGAATAAAGTAAAAAAATTCCGAAGGTGCCATTTAAAAATCAAAAGTTGTAGTCATTTCCGGTTAAACCGGAAGTGACCGAAAACAATTGAATATGTTAATCAATCCTAATTTATGTCATATACTAAAATACCAAATCTCCTTGTTTTATCTGAAAAAATAAAAAAGTTATAAGGGTGAGGCACTTTTGAGACGCACCCGGTATATCTTGCATAAAATTAAATATCAAATAAACATGCAAAGCCCTCCGGACTAGCAAAAATTTATATTTACCAAAAGGTGTCAAAAAAGAGTGACAAAATAAGTTGTTTCATATTGAAATACAACGATGTAGTTTCCCTCCTAAACGTAATGTAAGCCTATATTCAATGTATATGTATAATGCCTTTGCCACACTATGCTCCTCGCGCTGCTCATCGCCCTACTCATCGTACTCGCAACGCTCTGCACACTAAATATTGCGCTCCTTTGACTCGCGCTCAAAAAACCGACAAAACAGGGAATGGTTTGCAGGACGCGGAGCATGATATGCAGCATGACGAGTAATGTTGCCACACTACGTTTCTGCCTCCTTCCCTCGCTACTTCCTATGCCACTCGACGAGTGTGTGGCAGAGCCATAAAGACAGGGACGCGCCGTCCATATGGGCAATGTCGTGCGGCGCACGACGCACATAGGTCATTTTGTGTATTTTAGGAATTAATAAATAAAAAAATTGATATCAAAAAAAATATTTTTTTATATTTCATCTTAGAGCTAGGGCCCCATAGATATTATTTCTGCGATATTATATTTTAATATTAACAGAGGTGGCTATGGCGAGAATAACAATGTCAAAGTTTGTTTGAATTATTTCGCATAGTAAAATTACTGTCATTAGTTCATAACGTTTCGAATTTTATTGTTACGAATAGAAGGTGAGTTTAAAAAGTAGTGTTGTGTTATTGTGTACCATAAAGTAAGATTTATTATTAGAAAAAATAATATCCGTGTAAAAAGCTTATGACTTGGCGAAAAGATACGATGTTTTAATAATAAGAAAAAAATCGTTTTTTTTTTCATAACTTTGTATTTAAAAAGGTTTATAATTCAAGATTTATACAGATTTATTTCAAAAACATTTTTTTCGTATTCACAATCTTTTTATCGATTAATCTATCCTAAATTTAACTGCCAAGATGTGCCAAGCGAATAAATATATATTGTTTTAAGTACCATGTCAATAGAAAAATCTTTCATGTTTTCTGCTTGGTGTGAAGGCAATTCTTTGAAGGAAAAAAATGCATCTGTTTTGCCATTTGTTCTGAATACGCTAAATTTAGGGCAACATGATGGCGACGAACATTATAATAAAAGAGTGAAAATTATTAAAAAATTTAATTATTATTATGATTACTCTTTGTCTAAATGTGTGGGAGCACGGTCAAATAAGGAACCACTTATCAAAGATGTTCTTAATTTACTTCGAGAGCCTACTTTACAGGCATCAGAGTTTGATGAAAATATTAGTCAGGATGATGATGATCATCAATATTATGTCTCTAAAAGGGTACCTACATAGTGAGGCATCTCGATGTGATGTTCGCCGCGATGCATCCTACGCGCACTTACTCGTCGTTTTAAAACAGTCCTTAAAACGTGCGCGTAGGATGCATCGCGGCGAGCATCGCATCTAGATGCTTCACTATGTTTGTACTCTTAGTAGTGACGAGGATATCGATAGTGATTAAATAAGAATATTATTACATAAATTTCTCTAGTAAAATAGTGTTATTATCATTTTATTTATATTTGTTAAATGTTTTAGGTTGTTTTTTTCATTGTTCAAGCTAATTTTTACTTTCAATTACTAATACAGTACATCTTCTGTAAACCTTCTAGATACTAATAAATTCACTTACAAAAAAGTAACGAACTACAGTTTTTGTTTGAGTTCGATATAACAAAATGAAAAAAAAAGTAATATTTCGTAAGACACCCTGTACAAGCATAAAATGAAAGAAAATATCACTATTCCACGCATTTATTTATTTTCTTACCAAACAAATTATTTTTGTTTTAAAAAATAATTTAAATTTTATAGGCATTATTGATTACCGCCTAAATTGGCGAAAATGACCTATGTGCGACGGCGCCAAAGCCCTAAAGGCGCTTGCGGTCACCGAATTTAAAAAATAATAAAACCATTTTTTGGAACTTATCAACAAATTAACATAAAATTTAAGTAATACTTTTATCTATGAACGCCATTGGTGAAAATATATTATCCACCAATGGCAAGCGCCGCGCCGCTGGTCATTGGAAATTTTGGCTTAATATTATAATATTGGAGAAAGGCGCCTACTCTTATTTCGCACGACGGCGCCGAAAATACTTGGCGCGTCCCTGCATAAAGATTAGTGAAATTAGAAAATATTCTTGATATTTAGTAATTCTAATAGAAACAAACTTTGGTTTTAGATGAAGATCACCGCGGTAGACCACCTCGATATCTACGAGATGACTACGATTCGCGTAGAGCCAGCTCCAGAGGAATTATTCCCAGGGCTAAAATTAAGACTGTCAAAATGACATTCGTCATTGTTTTCGGTAAGTTTAATGAATTAGCAATACATATACAGTGCTTTTACTTTAGCTATGAACATAGGCGTCAATCATTGTAAATTGTAAATTACTCCCCTGTTGTCAGTCCATAACCAACCTTTTATCATGCATTGATGACATACCGACAGGCAATACTGTTTTTTCGCTGAAAAGTTAATAGACATGAAATAGAATTGAAATTTTTTTTCCCATCGAAATTTAGGATTTTTGGTAATTTTTTGAGCTAGAACTATTTTTAGCTAAACAAAAAACTATTTAAAAACAAAAAATATTATTTATTGTGTGAGTATTGATTTCATACTATTCACTCAAATCCAATGCATTGACTGTTCTACTTTAAAAATGAACATACTTAGTGTGTTAAGCCTTATGTTCACAGTTAAAATAAAAGCACGGTATATATCAATATTAAGGAATAGATTATGATATAGAGTTGCCCAGTAAATGAATATAGAAAATTCATAAACTAATAGTATTAGTAATTTATACTACGAACAGAAATAAATTATAGTAGGTTTAGAAGCTACTAATAATCTAAGCTATATAAAAAGGCTCTATATGAAGATCAAAATTTTAATTTCAATATTTTTATATTTTTTTATTTATGAAGCAATTCAGTAATATTGAAAAAATAATATATTAATGATGCTTGAAGTATATAATTTGTATTTCAAGATTTACAAATACTAATAATAATAATAGTATAAAACAGCACATTAATATTAACATGTTATTCAACTCAAACAATATTCAAGCTTCCTATAGAACATTAAAAATAGAAATAAATTGGCTACCATATATGGCTACAAGAAAGTCAGTTTAATTTTCCACTGAAAGATTTAGAACATTTAGAAGTTTTCAATAAATCACAAGATTTTTACTTTTTCCAATGGAAATTGAAAAATGTTCAGTGACAGATGAATTTTTAGGGCACACGCATTATTTAAAGTTGCTTGTGCATATTGTTACGGATTCCGTGGGTCCACTAATTTAAACTCACGACAAAATACTTAACTAATTTATTTTTCTCACAATTTACACACAATTTATACGAATAACACACAATTAACTACTTATAAAATTCCTTCGTCAAATTGTCCGATTCGTAATAATTTAAACGCGGTATATTCAAACTTCAAATTGGTCCAACTTCCAAGCGCGGGCTTTATATACTCTCTGGCGAGTGTTTCTGGAACGTTCTAAAGAATTGTGTAATATTCTTTTATTTTCTGGCGAATTCGCCAGGTTCCTCAATGCACGTTGCGGTTATATAGGCATCCAGTAATACAGTTTAGCGCCACATACACCTTGACAATATTTAAAACATGAAAATTAATATCTTGCTGCACACACTCCAACAATTATATTGCTTCAATATTGTTTTATATAATAATTAATAACAATATTATATATTCAAACACATTACTAATTATCAATATTATACAGGATGTCAAAAAATAGTGTATCTAACTTCGTTCGTTGATTCTACAGATAAAAATAAATTAGAAAGTTCCTATGAACATATACCCTAAAATGCTTCCCGAAGAAATTACAGCCCTTGGAAGGATAAATAAAAATAATAGGTATATTTTGTTTATTTTTAAGAACATCGGTAAACCTGATATTTGGTACTCTTACTCACATTTTAATACCAAAGCGAATAGTGATAGTGTAAAATTCCGTAACGGCTATGACAGGGTACTTTCCATTAGGGTAGAGATTACTACTGGTGGTACTTCTTTTATCCTTATAGATACAGTAATTTTAACAAATGAAAATTAAAGCTAGGACTTTTTATGTAAAAAAGGTGCTATTCGTTTAGATCGAAACAGTGAACGGTTTTCAAGATATTTGCATTTAAAGGTTTCCATGCATCGATTTGCATATATCTTGAAAACCGTCACCTTTTCAAACTAATCGAAGAGCACCTGTTTTACGTAAAAGAGTTCTAGCTTTTTATACTATTTGTTGAAATTACTTATCTATAAAGATAAAAGAAGTACCATCAGTAGTACTCTCTACCCTAACGGAAAGTACCCTTCATGCCTGTTATGGAATTTTACACTATCGCCATTCGCTTTGGCATTAAAATGTATGTAAGAATACCAAATTTCAAGAAAAATGGTTTACCAATGTTCTTAAGAATAAACAAAATTTATTATTTTTATTAATCCTTTCGAGGACTGTAATTTCTTCAGGAAGCATTTTAGGACATATGTCTATTTTATTTTTATTTCATTTTAAAACATATGTGTATAGGAACTTTTTGTTTTATGTTTATTTGTAAAATCACCCACTTAAGTTAGATACACTAGTTTTTTTGACACCCTGTATATCTGTTGTACCGAAATTCATATTTACTTTAAATAGATACTGTGACAAAGCATGTGTGACAAATGAATAAATATAGGTAAAAAGATTAAAATAGAACAATATAATGAAATAATTACCAGTAAAAACAAAATTAATATATTTTATTTATAAATCACATTTAAGACCAATTTCAAGCAAGTAACATTATAGGGACTGATTTTTACAATGCCATTTTTATGCCGAAAAAGTGTATTATAATTAACTTTTTGTGATTATTTTTGCAAAATATTTATTAATATAGTCTTTTGTTCCAATAGTCTAAGAGCTAGCAAAGTTGCTAGCTCTTAGCTCTTTAATATATCTTTTACTATGGTCTCTGGAGCAGCATGCGGCCCGTCTCAATGCCGATATCCGTTGCATTCACTACTGCGCATCGGAGGAAGATCCTATTTAGTTTTTTTATTTAGTCCGTTAAATTCTAGTATTGAATATAAATCGAACATGTCTCCATAGCGCAGCGCGTAGAGTTTCCGACTACGAACCGAGGAACCGAATTCGAGACCAGATCAAGGCAAAAGCTTTTTTATTTTATTTTCGTTTATGTTCTGATAGTAAAGTATTACATATTTGTTTTTTTTTAATTACCAGAATTATTTAATACTTTACTATCAGAATATAAACGAAAATAAAATAAAAAAGTGTTTGCCCTGACCTCCAACTCCTCGGTTCGTAGTCGGAAACTCTACGCGCTGCGCTATGGAGACTCGCTCGGTTTATATTCAATACTAGAATTTAAAGGACCAATAAAAATATAGCATCTTCTTTCAATGCGCAGTAGGGACCGCAACGTTTACCGACAGGCAGACGGACCGCATGCTGTTCCAAAGAGCATAGTAAACGATATGTTAAAGAGCCAGCTTTCTTAAAATACTTGTTTTCTCGACGTTTCTAGCTCTCGTACTACAATGTCAAAGACGGATAGAAAATGTTATTACTAGGCAATTATATTTTCCTAGAGATTCCATACGTCCGGATTTACCCAAGCATGTCCGGATTTTAATGTGTCCGGAGTGGTCCGGCCAGAATTTGATAAAATGTCCGGGAAATCTAACGGTAAAAGTAACTTAACATTGTTGAATATTTTAATCGTTAAGATGTTACATATCTACTAAACCGACATTGTTCGAAAGTAGGTACCTATATCGGTCTAGTAATTTCGTTCCATTTCGGTGCACTCGTGGCTTTTGAACAGAACCTGTTCAAAAGCAGTTCAAAAGCGATCTTTTTCAAACAGGGTCTGTTCAAAAGCTGTTCGATAGCGGTTAGTACTATTATTTTTTTTTAGTTAGTTTGTTTATTCCTTCTACTAATTTCAGTCCCATAAAAAATTATAAATTCAATATGTAAAGCTGTGCTTTATGATATCGTATGAAATAAATAATGTTTTGATAGGCTACAGGGTAGGTATATGTTTTCTCTTTGAGTTAAGTAGCAAATAGACTATTTATTAACAATCAAAAATAAAACAAATATATTCTTTCTTACAGTGATATTTTAAAATAAGCAAATGAATGTTATTTCTCTCTTGGAACAAATTTTATTTTCACTCCATCTCTTGACCGTAGTATTAACTCCTGTATCAATACTAGCGTTTCAGGTGTATCTACTGGTTCCAATATAAAATTCCGAAGAATTCCGCATAAAACAGTCTTAACTTCGAGAATCGCAAATCTTTGTCCTAAAATTAAATAGTATTATCTTTTAAATGCAAAATAATAGAATTAGAACCTCTGAGAATATTATTATTATATGAAAGAATATACAATATGATCGAAAGAAAAACGGTGTGAGCGATGGCTTTGAAATGAAGATCGCAGTCGTTTTATATGTAAAATTACATCGGGAATCTCATTGATCGTCATTTCCAAGCCAATTGGACGTCGTTTTTTTCGATCATACGGTATTATTGTTGCTATGTTATATCCATAGCATATACAGCAAAATAGTATAAGACTGTGACAGATGACATCCAAGAAATTCAACAAGTAAAAAACATTTTATTCAAGATGACATACATCTGGCACTGTCGGTCATATACCGGGTGTTTCTTACCCCTATATCATTTATCTTTTCAGAAAAAAAACGAAATTTGTTAGGTATGTTAGTATATGATATAAATTAGGATTGATTAGCGTGTTCAGTTGTTTTCGGTCATTTCCTGTTTCACGGGAAATAACTACTTTCTTATAACTTTTAATTTTTAAATAGCACCCTTAGTATGTTTTACTTTATTCGATAGAAATGACACTCTGAATATGGTTTATGTGAAATTGTCACATGCGGTTCATAATGACAATTTGTCTCGAAATAACAAGTGTGTAGTACCAAATTATTCTTAAAAAAATGCGTTTTCCAAATATTAAGATAAGATTAGAAATACGATTTGGTCATCTTTTAACAGACCAGGACAAGACATGAAAAACTTTAGACGATCAAATCAAATTTTCCAAAGCTCCTAGATTAAATTTGGTGTTTTTTAACACAGCCATGGCACTCTAGATCGAAATTTAAAATACTATTTTTTAAGCGAAAATGTCAAAAGTTGACATGTGTTATGTCATTCTATTCAGGGTGTCATTTTCTATCGAGTAAAAAATACCGAGAGTGCCATTTAAAAATATCAAAAGGTATTGTCGTTTGCGGTGAAAAAAAAGTGACAGAAAACAATTGAATACGTCAATCAATCCTAATTTATCAATATACCGGGTGTAGGTATATTGTATATTCATTATTTGGTCCGATTATTATAATTATCACCTAACCACTTATCATTTTGTATTGATTGCTTGATAATTTTATACAGGGTGGTTATTTTTTAATTAAAAAAAGGTGTAAAATGTATGGTACGTAGAGGTAAACTTTAGAGGTAGCTAATTTTGAAGTGAGAAGTTTATGTCAATATAATATTTAATTCATTTGCTTTGCTTATTATACCGGGTTGTGTATCGGCATTGGAAACATAGGAAATACCATGCAAATTTTGAATCGTCCCTGTTGATTTGACAGCCAAATCGTAAATAATTTTTTAAGCCCACGGCCACACAGAAAGCGTTTTTAGCGTTTTGCGTTTTTTGCATCTCAAGCGCTTTTTGCGATTTTACCATTTTAAACGCTTTTTTCGATTTGTGTCCAGTAAAAAACACGCAGAAGACGCGGCAGGTCTGCAGTTTCTATCAAGATGTCAATTAGTAATGACGCAAGCTCGTGGATTCCCGGCCCGTTCAACAATCAATCCTGTGAGAAAGAGATAGGCGAGATCGGCGCGGTTAGCGTTGAAGAGACGAAGATAAAAGATGCTGGGATTGAATTGTGGACGGGCCGGGGCATATATCCGGCGACAAGCACAATCTACTGCTAGTGCCAGTGGTGTGTGTAAAAATAATAATTATTATTTACCATTTATTTTACGAATTTTAGTTTATATGTGTATAGTTTTTTTTATGTTGGAGTATTGTGGTTACTTGTTGTAATTATAGTATAATATAATAAAGAATTATAATTATATAATGGATTAGTAAATACGTATATATTACTATATACATATAGTAATATATACATATATACTAATATGCTAACGCAATTTTAGGACATCATTTATGAAACTTTTTGGAGTGAAACTTCTTTACGCGTGCTGGGAGTAAACATTCGAAGCCGTGACATACGAGCTAGCGAGACGGACGCAGCCCTGACACACGAGCTAGTTGTAACGAAACGTGTTAACGGTTTAGAAATACGTAGTGCCGCGACGTGTATTTGTGAGAAATATTGATATTTTAATACAAATTTTGTAAAAGTGAATCAAATTATTACGTGTAAAAAACCATTTGTTATACGTAAAAAACTATTTGTATTATTTTACGCGAATAAAACTCTTACGTAAAAAACTATTTCTTTTGGTAGAAAACTATTTGTTACGTGTAAAAATCTATATGTTACACGTAAAAAATTATTTTTTTCGTGTCAAAAACTTATTGTTTCTGGTAAAAAAACATTTTTATTTTCTGGTAAAAAAACAATTTTACACCAAAAAAAATTTTTTTAACGTGTAAAAAACTATTTGTTACACGTAAAAACTAATTTTTACTGTCAAAAACTTATTGTTTCTGCTAAAAACTTTTTACACAAAAAAAAATTACGTGTAAATAACTATTTGTTACACGTAAAAAACTAATTTTTAGGCGTCAAAAACTTATTGTTTCTGGTAAAAAAAAACTTTTTTACAGGAAAAAAAATTACTTGTAAAAAACTATTTGTTACACGTAAGAAACTATTTTTACGCGTCAAAAACTATTTGTTTCTGTTAAACAACTTTTTTACGCAAAAAAAAACACTTTTTACGCATAAAAACTCTTTTTTACGCGTAAGAAAATATTCCTTTAATTTATTACTTTTTCAACGTTTCAAACATTTCCTTCAAATTTTTGAATTTAATAGAATCTTCCTAAACAGTAGATGTTATCATAAAAACATTTTTAGATAATATCCTAAAATGAAAAAAAATGCATACTATGTATTTAATTTATTTTTATTGTATTATTAAATATTACGTCCGCCTATGACGGGGTCTCATAGAAAACACTAAAGACGCTACAGAAAACAAATTGATTTGTTTTCATTTGCGTTTTTTGCGAGACACGCCGAACGCTAGACGCTTTTGGTGGGGCCACTCCTATATAATCCTGATATTTTGTTTTAGACGCAAAAGATGCTTCACGCTTAAAACGCTTTCTGTGTGGCCGTGCACTAAAGGTCTGCATATGCTGAAGACACATTCTAAATTTGAACAATTTTGGGCAAGCTGTTTATAACTCTTCCACTTGGTGCACAAAGGTCGGAAGTCCAATTTTTTTAATAAATAGGTTTATGCATTACTAGATATATGAGAATTAAAAGCATATGCCAAAAAAAATCTAGAGTAGGTATAATTCCTTTACATAAAAAAAAATGTAAATATTTTTTTAGGCTGATGTCCACATGTATTTGGTGTACTAAAGACGTATAAGGACATCTGCCTTTAAACCACGCTCAATTTTTGGCGCGCTAAATTTGTATTTGGACATCCGCCTTTAGAGCACGGGCATCTCGACAAGCGCTGTATTTGAAGGTTAATAAAATTTGTAAAGAAGGAATAAAATTTGTAAAAGATCGCATTGAACCGTTTCCAGTGTACGAGAGCCATTATCGCGGAGATAATACTAAGAGAAGATATTTAGAATGCAGTCTTAATATTATAATTATGTATAACCTTTATAAAGAAAAAAAGTCTGGAACTGGTAACAATCCTGTTAAGGAAAGTTATTATAGGCAGATATTCAACACACAATACAATTTATCTTTTAAAATCCCGGAAACTGATACATGCGATGATTGCGATGAATTTGAAAGAAGATTAAAGGATGCTTAGAATGAATAGGAAAAAGAAATTATTATCGTAGAAAGAAATGCACATTATATGGAAGCAAAAAGGAGATACGATCTTAAAAAAGGAGATAAAGAGAGATTAAAACAAATGAATTCAGATGAAATTTTACTGACATTTGATTTACAAAAATGTCTTGTTACACCGAGCTTGACAAATAATTGTAAGTCATTTTATTTACGAAAATTATGGACTCTAAACTTTACAATTTTGAACTTGACTAAGAATAATGAAGCGACATGCGTAGTATGGGGTGAAACTATTGGTGCTAGAGGGGGTAACGAAATGGCTTCTTGCTTACTAAAATGGGTAGACCTCAACTGTATGAAACATGAAAACATTCGGATAACAATATAGTCAAACAATTGTGCTGGCCAGATACGAAATATTCATTTAGTTTTTATGTACTTTTACATACTGCACAAATTTCCTAATATTAAAGAAATAAATCACAAGTACTTCCTGAAGGGCCACACTGCCACTCGCACGTGGAGGTTGATTCAATACATTCTGTTATCAAAATAAGATGCTTAAAACTATAGATATTTGCGTTCCCCATGACTGGGTTCAGTTTATCAGCACTTGTTGAAAATACAAAGTGTATAAATGGTACTGGACGATTTTAAACAAGCCTTCTTCTTTAGGCAAAATATCAAAAGGTAATGAAGCTCCATTTGTTCAGAGGAAACGAAATTCAGATGCTGAAGAGATTTCCAAATGTGTGCATTTTAGATGTACCACTGATCATATTGTTACATTGTTTTATAAAACAAACTTTCAAAACAACGTTTCGAACGTTTTCAGAAAATTGATTTACGACGATTCCTAAGGATGGATCCCAGAGTCATGCAAACCATTCGACATGAAACTACCTCATGGAAATAAGAAATCGTCAAATAATAATCTAGATAGTGATGATGTCCGTTAAAAGTAATATTATTTGCTCATGTATGTTTTTTTCGGGATTAAATGTTTTTTGATTTTCTGTGTGGACATCGGACTTTGGGTTTTCTAAAATTCGGGGCGGATGTCCAAGAATTTATTTTTTTCTTATTACTAAAAAATGTAATGTTATTTTTATTAGCCCAGAAATGTTCACTTTCGTTGTATTAATAAACCTCTCAAAACTTTTAGTCATGGTTGTATTTTATGCACAATAAATACTCTACGATAACTTACATATTATTTTTTAAAGTGATTTTTTTCAAAACGTTAACTGTTGGACTTCCGACCTTTGTACACCAAGTGGAAGAACTAATTTAAGAAAAACTGCATCTATTTTTAAATTAAAACTGCAACAGGTAACAAAACCAGGCAAATGCCAACATACCTTAATTGTCCAGTTATAATTTTGTTAATGTCGAATTATATTTCTCCAATTTTCATATTCTTTAATTTGAACATGTTTTGAATTACAAAAATGAATTTCAGGTACACTAACCGTAGATAACACTACACCAGTAACACTTGGCTTAGCTGTTATTTGGATGTAAAATTTGTATGGAATTATTTGTTTCCAACGATGATGCCCCCGGTATACAGTTTTGAAATGTAAAAAAATTATCTTAATTATTTAAAAAAAATGTAAACTTATTATGAAAATATTCATAATTTTGTTTAAAATATCAAAAATGTATATTATGATTTAAATAATTAAATAAATACGATATATCATAATATAAGAGGTTTTCTAAAACCTATGCTGGCAATAATTTTCCTCTATTACCTATGCAATTTCTTGGTCCCCCACTGAAAGGTATATAAGAGTAAGGATGCCTGTCTCTACAATTTTCCGGCAAAAATCGAGACGGTTCAAACTTTTCTGGATTTGGCCAGTATTTGGGGTCCCTGTGGATGTCGTAAATATGAATATGAGTCGATAGACCTTTCGGTATAATTCCAGCCTTTGTTACTATATCTTCACTGGTTATTCGTCCTATAAAAGGCACGCTGGGGTAAAGTCTTAAACTTTCTTTGATACATCTAAAATAGATTTTCTTATAAAGGACATACTCGGACTGAAAAATGTTAATAATAACTTTTCTAGTGTATGAGAGAGAGGGTTGTTAACAAAAAGGGTTGTGTCACTTTTAATAAGCTTTAATTTTAACTATGCATAAACTGTGTGACATAGAAATTGCAACACCCAGTATTTGTAAATATATTTTACGAATATCTTGAGAAGTAGTGGAGATAAATATGAAATATTATTCATATTATTTATCTCCGATGATATTTTCAAACAAATTTATTGAAAATAATTCTTAATAATTTAATAGCGAGCTGCTGTGTGTTTATTCTGTGAGGGTGCATCCATACCATCCTAGAAAAAGCGGATCGTATACGGCGTAACGACCTTGAATAGATTTTCAGTAATTCAATTGGCTGAAAAATTCATCTGTCAAAAATTTCATCTGTCAAAAGTTTCAGCCAATGGAATTGCTGGAAATCGATTCAAGGTCGTTACGCCGATACGCCGTTCCGCTTTTTCTAGGATGGTGTGGATGCACCCTGACTCTTCGTGGCATCGTGAATGAGATGGCCGATATCTTCCTGTGGTAGGTTCTCTCAGGGCAACATTATCTCTTGATGTATATACTGTATATCCAATATAAGATGTGGCAACCGACTCTGCCTTCTACTTGTCACATCCCAGACATTTTCCAGGCGCGTGCGGTCCATGGAAGCGGGGGAAGCGGCGCCGGCGCTTCCCTATACGTTGAGACCAAGCTTTTTAATTAATAATTCATAGCAAGTAATATGAATCTAGGTAGTGGTTTATATGTGATCTGTTAAACATATTTTTCGACTTTTTTTATTAACTTTATCAAATCGCTTCCCCTTGTAGAAATTTCACCGCACGCCACTGACATTTTCAATAGGAGATTGGTGACATTGCGGGACACGGAAGAAGGTTTACATTAACTTTTTGGAGGAATTTTCTAGTAACTGTAACCGTATATGGTTTGGCATTGTCTTGCTGGAAAATTAGATCAGTTGCAGATGCAGTTGCTGAAGGTCGGGTAACGCGAGAGGTTCCAACACGTTATTAATGTAGGATTGAACATTCATATCATTGTCCAAAAAAAACTAGCGGTAATCTACTTCCAACTGTTATGGTTAGCCCAAACCATAACGCCCAGTAAGCGCAGTATCACGCTCCATGCAAAATTGAGGTTGTTACCTTTTTCATATCTGCTCTGACTCATCAACTCATCTACGACCATCATGAGTCCACAAACAAAAACGTGACTTCAGATTCATATGCAATTGCTGCTTTTGCTGAAGTGGTCACTAAATGCACAAGTCTTAGGAGCATCTTTTTGGGATTACTGGTTCTTCTTCTTCTTATAGCCCCACTGCCCCTACGATGTGCATGGTGACACGCCACTCTCATCTCGACACCGGTGTTGGTCTGGACACCGGTGTTCATCTCGATACCAAAAGTGGTATCGATACCACTTTTGGTATAGACACTGGTGTTTGGTAAACGGGTTAAAAAACACAAAAATAATGTTAATTAATAAGTTCAAAATAAACCTGATAATAATAATGTCGTATCGGTGCTTATTTTTATCGTTTATTAAAGCGCACCGACTTTAACTTAAAGCTTTCAAATTTAAATAAGTATATTTTTTTGCCAGACTAATCACTAAAATAAAGTGGATGCGTCAGATAAACAACTATAGATTAAAAAATTGTTTAATCAAAAACAAACAGAAAACAAAACAAAACATAAAGAAACAAAAATTGGTAGCTGTAAAACAAACTAAAAAATATTACATTAAAAAAACAAACAAACGGCACCATCGACATCGACACCGGTGTTGAGATAAAAATCGGTGTTGAGATAAAGACCGGTGTAGAGATAAATACCGGTGTTGAGATAAACACCGGTGTCGAGATAAACACCGGTGTTCATCTATAACAATTCAATGTTCATCTATTCAAATCTCAACACCGAACAGGTCTAATCGAAGCCTCTCGTAAACCTATTAACCTAAAAGCGATACCAACCAAACTTTTAGTTACGTAATCGAGGGCGCGATTTTTAAATTCATTTTTGCCAACCATTGACGTATTCGGCGCCGCGTCGGACTGACTAACTGGAACTAGAATTTATTTATTTATTTCTTGACATTGTTAATCGTTTTGACACTTCAGTTTTATATTACGAGTTTTTGGTAAAAATGAATTGTGTTGTGATTTGTGATACTACCATCTTATACTAAAATATCGTACTATACTGTATGGGTGTCAAATTTATTTCTCATGTTTGTTTTGTGGTTCTCTTGATGTATTGTATGTCTATACCTTTATATATAACTCTAATTCTTTACGCTCCTGAGGAAGGCATAAACCATGTCGAAATTTAGAACTATAGAATAAATTGAGTCTGATTTAGAACAGACCGCTTCCCGATAATATATCTGTTATATATTTATAATTAATTTACTTTTGTTTCTTAAAATATTTTGATTAAAAGAAAATATGTAAAAGTGGGGAACGCTGTGCCGGTCAAGCTTAATCACATGACTAAAAGTTTATTTGGTATGATCTATACCTTCTTCAGACTCATTTAATTGACAATAACATGGCACGTCTTCTTAGAGGAGGTACTGCAAAACAATATTCTCAATACTCCAAATGCAATTAAACTGTATGTCTCCGTACCAATAATTATCAAAAATAAAATAAAACCTGTTTGTTTCTTTTTGAAATTAAATACAGTCTGGTTATTTCGTTATTTGTAAACAGACTGAGACAGTCAGGAGCGTCTCTTTGGGATTAACGGTTCTTCTTCTTCTTAAAACCCCACTGCCCCTACGAGTACACTTTCTGCTCCTGCCTGTTAATCTCCTGATTAACGACAAAACATTATAATTAAATATAAATATAGCTAAGCATATACTGGATGTTGCAATTTCTATGTCACACTGTATATATCTAACTTATTATCCATAAACATATTGACGTTTCTGTATATAAAATTTCTGTTTTATTAAATATGTATTACTGATAAAAATGTAGGACATAGGTTTTATAAATAATTGGCATTTTTGATTGCGGCTGCCATTTTTCGTAAGACGTATTAAAACTTTAATTAATTAAAACCAAAAACCTTTGTTTTCTTAAAAATATTTCTATCTCAAAATGTAAATTTTGCAATAACTTGTCATAAGGATATCAGAATATATAAATATCAATTATCTAAATAAAGGTTGGGTATAAAGTAATCGTATGTATAGCATTAATTGATTGATTAATTGATTGATTGCGGCTGCCATTTTTGGTAATATGTACGTATTAAAACTTTAGTTAATTAAAACCACAAAAACTCTTGTTTTCTTAAAAAAATTCTATCTCAAAATGTAAATTCTGCAATAACTTGTTATAAACATATCAGAATACATAAATATCAATTTTCTAAAAAAAGGCTGGGTATAAAGTAATCGTACGTATTATAGCATTAACATTTTTTTGTTTTACTCTCATGTTCATTGTATCATCATATTAAATTTTTAAAGCAAATCATATTTTTATAATTATTTATCAAAATATAACACTCTAACTTGTCATATAGTTATTAAAAAATTAAATATTTATTTTATTTAGTACAACTTGACTAACTTGTTATAAACATTTAAAATAAAGAAAATAGAAATTCAAAATTAAGAATAGTTCATTTGATCATTTGCCTTTGTTTTATCATTCAAATAAACTTGTAACTTGTAACTTTGTGTATTATTTGTTTTTATCTCGTAAAAAGTTATATGGAACTTTACAGAATATTTTAGTCATTCAGCGCAGAGTTTTATATGGTTAATATACATTTATTTGCTATAGTAAAATATTTCCACGTCAAAAACTTTTGCAAAAAACAGTTTTAGAGCAAACTGATAAAAACTTTTTTAGTGAATAGAACATGTAATATAATATATATTTTGTTGTTTTAGACTCCTTTCGAAAAGTTTTAATAAAAGTATATAGTCACATAAAATATTCGGCTTCAAGAGGAAAGTTTTATTAATTGCGATATTTGATTTTGTCTTATTCTAATTAAAATGCACCACCTGCACGTTATTTAACTGTTTTGAAGAGTAATAACTTTTTGTCCGTACCTGTAATACAATACCCAGAGAAAAAATATACATTTCCGCCGTTTTTTACAGTTAAAAAGGGTTCCTTGATAAAAATTAATTAATACGTGTCATAACTGACAAAAAAAATTACTTTTGCACCAGAAACGCGTATCGCTAACCTTGTTACCATTATAAACAGATGACGCTAACATTATTAACGAAATGCACGTCCAGTGCGAGAGTAAAGTTTTTTGGTGTATTGTTAGTGTTTTATTTTACTGTTATAACACCAAAGGTTCCAATCCCCAACTGTAATTAACTTTTAAAAGTATGTAGTAGTGGGTATTCATAATAATTATCCAATACCTTTCCATTAAACTCATTTCTTGTAAGTCATTATACGTTGGTTCCTTTTCCAAGTTTGTGCCTAAAATATGTATGATTTCCTCATATACTTCATCCTAAAAAATAATATTCAATTTAGTGGTATGTTTAACAATAATGGAACAAAAATATGTATTAACTACAATCTTAATTAATTATAAAAATATATGATACCAACCTGTATTTTTCTATGACAAGCTAATAGCATTAGTGTAAATGTCAAATTTGCTGCTGTAGTATCGTGACCCTAAAAGCAAAATTGAGTTTTTAACGATTATTGGAACCTTTAAAAAACAATCTGAACCAATTTAAATTAGTTCCTATAGATTTGACCTCATACATTATACAGAATTATGAAATATATTATTCGACACTACAAACACGTCTGAGGTTTTATCCGCGAAATTTTTTTTGGAAAATTTGGAATTTTTTGAAATATTTTTTGGAAGTTTATTTTTTAATTTTTACTTAAAAAACATAATATTTTTATAATATTACAACATAGGTAGTAGATTAAACTTACAAGGAAGAAAATAGAAAAAAAGCTCTAGTGGTTCTCCAAATTTAAGTGAAAAATATATATTTTTAATTTTCAAAGTAAAATGTGTTGGTTATTTTGGCCTTACAAACATGGCCAAAATTATTGCATATAACGATATTTTTATTTTATTTTGGACCTAATATGATTCTTTTTATATTTTTGGATCACGACTTTTGGCTTACTACACGACTAACTAATATAAAATTAAAAATCTAAGTGCAACTAGGCTGTTATTATAATTTTACTTCATAATGAGTGAAAATCAACACAAGCAAATTTTATTTAAAACAGAAAATATTGAAAACAACTTTAATTATTTTTCATAACTAATATATAGTCTGTATTGCCTCCTCGAGCCTCAATGCAAGCTGTGAGACGACGAGGCATGCTCTCAATTAAGTTGTCCAGAAGATGTTGAGGAATGGCTTCCCATGTTTCGCGCGCAGAAATGTTCAATTCATTTAAAGTACTATATATATATATATAATATGGTGTTTTAGCATGTCCCAGGCATGCTCGACCACATTCATATCTGGAGACCACAGTTTTCTTATACCCTCTTCCTCACAAAATTCGCGAACCGCTACAGTGCGATGGGAAGGAGCATTGTCGTCCATGTAAATAAATTCATCCCCCACTGCCCCTCGAAATGGACGCACAATAAACTAAAACGTCTCTAAGATATGAGGCGCCTGTCATTGTGCCATCAATAAAAACAAGAGTTCGAGCTCCGTGCATTATACCTGCCCATACCATAATGCTTCCCCCTTGAAAGGGGACACGGGGTTGAGCTGCATTCAAGCGTGCTCGTCTTCCAGATGCTCTCCAGACCAAAGTTCGTCGCGAGTCTGACAACAGGCCTATTCTTCTTTCATTACTAAACACGACGAAATTCGAATTCGGTTCATTTGCTCTCATCTCCTCAGCCCATTGTAGTCGCGTAATTTTGTGCTGCAAATTAAGCTTCGGAACACGTAGAGGCCTCCTTAAATGTAATCCTCTAGCATGGATTCTTCTTGCTCTTCTTGGTCTTTCTTGAAACATTTACTTCTTCAAGGCGAGCTAACTCATTTTTAATAGCAGTACTCAGCGGCGTGCGATCCATGGAAGCGGGGGAAGCACCGCTTCCCTAAACTTTTTAAAGATAAAAAAATAAATAGTTAAACGTTAATAATACTGTTATTTTATAACAAAAGATTAATTTAATTTGTTAAAATTATTTATTTGAAACCTTACATAAACGTAGTAAATTTAATTAGCCTTTTAATGCATGGAGGTGCGCCTGGAAATCGCCGCCGGTCGCCTATCCCTCCTTCATGCAGGTGTTATTGACCTCGAACGCAAACGGCAAATTTAAGCCGGAAAATCGCGCACAGTTGCTAGCCACGGCAGCGATCTTTCGGCCGCCTTCCGCGACTTTTAATTTATCAGGACGGGTCCGCTTGCGATTTTATAGGTAATATTGTATTTTTTTCGGATTTAACTTAGTGTTTACTGTTTCGATTGTAATGGAGGGTCAAGAAGGGCAATCTTCAGCTTCTGCTAGTATGTGGACAATAATTTAGACTGTTTGTGTTGTAGGTATGTGTGTTGTTAAAAAGGGATTTTCTAGTCGGAACTTCCAAGAAAAAAGTGACATTATTAAGTCTGGTAGGCCAACGGTTCCTATCAATTTAGAGACCAGGGTGGAGAAGTCGGTAAAAAAATTCATTAGACATTTTCATGTTGGGTTTTACGACAACTATGAGTGGTTAACCGGCTGCAATAAATTATCCAAATTATTTTGTTGGCCCTGTTTACTTTTTAATATAAGTAGAAGACTAACTGGAACGTAGCCGGGATTACAGATTTAAATAATTTTCACAAAAGTGTAAAAAGGCATGTCAATAATTTTCGATAGAATTTTAACAGAACAATGGAATTGGCCTCGGAATTTTCAAAGGTAAGTTTTTTAAGAAAATGTAAAAGTAATGTCTCGAAATAGGGTTTTTTACCGATTCGCTTCCCCGCCTATAATTGTCACAACACGCCGCTGGCAGTACTAGAAAGCAGGGGATTGCGTCGTGCAATTAGGGATATTTGACGGTCTTGCACAGCAGTACTAATTTTCTTTCTACCTCTTCCAGGCCGATCTGTAGCCTCGTTTGTCTCCCGGAATTATTTTAATATTTGCGAAACATTGCTTTGGTTAACTCCTACAATTTCAGCTATTGCAACTTGCCGGTAGCCCTGTTGAGACAGTATTACTATTCTTACTCTATTAAACTGTGAAATAATGTTTCTAGGCATTTTAACGCCAAAACAATGGTCAAATTTCTTCTGAAACCCAAGAGACCACAAATCGAAATGTGCAAGAATTTGTAATAATATTGGGTCTGAACGATAAACATTTTTTACTATATCCATTTTAACAAAAAATTGTTTATTACAGATTATCAAAGCTATGTATAAAAAAAGATTCTTTAAATTCCTTTCCGTATATTTTTAAACAATATATGCAATAATTTTGGACATGTGTGTATTTGAAAAACGATAAAGAGAAAATATGCTTCTTTTATAGAGATCTACCAGCCCTGAAAATATTTGCACTTATTGTATATATTTAGGCTACAATATCTGACTTGGAAAAGAAAACCAACACGCAGAAATAACAAGACGTATACGATTAGTATAGATTTACAACCAAACCAAACAATACTATCCCCATAAACCTAAATCGAAAAGTATATAACACCTGTATTTTTCCTGTGCAAACATACTGACTGGAAACGACCAGTCTAACAAAATCTTTTGCAAATAAACTCTTAACAACTCAGAAAGCTATGGTACGATGTATACTAGGGGTCTCTCTACGAAACAAAATTCGTAATAAAAATGTCAGGAAGCCAACAAGAGTTACCGATATAATTCAGGAAGTGGCTAACCAGACTAGATAAAGACAGGTAGACGCATAGAATAATAGTGTGGAAGCTAAGACCTAACCAAACCAAACTAAAAAAGTGTAGAACGCCACAAAATCGTTGTGTGGACGTCATTAGAGAAGTGGCAGGTAAACGGTTGTTAAATACGGCACAAAACAGAGAGACATTGCAAAGGATAGGACAAACCTCTATCCAGATGTGTGGATAAATGCGAGTTGAAGAAGAAGAAGAATTATGTACAAATTCTCAATTAATTAATACGTGTAATTCTATAAATTTATTGGTGAGACACTGCCTCAAACTTCTTCCTCATAGAACAAGCTGCCCCTGGCAAAAATCGCGCTAAAATGGCCACATGTGCGTGGTTAGCCCATATTTTATAGATTTAGCTCCTAATAATTTCATTACATTCCTGATGCTGAAAGTTTCACTCGGACGACAAATACTTTCACCTATTGAGATCGCCTTTGTACACAAAAAAAAAGGAAAAGTTGGGTCGAAATGTGAGGTCGACAACTTTTCAGAATACTCTCATTTAGGTAACCAGAAGTAGCTCCAAGCGGGAACCAACTGAAATCGGACCAACTGAAGAATCTGGAAGACTCCATCCGTAACCTCGAATAGGTGTCCTCCAACGGTCTAAGACACTCGAAAAAGTTCCTCAGAACCGAAAAAAATCAAAGATTTTCCTTGATTTAAGTAAAAACAATCTTTGGATTGCAATACTTAATAATCTCCCCAACGAACACCTCAGTAGGCTGAAGCTGAGAAACAACGGCGAATGGTGCACGGCATTGGTCAGTTTGTATTCGTATCGTCCAGCAGTAGTGATAAAAAAATAAAATATATCATTGAAATACCATGGTCTAACGCTTCGTAGAGATATACTATTGGATAATTTGTGAATATTCTTTTGATATTCCGCTCCACCTTCGACTTTATCCAATCTGATACCCATGGACGTACCTAAAATATATTTTTATATTATTAGATATTGTAAAAAACATTTATTAATGTTTCTACAATATACAATATTCAGATTCTGTGGGGAAAATAGGGAAACACCAGAACACCTTATCACTGAGTGCGTCGAGACGACGACCTTCCTGCCATGAACTTTGGTACGGCTGATGTCGAGGATGGAGACCTGGCCTCTGTGGAGCCGTCTCAGATACTGGCTTTTGTTAAAGCCCTGAGATTGTATGATGAGTTATAACTTGTTATAACTCAAGAAGGGGGAACACACAATAGATCTGTAAGGTCGCGGTGATTAACTCCCCTCCTAAACATTCTACATTTACCTCGACATTTACCATTCTAGGTACCTACCAGTTATATTTGTTTACCTATTTCTTGCTTACCTCAAACATAAATGTGTTCACCTCGTCTCTAATTCCCTGATCATCTATAGAATTATTTTTAATTTTGTCGTTAAGGAGCAAATCCAATAAGGCCAACTTCTTTTTTTGATATTCTAGTTGATCGTAATTTTTGTCACTTGAAATATTAAACGTTTCAAAGGTTGTAGCCTTTTTCTTAATAATGTCATCAACAAATCGGTGCACGGCATTGGTCAGTTTGTATTCGTATCGTCCAGCAGTAGTGATAAAAAAATAAAATATATCATTGAAATACCATGGTCTAACGCTTCGTAGAGATATACTATTGGATAATTTGTGAATATTCTTTTGATATTCCGCTCCACCTTCAACTTTATCCAATCTGATACCCATGGACGTACCTAAAATATATTTTTATATTATTAGATATTGTAAAAAACATTTATTAATGTTTCTACAATATACAAGTAAATAACTTGATTTAGTTTGGTTGACTGTCTGAATATTTTGCCACAACTATTTGGAAATATAAAATGGAAATTACCATTTATTCCATATAGCGCTGCATCTGACGCAATAGGGGCAACATTGACTGGTGTATTCAGGTGGCAATCTTTTACTAATTTTACCATTTTTCTAGTTTCATCGTTGAATAAACTTATAAATCCTTGTAGAATGGAAAAATGAAAAGCTGGTGTAAGAATTTTTCTTCTGGCTTGCCACGAATCTCCTAATAAATTGATTAATTTATTATAGAATATTTATGTAATAGATATCTGATATCTTACACACCTGTGTTGGTTAGCAAACCCAGACCAAGCCACCTTTCAAGCCATGAGTAGATAGCAGATTTTTGGAGGTGTTTTGTAGATGAAATAATAGCCTATAGAAACAATATACATATATGAAAATTATTGCACTTAGAAAATTAAAACTAGATTATTTTGACACATTTTACAAATATTTGATTACAGAGAATAACTTGTACAATTTTTAATTTTGATAAAATTTTCTAAGAACTATATCTAAACTGACACACAGAGAAGAGCTTTTTAATGCCAATCGTCTAATAACTAACCTGCAAATAGTACAAGCATTGATTTATACACTAACCGGTACGAAAAACGGGCATTGTCTTTTGATTCATCTCAATAGCTTTATTAGCCGACCATAACTATTGGTATGGAGGTTGATATGGTTGGGAGGGAGTTTAAAAAGAGGTTGGTATGGTTGGGAGGGGGTTAAAAATTTTAAAAATCGTAACTCCAGAATTACAGTAGCTAGCGAAACGCGGTTTTCAATTTATGATTAAGAATAATATTTGCAAAAAAAATTGTAATAACATCAAAATCAGTCAAAGTCGCAGTTTTTGAGATAAAAAAAATTGAAAAATTCCTTTACTTTGAAACTAAAAGAACTGCCTACCAAATTTTTATTAACATATTTTAGTATGGGCGGTTACACGTGCGTCCCGGCGCCATTTTTTTTTTCGTATTTTTTATATTAAATACCCTTGCTTTTTGTCCTAGTCAACAAACCTATAAAATAGTGTTTATGTAATGTAATGTCACTTTCTTTGAAAAATCATATATTATTGTCTGTTAGGTAGTCACTCCAGCAGATATGGTTTTATTTTCAAAATTTGACCTCCTGCCATGATGAAGCACCAGTAGCCGATACTTCAGAACTTAAAACCATCTCCACTAGAGTAAATATTAATAAACAATAATAATATGACTTTTTAATGACAGTGATATTACAAAAACAATAAACCTATTTTAAGTGTGGTGATGAGTATCAAGTGTGGTGATGATTTTATCAATGCTAAAATTTCTGTAAATCGGCACTGTCTTATTTAAAAGCGAATATCTCCAGTAAAAATAAAGCTATTGAGATGAATCAAAAAACAAACTCTTGAAAAAGATGTATCTAGATGATAAAATTATTTTTTCTTTCTTAACAATATTCTATAAGGTGGGTCAAACTTTGATCAAAATATCAACATTTTGTTTTTCCTCGTATAATTATTTATATTATTAATAATAATTGATAGATAGCAACAATAATTTTTAATTTAAAAAGAAATGCTAAAACGTCCAGTAATTTACCTACAAATTGCTCAATCATCATCAAAATCGGTCCACTAGAACACAAGACATAAAACTTTAAAATGCATGAAAATTTAAAGGTGACCGTTTTTCGTGCCGGTGAGTGTAAAAACAAAAATGTAATAAGCAGTGAAGAAGAATATTTCGAAAGTTTTCATTTTTTCCTTTCGTTATAAGCTTAAACCTAGGTACCTAAAATTCAAAACTTTAAGTTTGTGACACATCTAGAATATACCTCTCTAGAATATACAGGGCGCGATACAGGGTGAGTCTTACATAAGTGCACATATTTTGAGGGTTGGTAGGTCTCGATAAAATAAACATATTTTCTCTTTACAGTTTTTCAAATAAATCCAAAATAACGGAGTTGTTTTACTTTAAAAATTTCCAAAAAAATGATGTTTTGCTTAAATTTTAATAACCACTGGATCTTTTCTGGATTTTCTTTCTTGTATATTTAATCCTCTACCTATGTTGCCATATTATCAAGAAATAATGTTTTTTCACTAAAAACTAACAAATATTTTCAATTTTTTTTTAATTCCAAATTTCCAACTTTTTTCGCGAGAAAAACCCTCATAATCGTGTTTCTAGGGTCGAAATATACTACCCCTAAAAATATTTGCACTTATTTAAGACTCAACCTGCATATTCTAGAGAGGTATACCGGATGCGTATTTCCATAATATACCATGTAGAAAGCATAGTCTCTAAGCCCCGCCTCCAAGCTTATTTCAGCATTGAATATGTCTCTAACGCGGTATAGAATGGGAATAGGATAATGTGCCAAATGCGGTATAGTATGGAGTAGGCTTGATCTGACTACTTGATTTAACTTCTTGCAGTTTGCGACCGTTGCGAATTGTAAACATGCATTAGGTGCATTAGGAAACAGTATGTTAGAGATTATGTTAAAAATATAAAACATGAAGTGAAATTATCCATATGTATAGTGCCTCAGCTTCACAACAACTGACTATTCACCAAAAAAATGTGCTGTAAGTAACGCTACACCTACATTTGTTGGGCCTCAATGATTTAGGGAAGATAATTTTGAAGATCAGCATTTTTTATTGAAAACGAATATGGAAAAAATATTAGGCTTAACACAAAAATAGAAAAGCTAGAAATATTAACACGATTTAATAATATGGTCACATCATAAATATTGATACAGAACGGCAGTTAAAAACAATTCTCACAAGTATTACATATTTAACTGTAAAAAAACAATTATTTTAAAGTACAACCAAGAGCTTCATTCTAAAGAACTTGGCTGTACTTAAACTGCCGTTAAACGGTAGCTTACTAAAATGCCGTTAATAGGTATGACGTCGTTGATGTGACGCACTTGACGGCTTTATGAAATATAGAAATTTTATAAGGACAAACCAACGCTATCCACCCCACCAAATAACCAACTTAACCAACGCAACTAACCTCGACACTGATAAAAATATAAAAAACAAATATAAATTAGTAAAAATCAACCAACCCCACCAAATAACCAACTAACCAATGAATTAACACCCTCCAAATAACCACGCTAACCAACCCGCCAAATAACTAAACCAATCCAAATAAAAAGAGTGAAACCAATGCAATAAGATCACGCTATAAGCAAAAAATATATAAAAAAGTCTTGGTCGGCGTAAGACTTGAACCTGGACCATTCGCTTACGAAGCGATAGCCTAAGCCACTGACCCACAGGTGCTCTTGCAGAAAGTTTAAGGCTAGGCGTTACTTTCCGCCGACATGAACGACGTCACAATATCTAGTAGTGGGAACTATCGAATGAATACTATCGAAACATTCGATAGTTGCAATTCATTCGAATAATTCGATAGCTAGTAAAAAAACATTCGTTGAAAACTATTCGAATAAAAATTATCGAATAGATGCGTCATCTGCCTTGAAATATTGTATTCTAGTAATTCGGCAGCAAAAACTATTCATTTGTAAAATTCATTCATTTATGAAATTCATTTATTGGTCAGGATCGATTATAATAAAATATTAACTGGATTTTAGTTGTCGCCCGGCGACGTAGGTTTCTTTCCGGGAAACCCGACAGCGGTCGGTGGCAATGCTATGAAAGAAGCCGGCATCTTTGATTTTTTGCGGAGTCATATAAAGATAAGGACACATTATTTTTTTTATTGAGTGCTAGTATTTACACAGAAAATACATTATGAAGGGCGCTGTTGCCATATATTGGTATTAGTTGATATTAGCAAAGAATATTATTGTTTGGCTTTAGTTAGTTAGGGGTATGTATAAATATTTTGCATTTTTTTTTATTAATATTCTGTTGTTAGGTTAGGTTAGGTTAGGTTAGATAATAAAATATTTTGGATGTAGGAAAATTATTTTTAATGTTTTTTAAGCAAAGACTGGTTTAATAAAAATAATAATAACAGTATGCAGTGTAATGGAAGGAAAATATAAATAAAAAATTAGAAATCAAAATTATTTATATTAGGTACTTTATATTACTATTTAAAAATAATATTTACTTTTACTGGCATTTACTTTAAAAAATAAATGAAATATTTCTTCGCAAAAAACTACATATAAGAGAATTAGCATAAACAAAAAACAAACATTGTTAACTTTTTTTTTTTAAATTGGCACGTGTAAAACTTTCAATTTAATTTTCTCATCCCATAGTTTGAGTTCGATAACCCCCATTTACTTAACCACATTACTTAAATATGATTATTAAGTTCAACTAATTCGTATTATTAAAACATCTAACATACAAATATGTATTTTTAAAATTAATTCTAAGTTCATCTCATCTCTCTTAAAAATTGCTACTTCTCAAAATTTCCCATTAAAAAATTGACCATATTATATACCATATAAAATAAAATAATTGAAAGATCGGGCTATGGAAAATCACACAAATTTTCGGAAAAATTTTGACGCACACAATCGTCAATTAAAAAAACTACTATTTTAGTATTTTAAATATTTTAATAAACCCAAAAATAGCACAGTATTTATAAGGTGAAGTTATAAAAATTTGGAAGAACTAATAATGCACTGACGCACACAAAAATCAAACGAATACTAAATTTCATTTATCAAAAGTATTCGATAGTCGTGGCTCAACGATAACCATTTAGTCGCACGGCGAGGTAGTCACATATGCTTTAGTATACAAATGAATGAATGATTTTATTCGAATAAAACCATTCGATAGTTGAAATCATTCATTCAATAACCATTCGATAGTCTAATTCATTCGATAGTTCCCATCGCTAACAATATCTATTAAAGGCATTTTAGTAGGCTACCGTTTAACGGCTGTTTAAGTACATCGAAAGAACTTATGGTTCGCGCTCGCAAGAAAGGCTCATCAGGAAGACCATCAGAATAGAACAGGCTAAAAAAGAAAAAATGGTGTTTGAGCATAAATATCACCGAAAATACCCCAAATGCCAAAGGACATTGGTATTTTAATGTTTGTAATTAAAGCTGAGCATTGCAGTTTAACAGGAAATAGCAATATTTTTTATTATTTTTTGTTTAAATATTTTATATTTTAATGATTAATTTCTTTAGAATATAAGACACTTAAACAAAAAATAATTAGTTAATAATTAAAGATAATATGTATAACATTATTTAATAAATAAATGTTGTTTTTGTTGATATTTCGTTTGTTTTATATTTGTAGTCATGTTTTTAATATAATGATAAAGAATAGACATATACTATTTTACATAAATGAATATTACTGTTTATACTATCATAGGTTACGCTAGTAATGCGACTACGAACAATACTCGATTTTGGGGCATTTCCCAATTCCATTCTATACCGCGTTAGAGTCATCTTCCCTGCTGAACTAAGCTTGGGGGCGGGACTTAGAGACCTTATGCTCTCTACATGGTATATTATGGAAATACGCATACCGGATGCGTCTTAAAAGTGGCTCACCCCTATAACTTTCTTATTTTCTCAGATAAAAGGTGCCCGTTTTTCGTGCCGGTGAGTGTAGAAACAAAAATGCAATAAGCAGTGGAAAATATATTTTTATTAGACTACGCATACGCATTACCTTATTAAATCTGTGAAATCTGAAGGATAACCATATAACAAAAATTGAATTTCAGTTAGTACTTTTAGTAATTTATTGAGTAAGACTCCTTTATTCATTAAAATTAAACTGATTTTTATCCCTGTCAGTCTCAGAAATGCGTATATCATCAGTCTAAAAGTTGTAAAAACTGACGTAAAATTGACAAAAATATTTAAACCAACAAACTGCTGAAAGTTTCAGGTTTTCAAGTAGGTATAACTTGTTGTCTGTGCTAGAGGTGGGAATTATAGTTCCTTAGTTTTAGTTCCTCCAGAGGAATAGTTCCTTGAACTAGATCTTGAGTTCAAAATAGTTCCCGGCTAACATTGACATCCCCGTTGCTTGCTAATGGGTTTCGTTGTCAGTCAGAACTATTCACAGTATGATCTATATATTTTTTATAATGTACGAAATATAACGATACGTATAATTGTGTATGTTAAAAACATATAGGTAAATTTTATTGCAAATAAAAAAAAATAAAAAAGACACTCAAATCAGAGTTTAAAAACTATATCACAAATCAATTGGAGCAAATATTACGAAAAATTGCATTTTTCCTCAGCTTTTTGTTTTTGTCTAAAAATTCAGAATATCTACTTCGTTTTATAAGATATTTCTTAATTTTAGTGACCTAAAATGGAACATTCCCATAAAACAATTAAAGAACAAACTAAAAATCAAAAATAGTATCGACGAGAATTTTCTGTGGTAATTACGCCGGTTGTAGCAATAGACAAGGCCGAATCCATTGTCGCCTTGTATTGTATCTCGGATCTACCGGCCTAAATAGATTCCCGTGAACTAGTCTTTTAATTAGTTCCTCTATGTCCGGATCCGATAACATACAAGCATCAATCGCGCTGGCCGATCCGTACGGAACCTAATCTTTTATTTACTTCCTCTAGGAAGTAAATAATGCAGCCGTATGCTATCGGATTCGATAGCATACGGCTGGCATTTCCCACTCCCGCCTATTGGGATACATATTTGGGCTACTATATCGGTCACAGTATCGATCCCGGAATAGGTCCAGAGAAACTAGTTCTTTGAGAATTCAGGAACTACTTCCTGTCATTCCGGGGTCGAAATAGTTCATTGGTTCGCGAACTACACACCTGTAGAGTCTGTGCTATAACTGTTATTTCTACTCGTGTGATAAAAATAGAATCTAAATTAAATTTTAAAAAGTTTACATTTTTTTTCTTGATAATGGACCCTGAAACACTCTAGTCTCATAAATATACAAAAAAATCTATTCATTTTTAGAATAGTTCATCTTACCTCAACTATGTCTGGACAAACAACATTCAGAGCAAAGTAAGCCGGTCCAGCGGTCGCCAGATATGCTGGTTTTAGATGTTCGGATTGATTCCATTTTCGTACCACATTAAAAACGTGCTCTAAAATAAAAGTATTTTCAATTATTTAGTGATTTAAGCAGCATCAAAATCGCAATATCTGTAGGTTAAATAATGGTAAAATATAAACACATGAATATTATATTAAAGAATATGTATAATATGTTGGAAATCGGTGCATTTTCTTGCAAATTTTCCCACGGTAATTTCTCAATCTCTGATACGGTCTTTCTCAATCTCATGGTTACGGTCTTACTCTATGGTCACGACACTAAAAGGGATGCAAATACTGAAAAAAATCTGGCGCCTCTCATTTTCTTAAAAAAATTAATATTTTAATTTCCATTTTCTAACTTGAATTACTCGGTTATTTTGGACTTATTTCAAAAACGGTAAAGAGAAAATATATGTTTCTTTTATCGAGATCTACCAGCCCTGAAAATATTTGCACTTATTTGAGACTCTTAATAGCTTCGAGAAAAGGATGGTAATATACAGGATGTCCCAGTTCAAACGAAACAAGACAATTTAAAGGCATTTCTGGTGTGAAAAGAACAAAACGGTGAAACACGTCAACTTTATTTTCGAAGGGGAAATAAGATGCGACTATTTTTGAAGCCCCTAATTCAAACCCCACGCGGGGGTAACATCCACCCTTAAAATCTTAAACGTAATGCGCGGTAAAGTAGCACATCATTTGAAAGATTATTAAAGCTTCTTTTCAGCACCGTATCATTTTTGGAGTTTTTGTCACATTTGGTGGAATCGGGCTGAAAAATAAACTCTTCATAAATTTGATGATGCTTTCATATTTGATTAATTGTACAGGAATCGAAATGGGGTCTAAGATATGAAATTTAGATTAAATCAACAAGATTTTGCTTAATGAATAATACACAAAAAGTAGTACCCTGCTTTGAAACAATTGTGACGATTTACTGTTCCGTAGATGAAAAATGTACATTCATCCGAAAAGCTCATGTTGAAAAGAAGACGTGTACTATCCGACAAGACAAGTTTTTGGTAGGTAAAAAATTGTTTTTATTAATATCTTATCTTCTTTTGACGCAGTACTGGTAAATCTTTTTCATCTTGTCATTCAGTTTGGAAGTATTCTTAAAATTTTGTACGTCTTACTGTTCTTAGTATTATCGTAAGGGTATTTAGTACCGTATGATCGAATAAAAACGGCGTCAGCGATGGCTATGAAATGCAGATCGCTGTCATTTTATATGTAAATTTATATGGGAATGTCATCGATCGTCATTTCCAAGCCAACTGGACGCCATTTTTATTCGATCAGACGGTATTATTGTGAATTGACGTGATGATTTATTCTACTGCAGATAAAGTTGAGATAATTGAAAGTTTCTTTAGTCATGACGGATGTGGTAATAGAACGGCACAGTTATTTAATGACCGACATCCAGATAAACATGTCCATAGAAAGTACGTGCTGGAATTAGTAGCTCAATTTAGAGAAACTGAAAATGTCCTTACAAAGAAGCGAGAAGTTCCACCTGGTGTAGTTAATAATGGGGCGATGCAAATAGTAGTTCTAGGACAGATCCATGCCGAACCAATAATGAGTGTGAGACAATTGGCAACAGCTACAGGAAAAAGTAAGAGTAGTGTTCAAAGGATACTAAAATTCCACAAATTCCATCCTTACAAACTTCTTCTGGTCCAACAATTGAACGAAGATGATTACGACAAACGATTACAATTCTGTGAAGAACTAAGTGAAGCCCATTGCTACTCCACGTCTTCTTTTCAACATGTGCTTTTCGGATGAATGTACATTTTTCCCGAGATTTTTCCTCAGTGGAACTATGTAAATCGCCACAATAGTCGCCACTGGTCTGATACCAATCCTAGAGAATTCCGTGAGGTTCATACTCAAACCCTGAAAAAATTAATGTGTGGGCTGGAATCTTTGGCGACTGTCTAGTTGGCCAGCTCTTTCTGGATGGAAATCTAAATGGAAATATGTATCTGGATCTTTTGGAAAATGTCATAAATCCCAACATTACTTTTCAGGCAGGCAGAGGCTTCAAATAATTGAGAATGAAGATCCCTATGACGAAAATCAACTTGTGTTTCAACAAGATGGACCTCCTCCATACTATGCTGTACGTGTGCGGCAGTATTTTGATGAAACATTTCCCGGTCGATGGAATGGAAGAAGAGGACCCTTTCTTGAATGACCAGCTAGGTCACCGGATTTGTCTCTGCTGGATTTCTTTTATGGGGACATCTCAAAACAAAACTATTCGCCACGCAACCGGAAACAGTAGAAGTATTAGAGTTTGTAATCAGTCGTATACGTAATCGTATTACATCAAAGAATTGTACACGAGTGCGCGGTTATAACACCCGAAATCGAAATATTACAACACGTCCGAGAACGCTTTGAGCAGAACCTGTCTTCGTGCATGGAAGCAAGGGGTGCTCAATTCGAACATTTAATTAAGTTTTTTTTAAAGCAAAGTAGTACACAGCGTACTACTTTTTGTGTATTATTCCTTAAGCAAAATCTTGTTGATTTAAACTATATTTCTTATTTTAGACCCCATTTCGATTCCTGTACAATTAATCAAATATCAAAGCATCATGAATTTATGAAAAGTTTATTTTTCAGCACGATTCCACCAAATGTGACAAAAACTCCAAAAATGATACGGCGCTGAAAAGAGGCTTTAATAACCTTTCAAATGATGTGCTACTCGACCCCGCATTACATTTAAGATTTTAAGTTTTAAGGGTGGATGATACCCACTGGTTTGAATTAGAGGCTTCAAAAATAGCCGCATCTTATTTCCCCTTCGAAAATAAAGTTGACGTGTTCCACCGTTTTGTCCTTTTCACACCAGAAATACCTTTAAATTGCCTTGTTTCGTTTGAACTGGGACACCCTGTATATAATAATATATGTAAACATTAGATTAATAAGGACATTGAGACCTCAGTTTTTCTAGAACAAGTTCGACAAAACTAGATATGTATATATCTAACAGAAATTTTTGGAATGGAAAATACATTACGGGAACAATCCAGAAGTAAGATCAATTGGTAATTAATAAGTCCCATATGCATCTAAGTGCCTGTAATTTGAGACTTAATAAAGAACATAAAAATCGTATTTTTGTCCTTTTTATTTTATTCGGTATCAAAAACATCTCGACTTGATGCAAATATGCAAAAAATATGCAATCTAAATATAACTAGTTCTCTAGAAAGTGACATAATACGCAAAAACAATGATTAAATGACCCAATTGCCCAGCTCTTATTATTACGAATAAATAAAAAAGAGATTTGACTTTCTAGATAACCCATATTTTTATAGTTTAGTTAGTCTTCTGACAAGTTTAAAAATCAACATAGAGACATAAGTACCCATTTATTAGAGATATAATAAACAAAAGTAGCAATTGATAAGCTATGCTAATAGCTAAGAATTAAATATATTACAATAACAGTATACAGGGTCCGGCAATAGTGCGTCGGGCATCTATAAGCTCCTATAATAAAAAGTTAAGAATTTTGTTTAAGGACAAACCTAAAATATGTATTAGGATGTACTTCAGGAAAATCGTTTAACCTCTACAGGGTGGCTCAAAAAAGTGTGAGTGGATATATCTGTATTTGCTTTGCTACAAATATAGTAATCTTTAACCATACACGGTGTTCAAAATGGTATGCTAAACTTTTTAAAATATAAAATAGTTTTTCTTCGTTTTTTTAGGCTGTTTTCAGCTATTTTTCAAGTCTTTTATCTATGATATAAACATATGAAGAATCAAATAAGCTATAAATGTTGTCTCATCACTGAAAAAATCTCCTTGCTTCTTTGAAGTGTTGCCAGCGTCGCCGGCGAAACAACATAGTTCTGAGAACGGGATTACGAGTCTATTACGCTCTACTGTTCGGGTCGCTTTCAGGGGTCGGGTAAAGCAGGTGTGTGGCAGAGAGAAATATATATTAACATATATTTCAGAAATCTGCCTAAAGCTTTGCTCGGTCCTGTCGTGTTAAACCATACCCAAGATTCCAAACACACGTGCTTTGATTAAGTCTTTATTAAGGTTTGCAGAGCTTCAGCACTTGCCATAAAATAGCGAGCGGTTTGTTACAAAACCATATAAATTATATATCACTGTATTTGTAACGGAATTTTAAATTATGTCTTTATTTTTTAGAAAATTTAGTCTAAAAATAAGGAATATTTTGTTGATGTTTGACCATCAATATCTTAAAAATAAAGAAGTTGTCTAAAAATGTGTTACAATACGGATATAGTATAATCCTTTATCGTTAATTTCGTTGTCATTTATGGCAAAAATACCTAGCCAGTTTTACATAAAACGTTAAATGCCGATCGCTTATTTTGCTTCTTTTTCGGACTATTGTGTAAACATAAAGTATGTACGAGGATGTATTTCAAGAAAATATTTTATCTTCTATAGGGTCTTCTAGTATGATTGGACCGGGATGGTTTTTTTTAATGAAACATCCTGTATATAATTGCATTTTTAGCTTCCTTTCAGATACATTACATGATCCTAAGATATAGTAACTAGTTTTCGATAGTTTCAGAGATATTAATAAATAAATAAAAAATATATATTTTTCAGCCATCCTTAAAAAAATATTAGAAATACAAGAACTGTCCTAAAATCAAAACTATATTAGGTATTTACTTTAGATGGTCTAAACTTACTTTGCTATAAATATCGCAATCTTAAATCATACAGGATGTTCAAAATTCTACGCCAATCTTTCTAGAATATAAAATATTTTTTCTTTGTTTTTTTAAATGGAACGGCCTGTATATTATTTTTTTATTAGATGGACAATTAAAAAATGAACATTTCTTGTATTTGTATGTATACGCCGTATTATTTCATATGGCTCTCTCAAAGATAAAATACGAAAGAAAAATTATTGGGTGGCTTTGATAAAAAATTACTGTGGAAAATGACATATGAAATATAAAACCGTAAATATGTGTGAAACCAGCAAATATTTTGAAATACTCTAAATACAACCCCGCGGCCCCATGTTTCTAATGCCGCGGCCCATGCACCGCCCGGTATTACCAGTAGCGGATCCAGGATTTTCACAGGGGGGGGGCGCAAGCAAACATTTTTTTGATGTCACAGTAACAAAGTATAGAAAATAATAACAACGCATCTAGCCATATAGGATTTGATTCATGATATTTTTGTATTTACGTCATTAATGATACCGTCAAGATCACTCACCATTAAAAAATATGAAGTACAAAATCTGTTTGAAAACTTGAAACAAATAACAAAAAACTGTCGATATCATTAACATGATTTATTTAATATGGTATAAGTGAAACATATTTAAAAAATTTAGAAACTTTTTGGGAAAACTTGATAAAAGACTTAGACTAAAGACTTAAATATTATTTACTATTTACTATACGTATTTCACGAAAACGCTAAATAAAAAAATATAGTCTTAATTTTAAATTAGATTACAAAGTTTAGTTTTCTTTTTTGTTTTGAAAACCTATCTATGATAGATTCTAAATCCAACTTCATTGATCTATATATTATATATGTATAAAAGTGCTAAACCGTTTAATCTATCTTCAGCCGCTGCAGATCGAAGAGTTGAGAAAAAAAAAAAGTTGAGAAACTTCTTTCGGCAGTAGCTACAGAAACGGGAAGACAAGAAATAATTTTTGGCGCATTGTGGATATTAGGGTAGTCACTTTATTTGCACATTATTTTTAAAGCTAATAAAGCGTCATCACAGTTACTGTATATGGTTTCAGTCCTAAATAACATTAATTCGCCCATGAAAATTGCGTGAAAAGATTTTTGCAAAATCGACTCAAAATTTTCCACAATTTTTGCAACAGCGAAGCGTCTGATCTCGCGTCTGATATTTTTCCATATTCGTAATTTTGAAGGGTACTTGGGATACATAAATTTAATTAATCAATTTAAATTAAAAAAACGTCCATTAAATGTTGTGAAAACTTTCCTTTAAAATATGTTAACACAAAATCGCCCCCCTCGCCCCCTCCCTGGATCCGCCACTGGGTATTACAACATAATTTAATTTTACAATTAAATTGGAATATAATTTATAACCTAGTCTTCTAGTTGTTTATGTTAAAGCAATATTTGCATAAAATGTATGTATGATAGTACATAGGTATAGTAATTATTTTATATAATTAATTTGAATTACTTACCATTAGTAGATGCAAGATCTAATAAATTCCCAAGAAAGAAAATATTTCCGTCAGCAATGGGAAATTTAAAACTGAGTCTTCTATAACGAATTAATTCCTTTATGTCCTTGTAATAGTTTATAAGTAATATAAGAACACCAAGTAAAATAATGGAGCACTCAAAATACATATTTCACTGTATGACTAAAACTGTTTCTTTAAAAGATCCGGATGCACTAATAAATATTTCATTAATTTTATCAATTATTGATAAAAACATCTACTGGAACAAACTAATTGACTCGATTTGTTTACTAGTTTTATCTTAGCCTATATGTGTATACAGGGTTTCTCACAAAATCCGTTCATAAAAGTATTCTTGATTTAACCCTCAACTCGCGTGGTGAATTTTTGTACCGCTTATGGCGTGCTGGGATCCGACGGAACCCAATTTTTTTTCTGTTAAAAATACATGATGAAGAGATTTTATAAAAAGCTTATTATTTTAATACTGTTTACAATAGGTATATTCAAACTTGTGAACAAACAATTTCATTAATTTTCAACAAATTAATAAGAACGGATCCAAAAATAAAGCAAAACGCATTTTATAGGAATTTTTGACAACAGAAATATAACTTGGATAAGATATCCATAGAAATTAAAAACATGTATATTTTATGATTTTACCGTATTAATAAAAGTACAAACAACTGAAATGTGAAGCTAAAGTAATAAACATAAATTATTTTCAACAAAACTGCAAACCTTGAATGTACATAACTTTTTCAAATACAGTTCATGCTAATTTAGGATCTGCATTTATTGGATCGTGCACATTTGATTCATGAGATGTTTGTTTTTTGTTATTTCTTCGTTGACATATGGCTGACATATACCACATCTCTTTCTTTTCTGGTATTGATTGTTCAATTTTCTCTCTTCTATATGTAAGAGATTCAGAATCGGATTTATGGTTACTCTTCGAAGAAAAATCAATGTCTCGATGATCTTCATCTCACTTAAGCCTCTTTAAGTTCATCAAACAACTCAATTAATGCTTCCTTAAAATTAGCTTCCCAGTGAGACACACTTTTTAGACTACCCACTACCCACCATCTTAATAATGAAACATTCTTGGCGTGATGGTGCCACACAGACCCCAATGAAACTTTAGCCTCCGCTGCAGCTGGTAATAACAATAATTGATAAAATCAAGTGCGCCTTTAACAGTTGCATATTGGTACCCCAACTTAAAGGTAAATGGCGCGGCGAGGCCTAATCTTAAACGTAAACATTTTACAGAGGTTTAAATAGTCCTTGGGGTCCACTAGACCCCACCACGCCCGCCAGTTGAGGGTTAATTAGGATATGAATTTAACTATTTCAAGTTAATAATATTTCAAGTGTACTTTCCTTTAAATGTATACTTCGTTAGAACTCCGCAGTCACTGGTAGCTGTTAATTTGCTTAGTTTATAGAGAACTACTTGTATATTTTATTTTTTGTCTTTCGGGTTCAACATGAAATTCATTTTAACCATTTTTTAATTATTTTCAATAATTTTGTACAACTTAATTAATTTAATAAAGCATTTTCCGTTATGGACACATTTTTGAAGTGAAACTTCTTTACGCGCGTTAGGAGTAAAATTTCAAAGCCTTGAATGAGGCCGAGAGACGGCCGTGCCGCGCGAGCTAGCGAGAAGAAAACTGATAGCGGCAGTGTTGCCACAACTACCCCACTCGGGGTACCCCTTTGTAAAACAATTTAACCCCGTTGTCTCGTGAAAATTTACCCCGATAAAAAAATAAGCTTTTGGCAACACTGGGTAACGATCTGTGCCATACGCGGCTAAGAAAATCACTATAATAAACTTGAAACTGGAAACTGCACCTTGATTTTATATCTTCTGAATAACGGTCTAGGTAAATCATCTAGCTCATTTGCCAGCTCAGAATTAGAATTTAGAATTAGTAACTCGTACTTTCATTGAATGACACTGTCATATTTATTTCAAACCAATAATCAACGAGAATATTTGTATAATTTAATAAAATTTCTGTAAATCACTATGAATAATGAATTGTTTGTAATTGAGCCGTAATTTCTGTATTATTAATCCGGTAAATGATGGAGATAAACAATTGTGATTGATTAAAATTTCATTTTAAGATGAAACAGTTAACAACATTCTGAGAATTCGAATAATGACAAGACAGGTGACATTTGTTTAAAAAAGATAGCGATTTAGAGTGACAATTTGGAATTTGGTTATGTAAAATTTAGAGTGACAATTATGCAAAAGAAATACTGGTTGCCTATCGATTAACATTAACTTAAAAATATATCTTCAACATGAATAATGAACAAAACATTAAAAAAAAGAACCACAATCTACACAAAACAAATTGTTGGTTAGTAGCACATGGTTAGTAGCAGTTAGTAGTAGTCAGAGATATAGATGTAGTAGTATTTTGGTTTAATGGCCACAGCTATCCGGCCGGGTAATAGAATTATCGTATTTTAATAAAAATTAAAATCATTCATAAAAAATAGATATCCTTCAAATCCTTCAATTAATAGCTGTTGGTAAGAAGTTTGATTTCAAATATGCCCACGTAGTGTACACACAATTTTTTTTTAATTCATGCTGTATCTCTTTTATAAACTGTTTTACTTAAAATTTTTAACAACGGTTATTATGGCTATAATTGATAAGCATGTTGAGTATCCGAGTGTTTCTCAAAAGTGGCTCATCCCTATAACCAAAGCTATAACTTCTTTATATTTTCAGATAAAAAAACAAGGTTTGGTTTGTTAGTATATGAAAAGAAAAGTAGACTGGTAATGTTAATAATCTAAAACATTCAGATTTGTATCTAAATTAAGTTATAAAATAATTCTTTTAATAAAGGGACAGGGGGAGAAGTCCTATATCGATACTTACAAATTATTAATTATAAACTATGATACAAAATAATATTAATGAAACATTGATACACCACAAGTACTATTAGTAAATCTATTTTTGTAATGAAAAATAGATTTTATTTATACTAAATGTATACGAAATCTGATATTTTTAATATTACAGCATCAAAACATTATCTAATTACATCCAGTTATTCCACTAAATGAATCTTTAATTGCACTTTTTATATGCCAATTAAAATTTCTACATAGAAGGCAAATGAATATTAGTAATGATATTAGACAGTTAAAGCACGGCCAAAGACGTAGACGTAAACGTATCGTTTGACATGTACGCTTGCGCAGTGTGAAATTCACTTGCGTTTACGGATACATGATACGTATCTTTACGTGCCTTTACGTACGTACAAAACGCAAACGTATCGAGCCGAAGGAGTTTCGATTTTCACCCGAATGATGCCGAACGTACAAATTCACAAACAACTCGTTTCCACAACTGGCTAGTAATTAAGTTATTTCATAAATTTTGGGGCCAGTGTCACAGAACTGGGCCTCTTTTATTACAATAAATTAGTATGAAAATATTAAGTATCATAATAAACTCATTTTGGAATCTATTTAATTAAATGCTAGTTCTTATAGGCAAAACCATAATATGAGGATTCTAAAAGATGGAATCTAATAAATAATCATAAAGCTGTGTCTGTTTTCCAATATTTTTTTATTACGAAGAGCATTTTAAGTTGTAAGGACTACTTTCTGTAATAAAATAATTTCCATTTATAATTTTCTTCAGTTTTCGATAATACTTTTATAAATTTAATGTGGAATCAATGGAGTAATAGATATCCATTTTCAATTTTAAAATTAAATAAATTGTTTCACAAAATAATTTAGAATTACGAATGTACCATTTGCGTTACGTACGTCAAAATACTTGCTTTAACTCTTGTTTACACGACAACGCAACGGCAGACGTAACGTAAGTTTCTGCGTTACGTGTCGAGAGATACGTATACGTATTGTGCCTTGCTTTAACTGTCTATTTTCTAACATGCGTTTAAACAGATATTTTTTATTCATTAAAAACGCATTTTATTTACGTTAAAATCTTTCTAAAATTTCCGATTAATTTTTTTTCTCCCACAACTACTGAACAATTCATATGCCTTGAATTTTCTAAAATTGTAATAGTAATATTAGAACTGCCTATATCATTCGGGTTAATAATTTAATAAATATATTAAAAAACCAAAAACAAAAATGGACTAACTAGTCAGTCAAAATTTCTAGTTAAACCTCGAGTTAAACTAATATCCACTTCTGTAACTCAAAATATTTTCTTTTAATAATTGAGAGTTTAATATTTGGGACTTTAAATGCAAATTATTTAGTGAAAAATGTTATACAGTAATGTTCGGTTATAACACATTATAACGAACCTCATGGGTACGGCGAAAACGGTTCGTTATAAGCAAAGTTCGCAATAAACGATAAATGCTGATAAATATAAAAGATGTATTTTTATTAATACATAGATATGGTACATAAAATATATTTTGTAATATGGTAGGTACATTAACAACTGTTCTTAAGAGTCTAATTTAAAAAAAAATCTTTTATTTTAGTTTGTATTATTTTTGTGAAATGAATATCATTAATATGTAATTCTACTTCGGCTAATTGATTAAGAACACTTTGCGGAGTATTTCGTGACTGAAGGAAATGACGAACGTTATCAATATGTTGAAATGTCCCTGATGTGGTCGGAACTGGTCTCAATTCTGTACACACAGGTTCTTCATCTTCTGCCTCATCATACAGGTTCTTCGATCATCTAACTCATCGTCATCAATATGAACTGAAGAAGACACAGAAGCGACAATGACATCATCATCCAAGTATTCGACACATACAAGATTTTCATCAATATGGACAAATTCATTAAACTCATTTTCAGAACAAGGAAGATCCTCTGGAAAATTATTACTTTCTTATTATAGAATTACATTCGGCTACTGTCAAGTCAACGTCTTTTGGATTCAAATCATTTTCCACTTTTAGGAAACCACAGGGTTGTAAACAATTAATTTTTTTTGTTTTGACATCCTCTGCCCCCACTATCAAAAGTTTTCACCCCCCACTATCAAAAAAATATACCATTTTCGAAAGGAGTCGACGACAATGACTCTTTAAGCTATGGATGACACCCTGATCTATAGATTGTAGTTTGGAACTGGTATTTGGTGGCATGAACACTAACTTGATGCAGTCCAAATTTCTAACATCTGGATTAGCTGGGCAGGTGTCCACTAACAATATGATTCTTCGGCTTTTACATCGTAACCAGAGATATAGACATAAGGAGAATGAGCTTCGACGAGTGCGCATCCAAAAATCTTGTTATGCCTACATGGGCGCCAAGTTAGTGTTTAGGCTTACAGGGGAAATCAAAAAGTAATAACAGCAGACCGTTCTGACTCTTTTTTTTTTTTAACTTACGGACTGATATAAACAGCATTCTTCAGCACGATTGATCACATACATACACAAGAAACTATCAGTCGAACAAAAGAATACTTTTTCTACTACATAAATTTCTCATGTCAAAAAACTCCCCAGACACCAATTTTCATCCAAATATTGACACTGTGAAATGAAAATTCTACACCCTGTATCTCTGAAACTAAGCATTTTACGACATACATTTATACGAACTTTTTTACTTATTTTTATCTGCAGAATATGCTGCCGAAGTTTCCGGAATACAGTTCGGACCACCCTGTATAAAATTCAGTTACCCTTAATAAAAAAATATTGATTATTTATAACTCTAATTATTGCACATTCGTTTTATTTCTTGTTGCTAGGTTGATAATATCATGAAATTAATATAATTATTTTAAGAGGTATTTGTTTCCTCAAATAGAGACTTTAATTATCAATTAAAAATATTTAAATATCTGATATCTAATCTATTTGACGTTTATTATTTGTTTAAGACGCATAAAATAATTAAGATAATGTTTTAGCTTTACGTCAAAAAAAATTGTATAGCTTAAAAGTCAAATTTAATGGTCACCACAGCAACTGTGACATAAAGAGAAAATATAATATGTGGCTATCTATTTCAAAAATTAAATTGTCCAAATATCATATAATAATGGCGGTAGCTGTCATGGAATTGAGCGATTAAAAAATTATTATAAATCATTTTTTTCAAATAGAAACCCACTTTTTTTATTCCATTAGTGAAAAGGTTTTTCAATTCTTTACTTTTTGACTGTACATGTTCCTGTACCTAAATTGATTTTATCTAGTTTCCTTTGACATTAAGTGTCAAACAGTCAGACAATTTATTTCCGTCAGAAAACGAATTATTTGAATTTCCAATATCAATTCTGCCTGCTTAAGAGTTTAAAAAGTGTATTTATATAAATATATCTCGTATTTTCGTTCTTTACTGATATCTAATAGATGATATTATTAATAATATACCGTATGATCGAAAAAAAAACAGCGCAAAGTTGGCTTGGAAATGATGATCGATAACATACTGGTGTTTGAAGTGTCACAATATGACATGGCCAGATCTATTGGTTTGCATCACTTGACGTTTAAAGTCATAGCCTACTGGTTAAAATCAAGAAAAATATACGCTTTAAAACTAAAAATATCTTAAATAATGTAAAAACGATTTATTTTCGGTATAGGAACATGATAGTCAAAAAGCAATAATATATAATAATGAATTTAAAGACCTTTTTCACTAGTGAAACAAAAAAAGTGGGTTTCCATTGGAAAACAATGATCGCTCAATCATTCCATGACAGCTGCGGCCATTATTATATGACATTGGATCAATTTAATTTTTGAAATAAATGCCAATGCCACATGTATTCTCTTTATGGCACAGCAGCTGTAGTAACCATTAAATTTGACTTTTAAGCTATAGGTACACGTATTTTTGACAGACAGTTTTTTTCCTCTAAAAATTTTAAATATTTTTCTCAAAAATGGTCAGTGTTAGATAGAGAGTGTTAGTATCAAAATTCATAAAATTTTACAGATAATTGCAGTATGCAATAAGAAATGGGGGCACCTATTTAAAATAAGAAAGTTACTGTCAACTTCCGATATTTCCGGAAGTGCCGCCATATTGAAAATATTTTAATCGATAGATCTCGTTGTGAAACAATGATGTGCAAAAAATCTCCTATCTAGATATTGTAGTTCTCTAGAAACTTCTAATGAACGCTCAGCCTCGGACACCCTGTATACTAGAGCCGATCATTCACTCGTGAATTAGTTGGCATGATACAAGTTATGTTTCATAATTAGTTTGGTGCAGTCAAGCATGAGGTTCTCCACTTTTATGGTTGCCATATTGTTGAAATTTCCATACTTGGATTACTAAAGATTTTATTATTGTTAGAAATGAATACGGCCTCTTTAAATTTGCGCTTTTTCCAATAGGGTTCTTTGTAGACAACCCGGGCAAAAGTTAAACCGAGAGTTAAACAATAGCCAACTGAGACTTGAATCAAATTACTTGATCAATAATTGACATGATTTGTCGAATTTAGAGTGTCATATCTGTGGTCATATTGCATTCATGCGAAAATGCGAAGTGAATTCAAGTGACTTGATTAATTCACTTGACCCGTGTAAACGCACCTTTATTGTTTAAATAATAATAGTGTGTAATATTGTTTAAAAAATAATAATTATTGTGTCCAATAATAAAAAATAACAATGTAATAATTAATACTACATAACATTGTATAATTTTTTGTTTTAGTTTTTGTTATGTGTTGGAGTCCCTACATCATATTTGATTTGCTCCAAGTTTACGGACACATTCCAAGAACTCAGACAAACATTGCCGTCGCCACGCTTATACAAAGTTTAGCACCACTAAACTCAGCAGCAAATCCTCTGATTTATTTACTCTTTTCCACACGTATATGCGCAAATATAAGGTAAGTTACTTACTTATTTATTTACATACATACATATACATACCGCCATTACTCGCTGATGAGTATTTGACACGCATCAGAAGATGGTCACGCATGGCGTTTTCTTTCATGATCTTTTCTGTGACTCAAAAGCCCGATATGTGATGTTATCTGTCTACCGCACTCCAGACATTCAAAAATCTCATTGCCATGTTGCCTCTTTACTTTTTGGTTGTCGCTGTTAACTGACTTTACAATTCTTCTCCATTCCGTTCTTTTGTGAGCTGCCTCTTCCCACTCATTCTGCTTGTTAATTCCCTTTAAGTTTTCGTGGAAAATATTCTTGAACCTTTTGAGTTGTCCACCCGGCCTCCTCTTACCGTCTGCAAGCTCCTAAACAAAACCGTAAAGCAGAGATTTTGGTATGCGGTTTTCTTGCATTCTGCATACGTGACCAGCTCATCTTAAGCGGGACTTTGTAATCATGACTTCAATACTCTCGCAGTTAGCTTTTTCAAGGACCGATACGTTTGAGACATGATGGAACCATTTTATTCCTTAAGAGTTGTCTAAGATGTCTCTGTTGCAACTTGTTTAATGCGTTCATGTGTCGGCGGTACGGCACCCAGGTTTCGCTTCCATATAACATGGTGGGAATTATTATCGCTCGGTACACCGCAAGTTTCGTTTTTGTGCTCAAGTCATGATTGTAGAAAACCCAGTCTTTTAATTTCCAGAATGCTCTTGAGGCGCTGCTAATCCTGTGCTGAATTTCAGAGTCGATATTGGCCTTTTCCGAAATCAAACTGCCGAAGTAATTTAATTCCGCTACATATTCCAACAGCTCATCTCCGATTTTTATAGCATTGTTGTGATCTTCCGGGGGAGTGCGCATGATTTTAGTTTTATCGATGTTCAGCTTAAGTCCCAAGGCCTCGTATGCCAATGTATATGTGTTCCACATTTCTTGCAATTGTTGTAACGTATTTGCAACTAGAGGACAGTCGTCAGCGTATTGAAGTTCTGTGATGAATCTTGTATGTGTTTTTGCCCTGAGTCTTTATATGTTGAACAGACCGCCGTCGTATCTGTATCTAATGCCCAAACCTCTCTCCTGCAGTTTGCTGTCCACTATAATGGAGAGCGCTGCCATGAATATATTGAATAGGAGAGGCGCTAAGACACATCCCTGTCTAACGCCTGTGTTTGTTAGGAAGGGATCGCTCAGTGATCCATGATATGACACTCGACAGGATTATACAGGGTGCTACAAATTCGAGGTACGAGCATTGGTATCAATGGTATCTAACCGTAATAGATACGAAGATGGTTAAATTAGGACAAAGTTGCGCCTTGGGATATTCACCAAGATGCCATGAAAAAAGTTTTAAAAATTTCAAGGATTGCTTAGTTTTTTTGAAAAAAAAACTGATTTTTTTGAAAATCAATTTTAATTTTTTCTGTCTTTAGTTTTTAGAAAATCAAAAAACTAATTACACATTCTCATAGCCACTTTATTAGGGCTATCTGATAGTATTTTTAGATTTTCAAATTAGCTGATAATTTGTGAGAACAGAGGCCAGCTTATTTTTTTTAAACATGGACCTGCATTTTATTTGAGGTTTTGAAAGAACTACCGTTCTCCTGAGTACGATGATATGCCACACTTTATACTTTTTTTTGTTAAACGGGACATAGGAAGTTACATGTAAATTTTGAAATGGTCAAATATTATCTCCCCAGATAATTTTATGCAGAAGTTGTATTAGACTTTTTTGAAGAGGAGTTAAAGTTGTACTTTTGTCTAGAATTTCGTTTCATTTGGAACAGTCGTTTAAAAGTTATTGGCAAAAATCTATCTTCAAATTAGTAAAATTTATAATACGGCCCAGAGAAACTACAATTAAAATACCAGCAAAAACGTGATTGTGTCATTGTCAAATTCGATGTCACACTTTATTTCGAAAGATTGAAGGTACCAAATAGACTAATTCATAGATAAATGCAACAAGTTTAGATTGGAAAGCCCGTAAAAATTTTAGGTCGCGAAATTATTTTGGGTCGCGACCGTTATACGCGATCTGGCGCTGCTATAGCGGTCGCTAAGAACAACGGCAAACAAAAACAGAAATAATTTTTCTCTTGTCAATGTCAGAATCTTCAAAAATCATAATAATCTTTCAAAATCTAAACCGCTCTCATTAAAGAAATTCCGAAAAGTGTTTATAGCGTCCATTTTCAAAGTAATTATTGCTATCTTGTGAGTTTAATTCAAGTTTTATTTACTCCAACCGGTGATAATTGTGAAAAAGTAGCATTAAAAACTTAAAAAGCTGTGCTGTGAACTGTGAACTGCAAAAACCATCATGGATCGTGGCATAACGTCGGTTTCCGATGTTTCATAGGTATTTCATACATGCGTCCATATATAAAATAAAGTTTCTTGTATGCAATACACTGTATTTTATTTATAAAATTAAACGAAAATAATAGTAAATTTGAATAAACAATATTTGGCGATATAATTCCGGAAAAAGCCGAACCGCTCCGAAATTTTCAAAAGTTTTGGGTCGCGACCGTTGCAAGAATAGCGCCAAATAGTGTTTACATTGTCCTTATGGGCACTTTCCAATCTAAACTTGTTTCATTTATCTATGGACTAATTTTGTATAAACTAATTAGGATTTTCGTAACTCTTGAAAAAGTTACGATGGGTAAACGGCATTTTGCTGGAAATAGTACTCCCGCTGTGTTAGATATATTCGCAGCTCAGCATATACCGAACAAGTCGACAGTTAGAAAGTTTAGATTTTTAGAGTTAGGTAGACAGAGGTTTGAAACTAAAGGCAATGAGGTATTAAGCACACGTGAAGATAAAAATAATTGAACAGGACGAAAACAACAATGACGCGAATATTCTTCATGTTGAAGAAAAGAAAAACATTGACTTCCGTTTAATGGGACAGTAGAAAAATATCACAGGATCTTTCGCTAAACGGCTTCTTCCTGCGGAGCACACTCCAAAACCGTCCTTATGGGCATATTAAATACAGAAATTTAGATGGACTGAAAATGACATCTCTGTGGAATGCCTCCCCTTAACAGCTTTGTATGGTGAGGCGTGAATTTCACAATCATTTGGGGTATTGTTTAGCTGTGAATGGAGGATTATGTACACATTTTATAAAAAGTAACCATTTTTAGTAGTAGTTTTAAATAAAAATAAATGGAGATTATGCACAGAATTTTAAAATATTTTAATTTAATTTTAGTAGTTTTTGACACATATTTACGTTATGGAGAATTTTAACACTTGATCACACACTTGATTTAACATGACAGCGACAAGGAAAAGCAATGTTGCCAGTTCCACTGAATTTTCTTTTTCTGTTTTTTATTTTTATTTTAAAAAAATAACCATTTTTAATAATAAAAATGCGTTGGTAATGTGTGAATGGGAAAACTAAAAAAACAACAGAAGAGTGAAACAAAGTATCCATCAAACAGATAAAAAGAAAAAAAAACAGCCAAACCAACCCAAACCAACCCGACCAAACCAAAGAGTAGATAAGACAAGAGACGACAGTTCGCGCGGTACCTTTCATCACAGAATATCTAGCTACGCGTAGCTAGATATTCTGTGCTTTCATGTTTGAGTGGTGGGGAGAGTGACCTCGTCTTGCTTGTCCCTTTAAATTTTCGTAATTTTTTCGCGGGAAATTTAAAATAGACTATTATTAAAACTTGCCTGTATATAGTGTGACCAACGGATCTGTAGCTACGGGGTATCGGCAGGGGAACGCAGTTGTAAACAAAACACGCCCAATTTCATTCATAAAATAGGCATGGGCGTACGGTGTTTTATGAAAATAATGTGTATCATAAATATAATATTCAGATTAATAATTTCTTCAAAAAACTTTATGCTGTTTGAATCGTTACTGTTGAGTTAGCAGATAAACACACTAAAAGCTTTTATTAAAGCTCCCTTAAATATTTTGAATCATTTTATTATTATGTGTTGTTAATATAATAGAAGAAATAATTACAGCTGGGGGTTGGAACCTTTGGTCTTACACAGCAAAATAAAACACTAAATCAGTACAATACACCAAAAACACTTTTAATTTTACACTGGACGCACGTTTCGCTAACCATGTCTGCCATCAGCAGATGATCAAGACTGAGTCTTGAGGTATATTTATTTATATATCTGTACTAACTATATTTTTTTCTATAATACATAATTTTAGATATAACTATTTCCAGCAAAAAAAAGTCTTGAAAATAGTTAACTTTGGAAGCGCAAACAAAACATAATTTTACTCACCAGTAGATCCAATATTGCCTATTACACCAGATATGGTATCGCTCCGCCAGCACTTTTTAAAGGTTAGGTCATTGTCGACCCATATGTTTCATCCAAATAGATAATACTTGGCTATATTTTCGAATTTCGCGTCTATATTTATATCTCTCTCTGCAATTTAATGGGCCGCTCCATTAATATTTATCTGTTATTTTGACATTTACGCCAAAAAAATTCATTTGATTTTAATACCCCCCTTAGCGTTTCCCTGCCAAAGGAAAATTCGATTCTTCCTGCAATTTTTGCAAAAGCTTTCTAATTGTGGGGACGAGTTTGAATTCGAGATAAAATCTATTTATCAAATTCCTGACCACTTGGAAAAAGTCGTCGTGCGTTTCAACAGCAGTCTCACGTGGTCGTTTCTTTCCAGGGCTGGATATCATTTTATCGGGGTTAGTTTCCAGCCTTTTTTTTTATCTTCTGTGTGAATTTTTTTATAGCCGATACGCTAACTCCGGTATAAAGAAATATCCGCTCAAGTTTACGTTTAAGCGGCAACTTAAGTGAACTCTCTGTGGCTTCTTCGTCGCAAACCCTATTATGAAATAAACCAAATGAGATTTCATCCACGTTTATTTATATTTATTTTAGTTTAGCTAAAATATTTAGGTAAAATGTGTGCTTTTCATTTTAGCCAATATTTAATTTTAATATTCTAATTATATTATTATTATTCTACTTACCTATATAAATTAGCTATTATTTCTCTTGTCTGGCTATGTAGCGTCTTACCCTTAACAAATTTATTCATTTTAAAATACAAATATACGATCAAACTTGATATTAATAATTAAAAACTACGAACGAAAATCATTATAACAAGATAGCAAAACAATAAAACACAACTTAACTATCAAATATACGAAAAATATAGGAATAAAGTTTAGGATAACCGGTATAAAATAATGAAATAAAGTAATAATGATCAAAAGAATGACACCTCCACTGGATATTTCAATTGTATTCAATATTCCTACTCTTTTCAGAAGAGACCGTGAAGTTGGGGATAAAGCAAGCGAATAGGAAAGGCGTAAAAGCCACGGCAACCGCGTGATAACAAATCCTGTGACGTACTCTCACCAATCATGTTCGATGAATAGGCGGCCATGCGCTGCGATGCCGGTTTGCCAATGATATCGTTGAAAAATCTTCAACTTTAAATATAAGCAGATTATACAGAATGAAAGAAATAAGTTATTAAATAAAACATATCGAACAATATGACCTACGTTAAAATTCCTTAGTAATATACGTCAGAATATATGTTAAACACATTATATATAATAAAAATATATTAAATTTATAGTTCATGTCTGGCAATTTTGCAATTTTATAGATAAACGTGGCAATGTCGATTTTTTTTTCTCGCATTCCTTCCGTAGTTTCAGATCCGCTGGTCAAACAGTAGCTTATAAATAGTTACTGTATGGGTAAAGAAATAAACAGAAACGAAAAAAAATGAGTTTTCTAAATATTATATAAAATAAATTATAATTAGAAACATATTTGTCGGGGAATAAAGATAATAAAAGCAATATTTTGTATATCGTTTGTAAACAAGATAAAGTGACCAAGTCGATTTGTAAGAAATGTTTTATTTACGTGTATTTTTTTTTACATATGGACTTGAACAAGTGTAAAATCACAATGTGGAGTTTATTTACAAAAAATAGAGTTGCTCAATTTTTTTTGTAAAAATATATTACAAGCTTCTAACCATGTCTTCGATCTTAGTTTAATAACTTCTTTAAGTCTTCTTTCTTAGTTTAAAACTTTTCAGGATCCTTTGGAAAAGAGTGAAATATTATGTTTGTCGAAGAATAAGACCTATTTTTGCAGTCTTTGTAAGCACACACATTGCCACCATCTCGTCTTTTCCTGCTACTCGTGTTCTATTCAGTATTCATATTTAACAATATTTACAAATTAGTACGCAACAAAAACGATACTAAAATTAAACCTTAAAAACTCTCAAAACGATAATATATCGAAAAACTCTGAAAACACACTTTAAAAAGGCAAAAATGGAAGAAAACAACTAATCAGATTTGTTTATGTTTAAGCTTGATTAGCACAGCTGATTAACGTCCTAAAATCATAGGTTATATTTTAGATTAGATAAAATACGCCGTTGTCAGATTTTGAGATTTTATCTGTTTATCTTTGAAATCGATCGATTCTTTGATATTATCAGTACATTGCGAAAAAAGAACCTAAACCAACCTAACTAAAAATTTACATTATTTCCGTATTAACATACGTTACTTATATCCTTCTTATATTATTAATTAATTTTCAGAAAATCTTGTTTATTTTTCAAAGAAATATACTTGGCAACAGACAAAATGGGACTTAATAGGACCTTTAAATTTTAATATATCTGCGTCTCTCTCGCGAAATTCGACTTCTTTGTTCACTGTCGTCTCTTGTCTTATCTACTCTTTGACCAAACCCTAACCAACCGATACAAAACCAACCAATACAAAACCAACCAATACAAAAACAAACCAACCAATACAAAACCAACTCAACCCGAGCCAAGCACATACCAAAGAAATGAAAACACGCTTACAGCGTGTTTTCTTTGCTTTGGAGGCTTCCAGCTTACAGCGTGTTTTCATTGTTAGAACTATAACTATAGCAATTGTCTCACCTGCGCGGTAATTTAGCCAATTTGATAAACTAAAGTAATCTAATTCGTATTAAAAAAACATTTTAAAATCCATGACGTCATTTTTTTCACTAAACAAAAAAGATGCATGAAATTCCGGATAATTTACTGGCTGATCTGACAACCATGTATCAATTCGCAATATTTGTCAAAATTCGACCTTCACTACTGTCAGCGTGAACCACAGATCACGGGGTAAACATAGAACGGATATAAATGGGATATAAACAAGTCCGCGACACTTTCATTATCGGTTATGGAATTTGCCCTGGAATTTGCTACAAAAATCAAATAACAACATTTTTAAGAATATTTTTTTATGTGAAACATGTTTTTTCGCATCAGATTCTAGTCAAAGAATCCAAGAAGTTCATTTTAAGGTAACATAAACTTCATTTTCTAAGAAAAATCGTGTGTCAGGGTAGTTCACCGAAGCCACATTTTATTAATTAGCATATTTTATTAAGGTTCATTTAGTTACAAATATTTCTTTTATTCTTTTCACTAATAACTACACATAACTACATAAATTCTTGTAAACAAAAAAAAATATGACATCGAATTTAACAATGACAAAATAACATTTTTGCTAGTATTTTAATTGTAGCTTTCTCTGGGCCGTATAACAAATTTTTAATAATTTGAAGGTAGATTTTTGCAAATACCTTTTAGATGCCTATTCCAAATAAAACAAAATTCTAGGCGACAGTACAACTTTAACGCCTCTTCAAAAAAATCTTAATACCATTTTTGCATAAAATCATCTGGGGAGATAATATTTGACCTTCTCAAAATTTACATGGGATTTCCTGTCCCGCGTTCCGATGCACCACACGGACATATTCTTTATCTGTGGCTAATACTTTCCGAGATACAGCCACGAGCCATTCTTAATGCACAATTATTTCGATCATTCATGACGCGGAATCACACTTCTGAAGTGTTCAATGTCAATCCCTTAATAGCAAGTCAATATGGCGTAGATAGAGTGTATAAGGAAGACAAAACTTGCAGCTTTTATAATAGAGTTACATAATTTAGAAGGGCAAGAGTATACTATAAGGAAAAAAGTATTGGTCCAAGTTCAGATCTTCCAGACTTTAAAATTAAATTATCAAAATTAATTAAATTATTTTAAAATGGACAGTCAAACTACCGCTACCTCTTCATACTACCCCTTGTTTAATTTCGAGGATCAATCTGCGCCAGAAATTTAGGCAGATTGGAACGCTTCACTCCATGCCACGCGCAATTCACACGATACGTATTGCGAGACGTTCAGTCTTGAATCGGAGTGAATGACTGTACGCGAAGAGCCCGCATTACATTTAAAACTTCCTTAAAAAGTCGAAAATAAAAATAATAATCGATTTTTATTCCCGTAGGAAACTTCTACCAAGTACAGCTCCATGGTTATGCATATTCCTGCTCTGCTTGCCTTCCAATGAACAAAATCATTGCCTTACCCATCACAATGGAAATACGCAGACTGTGACCATGTCGCTCACTCATTCATCGAGACGAATTGCTTCAAGAACATCGCTTGGAAATAATATTAATTTACAAACAAATATACGTGTTAACAGAAAAACGAATGTTTCTCTCGTTTAGTCTGAAACATAAATTTGTAGACTGCATTAAATAAATCAAGCAAGAACCAATAAATTGACAAATTGACAACCAGATCACATACACCAATGGAGATATATATAAAACCGGGTTCATAGCGTCCTACGCCTTACGGTACCCAGTTGCCAGCCTTTCCTATTTTCCTAATCCCCTGGATGAAGATTCCTCTCCGACATAGCTTTATGTATTCCACAGATCCATGTTGCTTTTTGCCTTCCCTTTTTCCTACTTTCTGATGGTATCCATTTCAAAACTTTCTTCGGTATTCGGTCCTCACTCATTTTTTCCATGTCCATCTCGAGATTCTCGAGTGCTAATAGTCTCTATTCCATTCTATTAGCGAGCTGCTATGTTTCACATCCATATAAAACTATACTTTTAAAGATGGAATTATAAATAGTATGTTTTTTTCAGCTTAAGGCCCAAAGCTTCGTACGCCCAGGTATATGTGTTCAACATTTCTTGTAATTCCTGTCAAGTTTTTGTAACTAGAGCGCAGTCATCAGCGTATTGGAGTTCTGTGATAAATTTTGTACGTGTTTTTGCCCTGAGTCTTTTTATGTTGAACAGACCGCCGTCGTATCTGTATCTAATGCCCAATCCAGTGGCGCATCCAGAGATTGAGTCTGGGAGGGGTAGTGGCAATATTTAAATAAAGTAATATATTTAAATTAAATTTTCTCTCAAAGGTATTGTGACTATGGAAAAAATAAACTTAGATTGTTTTGGATTTCTTTTGGAATTTGATTGACATTATTAATTTATTTTGTAACAATATTATTTTATACCAGATTTTCTTATTTATAAATTTCTTGGGAGAGGTAATTACCCCCATTACCCCTCCCGTATATGCGCCCTTGGCCTAATCCTCTTTCCTGTAGTTTGCTGTCCACTATAATGGAGAGCGCTGGCATAAATATGTTGAATAGAAGAGGCGCTAAAACACATCCCTGCCTAACTCCTGTATTTGTTAGGAGAAGTGACACTCTTGACTTGTTCTTATGGAGGCTTTTACACACTAGAAATTTGTTGGGTACTCCGAACTTTTTCATAATTGCCCAAAGTGCATCTCTGTTCACAGAGTCGAAGGCTTTTGTTAGGTCGATACCAATTATTATTATTAATTATTAATGAAGCAATTAGTGAAGCTCTTGGTATTATTATTAATACCAAGAGCTTCACGTGCAGCCATGTGCAGACATTCCAATATATGTTGATAGAGTTGGGTTGTTGGCATTGTCAGATACTGATCATTTAGTGTTTGATCTAGACGACTCTGGAAGAGGATTCTGGTACCTAGATGCATATAAGCTATCAAGATTGTACTTATCTTTCTTCTCGAGATGGCAGTCTGGGATGGTTATTCGTTGCATATGTACTTATGTTGAATTTAAAAATTTTCGAGATTAGCAAATAGTGGTCGGTCCCTCTATATATCCTCGTATCTTTAATGTTCCATTTGGAGTCTTGTTTTATGGAGATTTGAATAGGAAAACCAACGGGGATTTGAATAGAAATATTCATTAAGCCATTATTTTATATTCATTAAGACATTATTAATGTTATACATTCCGGTAAAACTGAATAATCCAAAATTTTAAATTTTAGTTTAAGTTGAGAGAACATACATCATTTTATACCTTTCTAAAGTCTAGTGGATTAATGTTAGCTAAAACTGAATGAGAAATGTATTTCCCAAATGAAGTAAGCATTCTACCAAATTTTTTGGTAGAACTTGTATTGTCACAAACAGGGTATTCAACCAACTACTCTAGTTGCAATATTGTTCCATATTTCTTTCCTCTCTCCTTTGTCCTGTTGCAGAGCTTTCAATTAATTCATACAAGTTGCTCTGTTCTAGGACTTCTAAGCTATTTGAATGGCTTATAGTGTACTGCTGCTTAATTAATAACTTTTGTATATAAATATATTTTTTTATCCCTCTAATAACTTTAACTTGAAATTTATTTTAGTCTGTAACGCTTAATTCAGAAACTTTTTTGATTCTAAAGTGTCAGTAGGTATGTCACATTTTCTTTTCTCAGAAAGAGAACACAATAGGCCTCACAGATCGCAGTGTTTCTGACAGAGGACGATTCCTTATTGTTGAAAAAAATCTCACATTTTCGCTACTTTTGACAGATATCTCGGTTTTTGTTGAAATTGAATTTCTTAAGTAATTTTTTTCAAGGACAGTAATTTTTGCTATTCTTTATTTATTTTTGTTAATTATTTATTCTTAGAATCGAATTTGTTTTTTAGTATTCATTTTAGTTCATGTTTTTCTGTTCTAAAAACTAGTTCTACATCAATCCGGAATCCTATATAAGGAAAAGTCAATCCCAACATCTCGGGATTACTAAACTCTACCGGGATTAAAACTCTTATTAACTGGAAAAATATAATGGCAAAAAAGTCTCAAAATTGACTGTCAGGTATACGTTAAAGAATATTTGAAAATTTAGCGTGGTATAAGAAAATTATATTACAATATAGTAATAAGTTGCTTTTTGAATACACTGTATATGACACATGCTCAAATAAGTACCTTAAAACTCGGATTGATTTGATTATCCCTACACTAAATTTCAATTTTCGTGCAATGTGCGAAGCGTATTGCGAAAAAATATGACCCTATATAACTTTATAAGATTGTAAGGAAACGTTAGCAAAAAAATTATATAGAAATCATACTATATTTTAACACAATCAATAACCTGAGTGGTGTGGCACTTTTTAAAAGGCTGAAAAGATATGGAGCACAGAGCCGAGCATTCAGGACAAATTTTCGCGTTTCGACTCCGAATGAAACGTTCATCGCGAGCAGAGAACAAGCGTTACATTACAGTGCTCAGCTCAAGTCAATCTCCTACTTTAGATTTAAGGTAATTTAACTTGAACCTAGAGATCCATTGGCGTTCCCAGTTTACAATGCAGTTTACACTAACCCACACCCGACCCGGTTGTTTTTATCTTACTAGTTGATTAACCCGAAACTAAAAGACTGGTCCTAAGGAATATAATTGACAGAGTTATGCAATAATAGAGGACGTCGCGCGTCGGTTGCTGTTAGTTGCTGTAGTTTGGGAAATGTTAACTATTGCTAATAATGATAAATATAAAATTTAGTAAGAAAAAAATGATTTGTTGATTATTTCAATTTCTAATTATCATTAACCGATAATTTTAAGGCTCCCGAGTAATTTTCGATGTCCTCTATTATTGAATTACCATTTGCATGAAAAGGAAATTGTAAATTGAATCGTTTAGTTAACAAATATTTTCATTATTTTTTTTTGTGCAGTATAGGTGTGCATGTATTATTATTTAAACAAGAAGGATTTTAAAAACCTTAAAATAAAATAAATATGTAAAAATACAAAATTTATTACTCCATTTAATTATTCATAATTATGAGAGATATTATGTCCCTTAAGATTGAATGTTAGGATGATGCAACAACTTGTAACTCAGTATCCTGTATTCTGAAGTCTTGCCTGCAAATAAAATCTCTCTATAATAGACACAACGGCGTCATTTTGGTTTTGAAATGTGATCGATGACATTTACCATATAATTTTACATATAAAATGACAGCGATCTTCATTTCATAGCCATCGCTGACGCCGTTATTTTTTCGATTATATGGTATTGTGCGTCTCAAAAGTGACTTACCCCCTATAACTTTTTTATTTTTTCAGATAAAAAAACGAGAATGAGTATTTTAGTATGACATAAATTAGGATTGATTGACGTATTCAATTGTTTTTGGTCCATTCCTCTGTTTTACCGGAAATGACTACAACTTTTGATTTTTAAGTGGAACCCTCAGTATTTTTTTACTTTATTTGATAGAAAATGACACTCTGAATCGAATTACATATCATATTATGTCAACTTCTGACATTTTCGCTTTAAAAAAAATCGTATTTTAAATTTCAATCTAGAAAAAATAGATTTGATCGTCTAATGTTTTTCGTGTCTTTTCCTGGCCAGTTAAAAGATGCCCAATTCGTATATTTAATCATATCTCAATTTTTTCAAACGGAACGAGGCACAGTGCTTCGTCCCATGGACAAAAATCGAAAAAAAAAACTTAAAATTTACTAATATCTGAATATGTAATTTTATACTTATAGCAATGTTCAACCATCCTGTATATTATTTTTCATAAACAGCGTTTTTTTGTTAGCAAATATTTTCACTAAAATAAATTTTGCGATCAATGAAAAGAATAACATTTATAGTAGTTCTGTATATGGAGTTAAACGTAAACGAATTAGTACGTACTTAATTGAAAGCCACTATGGATATTGTTAAACAAGGTATGTACTTTAAATTTATTTCTAAACAAGTTCGTGATTGTTTAGTTTTTATTTATTTTTTAAAATTATTCTTAAATGGGTATAAAAATTTTACGTTTTCAAACTTCAAAAAGGCATTTAAAAAAAACATATCAAAACATATCGTATTTATTGAATATTTTTGTTGTCATATTCATGCACTTTTAATTTTTGTATAGTTCACCTGCGTCTGCTTGCGACGAACTTTATTTTATAATACTTTTCAGATGGAGTAAAATTGATAAGCAATGCCGATCTGGTTAATACTTGGCTTGATCATAAGGACAAGAACTCAAAATTATTTGTATTTCAAAAAATGTGTTCTTTATTAGATATTGATGAACATTCCACTCAAATGAGACCATTTGTGCCTGAAAAAGCCCACTATTTTGGAGCGAAACGTCGCATAAAAAGTTTCCATCTTTCAATTTATTATAAAACCTCATACCCAAGAAAACGAAAAAATAATATATTGATATGGTCTATTAAAGAGGTAACTATTAACATCCGAACCCCTCATACCAACAAAAAGAACAGTAACAACGCGAAAAAGTAACATATTTGAAAATGATGTACAGAAATATCTTATATGTGCGGATATTTCATCTACCTGTGATTTGGATACTATAAATTTGGAAGATTCTGTCAGCAGTGATTCTTCTGAATCAGAGTAGTTACGATCTATGCATTTTGTTGTCCTAATGTAAATTTATAGTATCTTGTTTTTTTTTTAATTAAATATAGCATTAATGTTTCTTTTTCATTAAAGAAAAACATTTTTATCTTATATTGGCTTATATTGTAGGAATCATGTTCTAATGTTATTCCAATTCTTTTTTATCACAGGGATTTATTTAATACTTACACCGTTTTCATACTATAAATTATTATTTCTTAGATGGAACACAGCTCCCACATTTTTATTATTTATAAGATTTTTTTTCATAAACGTGGGACTAAGAACATCATCATTTAGTACAATGAGAGTACTCATCATTTGTGTCAAATAAACCTAGTTTGAATAAATTACCTACAATAAAAGAGAAGTTTTGCATTTTTGTCCTCTAGAGCCATATGTTCGAAGCACTGTGCGAGGGTTCATTAGCATATTTGGAAAAGCATTTTTTTACGATTAATTTGGTACCACATACTTGGTATTTCGAGTCAAATTGTGGTTATGAACCGCATGTTACAATTTCAAAAAAACCATATGAGAAAATTTCAAAACTTGACATATGATATGTCATTCTATTCAGAGTATCATTTTCTATCGAATAAAGTAAAACAAACGAAGTAATTCCGGGTGAAACTGGAAGTGACTAAAAACAACTGAATACGTCAATCAATCCTAATTTATGTCCACATATGAAATCTCGTATACCAAACAATATACAAATATACAACCACAATATACAAACATATACCAAATCTCGTTTTTTTATCACTTTTGAGACACACCCGGTATTATGTATATATCTTAGTCACATAGTGTATTCTGTCTTTTCATGAAGATCCTAGGTCACTTCATGAAGGGTCGGTTAGGTTAGCAGTTTAGTTATGTTATTAGAGGCTATTTTTTTTCATTAAGTGACTAGGCTCTTCATGAAAAGACGGAATACACTATGAGACTACGACATATACCGTATGATCGAGAAAAAAGGCGTCAGCGATGGCTATGAAATGAAGATCGCTGTCATTTTATATGGGGAATGTCATCGATCGTCATTTCCCAGCCAACTGGACGCCGTTTTTTTCAATCATACGGTACAAAAAAATAGAAAAATATATTGTACAATCAATATAAAAAATTAGGGGTTATATTTAATAGTATAAAGTTCAGTTGTATATTAACAGAGATCATTATATGTATTCATTTTAAATTATTTATTATTGGTAGAATTGTGTTGATAAATTTGTATGTACATATAAATGTTTTGTTGGTTTAATTTTTGTTCTGAGTGTTTAAACTTATTATAAATATAATAAAAAATAGGTATAACTAGAAGAGCTTGGAAATATACCATTTTATAAAGCAGTATTCATAACAACCCTTATACATGTTGGAATGTGTAACCCATAATACTTATCTTTTTCACTATAGATGTTAAAAATGTTGAAAACATTTAATAAGTGTATTAATAAGATTGTGCTAAATAAAATAGTACTTGGTAAAGTTTTTTATTACATAAATATTCAACATAAAGTTAGTGGTTGAAAACAGTTAATTTTTATCATTATTTTTGTGTGACTATGGGCACGTTTTGCAGAATTCACCAGTTGATACACTGGTTGCACCAATAATCTATCTACTCCATAATAATTTTGTGCAGCCAGTGTATCAACCAGTGAATTCTGAAAAATGTCCTTTATTACAGGTAGTAGCCATTAGATCAAAATGTTATGACAAAAGCAGAGAATAACAACCGTCTTCTCCATCGTCTTCTCTAAACCAAAAACAAATTGAGTATTTTCCTCATATAGCCTACTGTTTTTAATTGGTTACAATCGTTACAATCAGAGAATAGGTACATTAAGTTACAATTGAAGACATGAGTTGAGAAAGGTGTCATATCATGGTCATATCAGTTTTATTCAGTATTTTCCTTTGACAAATCTATCCTCCAATAGACTCTAAATATCAAATATAAATATCATAAAGAATATCCTAGGTGATAAAAGTATCATACAATTATATAAGAGTTTCTTGCCTTGAACTGCTAATATAGAAATTAATTCCACGCTGTGTTCGTCATAATGTGGATCAACCTGCTCTCACTACCGGTTTCGGGGCCCTACCCCATCATCAGGTGAGCTTGGGTATCTCCACAAAACGACGAGCACAGCGCAGAATATATAAATACGACTTGTCGTAAAGTAGCGGTAAGATATTAAGTCCCGCATCGCGAGATAGTGGCCTGCGTGCAATGGTAGTACTTTCGTACCACCGAGGCACATCTATCGATAGTAAATAAAGACTTTTTCGGCTAGCCCAAAATTAATAATGGAAAATAAATTTCTTGCAGTTTTTAGGTATATAATAAAATTATATAAGAGTTTCTTGCCTTGAACTGCTAATATCGAAATTAATTCCACGCTGTGTTCGTCATAATGTGGATCAACCTGCTCTCACTACCGGTTTCGGGGCCCTACCCCATCATCAGATGCAGTGGCGGACTAAGCCTGTCGGGGGCCCGGGACGGCAAAGCTAAATGTGGCCCCCGGTCTGTTCAGATAATGATATACTTCTAATGCACATTTTGTAAATATGGAATGACGTATGTATAATGGTTGACAAAATTCAAGTATTTATATAGGGTGTCCCAGGCTAAGCGTGCATTAGAAGTTTCTAGATAACTACAATATCTAGATCGGAGATTTTTTGCACATCATTGTTTCACAACGAGATCTATCGATTAAAAACATTTTCAATATGGTGGCACTTTCGGAAGTACCGGAAGTTGACAGCAACTTTCTTATTTTAAACGGGTGTCCTCATTTTTTACATACTTAAATTCTCTGTAAAATTTTATGAATTTTGATATTAAACACTCTATACCTAACGTTAACTGTTTTTGAGGAAAAAAAATATTTATAATTCTTGGACAAAAAAAACTTGTCAAAAATATGTGTATAGCCTAAATGTCAAATTTAGTGATTAGTCACTGTACCATAAAGAGAAGACATGTGGCTATCTATTTCAAAAATTCTGAATAAAGCATTGTGGCCGAATATCATATAATAATGGCCGCAGCTGATATGGAATTGAGCGACTAAAAAATTATCATAAATCATTTTTTTCAAATAGAAATCCACTAGCGAAAAGGCCTTTCAATTAGTTACTTTTTGAACTATACATATGTTCCTATACCGAAAATAAATTGTTCTTAAGTTATTTAAGATTTAGTTAAAAGCGTATATAGATAAAGCGCATATTTTTCTTGATTTTAACCAGTAGGCCTATGACTTTAAACGTCAACTGATATAAAACAATAGTTTTGGCCATGTCATATTATGAAACTTTGTTCAAAAATCGGTATATTCTCGATAATCATTTCCAAGCCAACTTTGCGCTGTTTTTTTTTTTCGATTATACGATACATTATTAATAATATCAACTATTAGATATCACTAAAGATCTAAAATACGAAATATATTTTTATAAATCACTTTTTAAACTTTTAAGGCAGCAGTATTTATTTTTTTGGCAGGTAGTTTTTTTCGTCCAAAATTTTTAAATATTTTTTTTCCTCAAAAATGGTTAATGTTAGGTATAGAGTGTAACATCAATATCCATAGAATTTTACAGAGAATTTAAGTATGTAATAAAAATGGTGGCACCCATTTAAAATAAGAAAGTTGCTGTCAACTTCCGGTACTTCCGGAAGTGCCATCATATTGAAAATAATTTTAATCGATAAATCTTGTTGTATAACAATGATAACTCAAAAACGATAACATCAATTTTTTAAAGCTTATTATAATATTTTTAAATCGGAAAACGAATACAATTTCAAGTCCTCCAAGACTCGAGGGGCCCCTTCGCTGTCTTAGACTCGTGGCCCCCGTTATACTAAAGACGGCAGTACTCACCATGCATCGGTTAGAAAGCTAGAATACAAATTATGTTGTGCATTGGTTGTATTTTAAAATGTTTATTCAGTAAAAATAAATAATGAAACCATTGAAATATAACTTAAAAGCTAAAATAAATAAATTCAAGTTTATATTCATAATTATTGTAATCTATAAAATTATGAAAAATAATAATTACTCAATATTTTAAACAAAGAAAATTGCCCCTTGATTTAATTTCCTCAATAGAAAATGATATTGAGAATTACTGGGGCCTGATAATTGATAATTAAGAAAATAGCTGCTTCTATTTATACTGTTTATAGTATGCGTATACGTATGGTTTGCATACTCCACTTACAAATTGCTTCATAACTACTGAACATATATTGGTCTTATTTGCCAGTTGAATAAAAAATTACTTATTGAGATTTGGAGGCCTCCTAAAAGACGGGGCCAGGGGCGGACCGCCCCTTCCGCCCCCCCCCCCCTCACCCTTAGTCCGCCACTGATCAGGTGAGCTTGGGTATTTCCACAAAACGACGAGCACAGCGCAGAATATATAAATACAACTTGTCGTAAAGTAGCGGTAAGATATTAAGTCCCGCACGCTACTGCCGTTGCCGTTACCCGAAACTTTAAAGAAGCGACATGACACCTTTATCCACTCACGTCTTCAATTATTATAATATGAAATTATGGAAATGTGAATAAACACACAATTACCTTTTTCGTTCACGCAATATAAAATATAAAACTCCAGCATTAATAACAAATAAACCTAACATTATAACACCTGGCAGCACCAATTCTAAAAATAAACATACATTTTTATATAAACTACAAATTAATATATCTTTACCTGAAACCATTATTCGAGATTATTTTAGAAGCTTTATAAAGTTATCTATTTACATCAGAAATTGTATTATAAAATTAATGAAAATTAACTTAAAACTGCGAAATTGCCAGATCTGCATTAAATAAAACTTAAATAAAATATCTACTTTTGTTGGCTGTTGGCTTTGTTCCTTAAATTTCTTTTTTTTAAGTCAACGTCTCCTCAAGGCGTCTCCTCTTTGCTGCCAGGGCTAATCTGAACGGGACCTACTTTGTTTACGCGGAATCCGAACCTCGGTCCTCGGCCATATTAAGGATTATGGTTTATCTTAGTTTTGTCTTAGTGGCCTACCGACTAGGAAGGGTCCAAAAATCGCCTCTTACTCAGAAGCACTCAGGAGATATCCGATCTCATCCGGCCTCAAACCGGCGTCAATGAGCAGTGTGTATGTGTGTATCAATAGATTTTACACTCTTGCCATGGAACAACAGCACGACACAGAGTTTCGAAACGGTCGATCCACGTCGATCCACTAGTATTACGTTGCTTAACTTCGGTGAGCTAACGGGAACCGGGGTTTCGACGTAGCTGGGCCTTTGCCCTACTTTTGGGTTCAAATGGTATTCTGATTTAAGATTTAAGTACGGTGTTCAAGCATAGAGAAAATGTTTAACCTCTCATTTTGCTGCTAGGGTTAATCTGGACCAGAGAAATAGAAGGGATAGAGAATGAGCGTCAACATGCGCAGAAGGTCTAATCAAGTTGGGCGCCATATTCCAGGTCTTCCTGTCATTTTGTATATAGGTGGTAATCTATAAGTAATCAAATATCAATTTGCTGTTTTCAACCATACGGGGGGCAATTTAAATTTAGTGAAATTCTATCATTTATATGGTTAGTTAACATTAATATGATTTATTTAATTATCAGTTTCAAAACTGCGTACAATATTGGTATATAATACACTAAATATACGAATATTCTGACAAAAGACGCTACGGACAGATGACCTTTTCGTCGTAAAACACTCGAAATGATATTAAATAAGTATTTACAATATTTCATGTTTACTTGTACTGAATTACGCGTTTCAATTTAAAATTTTTGCAAATTTGGTAAAAATTGTTCTAAACAACTTTTTGTTCAAGTTGTATATTCATAAAAAACATTTGGTTCATAATTATTTTTGATGATTATCTACCTTGTATTTTTAATATAAACCTAGAAAAAATATGTTTTTGTTTTATTTTTTTTATTCGTCCCTTCAAATTATGTTTCAAAAACTGTTACATAACATGTCCTCTAACAAATATTTTCATAATACATAAACATCATTGATTTTATTAAGGGTATTATTATTAGTATTTATCCTGGTTTTTGTCGACAATAAAAACTCAATCTTGTAATAGAACATCAATTTTATATTTCGTAAAATTATTTTGATACAAATTCGATTTGTCAAAATTCAAGTCATTAATATATTGATAAACAACCCAAATTATTCCTAAATATTTTATTATAAACAAAAACTGTTACCGGTAAGTTTGTAAAACACATTATGGTTTGTCGTAATACTAGAAAAAATCATTTATTTTTTGCACAAAAGAAGCTTGTCGATCCTTATTTGTCCATAACAAAATTCTGTATGTACATATACCTAATTTATTATTAAGAAAATTAGATTATATGATCTCAGAATTTTAAGAAATTTTTTTTTAAGATAAAATAGTTTCTTCTCAACTGTAATATTGTCAACTTTGGCCTGTATTTTATCTATTTAAAAACATGGGATTGACAATCCCCTTACTAAAATACATACTGGAAGGTACCGATTAAGTTTCATTGCATCAAATACCTTTACTATAAATCCTGGCTCACAACTCACAATTTAAGGCCATTGCAAAATGCTTTTGAACTTCATCATAGATTTTACAAGAATAAAAGTGTAATATTGAAACAAAGTAACACTGTAAGCTTCATGACTAATAGTCTCATTTTTAACACTCTTTAAATATCATCTCGTTAACAATTATGAATATTATATGATTTTTCTCAGTGATTTGTGGCACAGATACAAATTAATATATGCCCCATAACAGTTTTTAAATAAGAAACTTCTGCCTACAGATTTAATTTTCTTATTGGCATAATACCCTTCTTCCTATATAAATCTTGCCATTTTTTCAGTCCAATGTTCCTTGTTTTTACAGTTGTAGGAATACTAAAAATGTTGACTATAGAACTTGATACTATGTTTGAAAAAGCCTTCATACCTGTAACTGTGCATAAATCTAATTAACTGAATTCTCCTCCTCTTGACACTCTGAACACTGCTGCTGCTAATGTTAGAAATATTAAGCACAAAACTACAACTACCTACAACAAACTTTACAATAAAAATGTTAAATTTTCGCTGTTCGATTAAAATACCCTATCTTATGTTTTCTTTCCTCCAAATAATCTTCTTGTCAAGTAAGGACCAATCTTATTTGACATATTTCTGGTACACATGAACTTGTGCTTTCATGGACACTATAAGAGTGCACTGTTTTACAGAAGCATGAACATTGATTCCAAGTATCTTCTTCCTCCACACGTAATAAAAACATCCTCTTTAAATGGCCACATCATACACTTATTTTTGACCATTCCCAATTACAATCACGATTTTTACAAATCGCCTTTAGGAAAACTAAAACTAAACAGTTTTGGATCATCTGTAAACACGATTATGCTGTATAAACTTACACATGAAAACTAATCATTTTTCCCGGCGTATTAGCTTTCTTAGAATGACTATGACAATATACAATAAGCCTTTTTGAATTAGTGTTTAGAATAATTGAGACTCTGATTGAGATAATAATAAATTTTAACTAGATAACAACAGATAACAACACGAACGAAAAAAAAACAAAACAAACAGATGTCAATTAAAGAGGGGAAGTGACAGCGAGACCTGGAAGATGTCTGCCATCTTGCCGTCGACAAAAATTTGGATGCGCACTCGTCGAAGCTCATTCTCCCACTTCCATATCTCTGATCTGGACAGAGGTCTATTTGTTTACTCGGAATCCGAACTGCGGTCCTCGGCCATATCATGATCTTACTCACTATTATTCACGAGATATACTCCTTTGTCCTCGAACCTTTTACGCGGATTGCGAACAGGATATAAATGATATAATATTAGCTTTTTTCGTTTTCCTGTTATTATCGATTCTGAATCGTCCTAGAACTCTCCAGCGCATGCGCAAATGAAATAATGTCTTCATATTTCCTTCTGCGCATACGCATCACAATTATTCTAGGACGGTTCAGAATCGGTAATAACAGGAAAACGAAAAAAGCTTATATATTTCTGCAGTTTAGCATCATCAACGAGTTGTCACCAGGGTTCGGAAGTAGTTAATTAAGAGGTAATTTACCTGATTAACTACGTGTAGTTTTTCTTCAAAAACTACGTCTTTTCCCGTTCATTAGCTACATGAAAACTACGTTAATAAACTATGTATTGATATTATGAATAATTTTCCTTTGTATGAGGTGTAATAGAGATAATATGATGTAAATATTATATTTAAAGCCATATTTCTTCTGTTTTCTTAAATACATTATGTATTTTAAAGCTTCAACTTATTAAAACCTCACCTCAAACCTTTGAAATTTGAAAGTTACATACATAAGTTACATAAACTACACCCTCTACATAAACTACATTCACTACATGTAATGTAGTTTATGTAGTTTTTAAAAGTAACATGTAGTTTTCCGAACCCTGGTTGTCACCAACCAGGGTATGACTCATGGTACAAAGAATACAAGGTATGATATTGCGCAGGTTGGTCACTACGTCACAGGTGATAAACGGCACTATTGGTCGGCAAGCTCTGCGCGCCAATTTCAAATTGTCAAACAGATTGTGTCATCATGGTGTCATCTGTGAAATTTGATTGTGTCAAAATGTGAAAATAATTTTTCAAATGTCAAGCTCGATATCAAAACTATGGAGTCTAAAAGGAGGAGGCGAATCGAACGCAAAAATTATGGGCCCAGTTTTTGAGATCTAAATGAAGTTCGAAAATCGCCGTTAGGGGCGCTTGTGATGATTGGGATACTAGAAATACACAGCTTCTTATGGCAAGAATAACTATTTTGTTATAAATTATAGATCGCCGTTAGGGGCGCTTGTGATGATTGGGATACTAGAAATACACAGCTTCTTTATGGCAAGAATAACTATTTTGTTATAAATTATAGAGCCAAGTTAATATTTGGGCATATTTTTACCAGAGTTAGCTTTTAGAAACGTGGTTTTTCTAATTGAGCAATGTGCGTGGCTAAAATTGTGAATACAAAACCTTAAATTTGAGTTTGAAAAGTTAGTTAGGTTATATTAGATGCCGGTTTAATATATCCTTTCCTAAGTTGATATTATTATAAAATGTTTTATTATGTGGTTCTTTTTTAGTGCATACACGACCGAAGAAACATATAAGCTGCTAAAATAAATCTTCCCTAGAACTGTTGTACAAAAAAGATAGAAGTTCCAGCAACAAATTTATCACCAGTTCAACCTTTGATTTGATGTAAACAGTAATTGTTTCTTGATGAGAAATGCGAATGAAATAGTTTATGGTGTGATTGTGTTAGTGTTTTATTAATAGTTTTGTTGATGCAGTTTAAAGGTTCATAGTTTTTCATTAAAACATTTGAAATTGACATGTTTACATGCAGTTTAGTGTGATACCATTTTAATAAAACATTAAAATCTTTCGAACTAGTAGTGGTTTTATGGCGATTGACAGATTGAATAACGAAAATTAAGAGTATTTTGGTCAGGAATAACTTAATCATAAATGGAAACTGAAGACTTAACGTTACTTCATTGCCAGATTGAATAACGAAAAATAAGTATTTTATCAGGAATAACTTAATCATAAATGGAAACTGAAGACGAGCGTTACCATTGCACCCTTTGATCGGTGTTATCTATTCCATAACTTTTTATAGCTGAAACTAGAGAGTAGGTATATTGAGCTGAAACGTTTCCTGTGTTCAATAGCGTTTTTTCATAGCGTTGAATTGTAAGTTTTAATGTCATTAGCAAAGTTTTGCAAATTGTCACTGTTTCTCGTAGACAATTAAATTCAAGATATATTATATTCAATGTCACCTAATAATTGTAAAGGTTTTTCTATTGATATTCACTTTATTAATATAAGGTAGGTTTGTAAATAAAATATTAATGAATAAATAATGTACTCAGTTTATTTCAAAAGCACAAAAAATACAGAGTTGTGAATATGTATATACGCTGACTTTTTCATCATATAAATATTTATTTAGCAATATTAATACATTACAACTTTTGTTTCTATTAACTAATTCCACTAAATTTAATAAATAAAATATACAATATATAAATTTAATATACAATTTAGCACTTAGATATTAAATATCTATATGTACTATGCCAAAAAATAAAACAGGAACATCATATTATATCAAGAACACAAAAAATTACAATTTAAAAAAGGTTTCCTCTTTCTTTTATTACTAGAGAAATATGAAGGCAGGTTAGGAAAAATTCTTGGAATTGAACCCTCCTTTAATAATGGTCTACCCCGCTCAATTCTACTGATAGTTCCGTCAGTTAATTTGATCTCATAATGAGTCAAAATATCTTCATCTAGAAAATGTAGTTCACAAACAGCATCTTTGCTGCTAAGTGTCTTGTCTGATCTGGGTATCGCCTTTTGCCACTGCTGTAGCAAGCTAGGATCCTAATAAAAGATATATAATTGTTAAATAAAATAAAAAAAAAACATTTTTCACTATTAAAGCTGTTATTTTGAGAATACGATCTTGAAGTATAAATATTTAATATTCACTTTCAATAGCACTGTTCAAACTGTGGTTAATATAGGTACATGTCAACAGGTAATTTTAGCACCTAGTAAGTATTAAATTATTTTAATTTTATAACAAGGCCTCCTAGGTTATGTTATACACATGTTGATTTTAGGCTATATTTCCTATTAATTTGGTTTATAATTTAATCTGTACACTGACAGTATATAATTTTAATGTTTTTCTTAACATCTATCCATAATTTTTATAAATAAATAGTCATACTACTTACATTAGGAGCTTTGAAAAGGCTTGGGTTTCTTTCACCCCGTTCTTTATTTGCCTTGTTTTTATTGGGATTCCCACTTGTACAGCCAGGTACAAAGCAATTTCTACCACGACTCATTGTTGTACTGCTAAAAATTCAGTAAATTAACTATAAATTTTATTAAAAACACAATTAAATCGTATACTAACAATGAAAATGTAGTATCCCAGTCGATCGCAGTGCCTCTGCTGTCAAACCGAGGAAGCTGCTTAAAAGTGGGGACAGAAATTTCAAATTTGCCCATTGCCGATAAATCTCCTTTTTTAAGCCCTCCATAATCAAAACATAACTTTTGGGGCTATGTCCTAATTCTTCCCTATTTTAGGTCTTTTTTTATTAGTGGCAATTGAACAATATGGATATTTTTTTGTATGGCGTATGACGTCACAGGTGGTATGCGCAAACTTAAACGAAATTGGAGCCGCTATCGATCATACCTTGTTTTCGTTGTACCATGGGTATGACTTATACCTTTGTCTATATATAATTATGCTCAGACCAGTTAATTATTTTATTCTCAGACTACCTCTACACTCCATAGCTCAGACCTGCTTAAGGCAGACCCTGTTTCAGTATTGATTAACACCAGATTAACACGTCGAGGGTAGTACCTAGTACCCTATCAACAAGCCGGATAGACCTAGTAGCTTAGGCCTTAAAATTAATTAAAAAAAAGAAGAGGAACACGTGTTATTATACCTAACCCTTATTTATATTTATGAAATTTGAAATTTAATTTTTTAATGGAAAAATTATAAAGCTTGCTATGTTAAAGAATGCCGAGTCTGTTGCTATAATCGAATGAATTTCATTTAATAAAAATCATTTGAATAATTTTATATGCAAGTTTGATAGCGTAAGTACTTTTAATTCATTTTTTATGTGCCTATACAGTTGAATAAACTAAACATACCTTTTTAGAATCATACAAAAAATGGGTACATCTTTGGCAGAACAGTTGCAAAAATTAGCTGTCCCTCAGACAAACCTCCTAGTCGATAGTAAAAAGAAGGCCTCTCTATTGTTTGAACCTAAAGAAGCAGCTACTCTTCGAAAAGATACTATATATAATATTGGATTGGAAGGATTAGAAGATCTTATTTCGAAAAGTCTAGTTTTTGAAGAATTTAAAGAGACACTCTTTCATGTTACATCGAAAAACTTTGAAAGGTCCATTACCAATAAAGATGGTAACAGTAAGGTTGATAATGCAATTAGAAAGTTTCTATTGATGGTATCGCCATACTTTATGTTGAGTTCCTCACATAAAGCATTGGAATGGTTGATTCATAGATATATGATTCATGAATACAATAGAGAGGATATATTGATATTAATATTGCCATATCATGAAACTAATATTTTTGTAAGAATGGTTCAACTTTTAAAGTTTAAGGATCATAACGACAGTTTTTATTTCCTGAAACAACTTCAAAAGCCTGGAGTACATTTGACAAAGCAGAATTTATTAAACCATGCAGCATCAAATAATGGATTTTTAAAATTTGTTACGAAAATGATTAATAATTTAATAGATGTTCACCCAAATCCACATACTTTAACTATCGCTTTCAACTTTTATTGTTCAGTTTTTAGTGGTGTAATTGAGTATTCAACTGAAATATCAGAGGATCAAATATCACAAATCTTACCTCTTATTTTAAAAGGGTTGAGTTCTTCTATACCTGACTTTTCAGCTGCTACATATATTATAGTTGCTCGATTATTATCAAAAACAAGTTTGAAGGATAAGGTATTGGATAAGTTTATGAAAAAAATAACTGAAATTGATAATACTAACTTCAAAGTTGAAATTATCTTAGTTATATTAGTGATTTATCAGTCTCAAGCAGACTATAAAAATCTGCCATTGGATGTTATAGAAAATATTACTAGAATAGAATGGTTTTCTCAATGTTTACAATATTTAAACTCAAATGGAAACTACATATATCCTTTTCTGAAAGTTGCAATTAGAAAAATTAGTGAAGCTGGTCTTCAGGATGCAAATAAATCGGCAAGAGATTTAATGGTAAACATTCTGGATGAAATAAAAATGGATGATTTTTTTGTGAAAATATTTTTATGGTGAGTATAATTTGTAATGATGTAGTGAAAATAGAGAGTGATGAAAATTTGAGTGCTAATTTTGTTGGCAGACCAAAGATCACAATAAAAAAAGTATTTTGATGAAGTAAATTTTACACAATAACAGATGTGAATTATTATATTAAATTCAAAGTGGAATATAATAACTACGTTGAGTTATGATATAAAATACAGGGTATTCTTTTTTACATAACAGAAAAAATCTAGTTTTGGGTCACGCTGTATAAACTAAGCAATTTAGCCTATTTGTGCTTTAAATGCGTAAAAAAAATAATATAAAACTGGTTCTATTTCAATAAGTTTGAAGTGTATTTAGTGAATGAAATATTAAGTGTTTGTTAAAAGAAAATTACAGTTTTTGTAAAAATATAGGGTGTCCCAGTGTTTCGTGGACATAGAACTACTACGTATTTTTGGAGTAAAAATAAGTAATAATTTCCATTGAACACAAGTTACCTCTATACAAAAGTACTTTGTCGGTCCGCTAGAGGGCAGCAAACTTTAAAAAAATAAACACATTTTTTAAGATATTTAAGACCCGTTATTCCAATTTCAATAAGATTTTGGGTGACTATGTTTTGCTAAGTGCTTTAACATTTGACTTTCACAAAAATAAAGAAAAAGTACGGGTAGGGTGAAAACTACCCCCACCCCTACATAAATTTTAGTGTAAATATTTTCCAATTCCACCGACGACAGATTTTCTTTTTGTAAAAGGCCCCTCTAGTGTTTACTACATTTTTTGCCTCTTGTAAAAAAACGCCATATCGCATAGTTTTTGAGAAAACAAATTTTTGGAAAATAATTTTTCCAAAGCAAATGTACAAAATATACAGGGAGTTCCAATATTCCGTGGACATAGAACAACTACGTATTTTCTGAATTAAAATAAGTCAATTGCAGATAATTTACCTTTATACAAAAGTGCTTCGTTTGTTTGTTAGAGGGTTCAGTAATAAAAAAATGAACATATTAATTAATTTTAAATTTATTATTTTTTTAAGCTTTTTATGGAGCTTATTGTTAAATACAGAGGGTGCAATGATTTGAATCAACTTGATTTAAATTGTGATTTAAATCAACGGATTTTTTATTTTAATCGTGGATTTAAATCGAAATAATCGACTTGTAAACTTATCAAAACTTATATATATATCCTATATTAAATATACCCTATATTATTTAATGAATAGATTAAATAAGTACAAAGTTGTTGTAAAAAAAGCTGTTGTAACGTTTAAATACTTTAACAGATCGAAAAATAATTGTAAAAGATATAACATATAACACATATCCCTAATATATGATGTATATACTAATATATGATGTATATTCATCTATTATAATGTTGGACCGATTTTTGAAGTTATTTCGTGTGAATCCATTACATCAAGATTACACCTCTAAATGAAAGAGATTTATTTTGAAATGGGCTCTTTCACTATATTTTGGAATTAGCATAATTGAATAAAGCAATTAATTCTAGAATTTTCTGCTATCTCACTTTCGAAAAATTTGAAGTCGTTCTTAAGAAAATAAATAAAACAAAAAAGCCCAGAATAAAAATCCGCACTTTATTTTTAATACGTCACACCTGGCATGTTGAAAAGCGGCAACACGGCCACGGCCGGGCCACCATGGTGACCCACCACCACCTCCACAAAAGGCCATTCAACCTTTTCCAATATGGCGGAGATAGAAGTGCTTTATTTGGCGCCATTTATCTTAAAACCTGTTTTATCTCCAAATAGACATTTTTCACACAAATGTCGGGTTAGATTACGTAATATTTCACTAATTTTTTAATATACGGGGAGTCTAAAGTAGGATTTATAAACTCACAGTTGGATTTGGCTTTGGCTTTGGCGCCGCCGCCCAATTCTTAAAACTATATTACCATAAGAGCATTTATAAACACGGTTGGCTTTGGCTTTGGCGCCCGGTTGCCGTCGGACTTGAATTATGTTTAACTTTTTACCGTTCGAAGCGGTTCGCCGTCCGTAGCATCACGTAGCAATGACGTTACAGCCAATAGAATAGTAAAGAGCGATCACGTGTTGCTTTGTTTACATCTAGTTTTGAAGTATGCTAATTCCAAATTTATGGTCACTCTCAATAACCCTAATAGGGTAATTTCATCAAGACCATTACTTTCCAAATCCATAATTAAAAATCTCGAACAAAAAACCAAAACTTTAAACACTTTCGTCTCTAAAAACGCACTATAGACTCTGCTACTCTCAAGTAAAAAGTAAACAAAAATGTAAGGTTAGATCTGCCCAAAACGGCCAAAGCCAACTGTCAACCGTCGAGTTTATAAATGCGATTTTGCGGCGCTACGAACAGTCGACGGCAAATCCAACGTCAACGCCAAATCCAAAGCCGACTGTAGAGTTTATAAATCGACCTTAAAGTTCTCCATATAAGTATGGAATTTTTTGTATTATTACTTTTATGAAAATATCAGTTAGTTACTTTTTATAAAAAGGTCTGCTTTCTCAGAAAATAGGTAGTGTTAAAATATTCAAATTTGAGGTAGCATATATAGGGTGAAAAAGAAATAACCAGAAATATATATGACAGAAAATAGCAATATGAACTAAATATTCAATTGCAAACACTTACTACCATAGTTTAGAATTTATTCTGAACGTTTGAAAAATATATACTATTATGGACAGTATAGGAAGTTACTTGTCTTAGTAAAAGCCTTGGTAAATGCTCTTGGAATTATAAACTACACTGGCTTGGGTCAAAAAATATCGAATATATTTTCTGTGTTTTACAAATTATTTTACAAATGGTAATAAATTTAAACTATAATAGGTGAGGATAAATAAAAAATATAATATGTGTTTCAAGATTTTATATAGAAAAAAAAACTAAATACCTTTTTGGGGGTTCGTAAGTAAAACTTACGCTTAGCTTAGTTTTCTTTACTCTTTCTCTTTACATAGGGCATTGTCTTTGTGGTAAAGACGTCATTCCTTTTTTTGCATAGTTCTTCAATAAAATATTGGATATTCTGAACAAGATGGATTTAATAATAAATTCTGACGTATGTGAGGGGCAGTTGTGACCTAAAAAAAGACTTACATCCAGGCCATTTATATTTTCAAATGTCAATGTTGTCAATATCTTTCTGTGATTTTTTTGATGTAAAAAGCTTGATTATTCTTCCAATATTTTACTTAAGTAAGTGTAAGCAGTAGTCATAACTACATCCTGACTAGGGTAACAGAGGCTTTGGGGCCTTGGGCCTTTTTGAGGCATATTTAATGCACTTCTTACCCGAGAACTACTAGTAGGAGTGAAATTATCTCTTTTAATAGCTGTCAACCATTTTTTACGAAGCTCGTCATTTTTGGGGAATATAAAAGCAGACACCTTGGGACCCCCTCTATAATTCCCGTAACAATTTGGAACAAAGCATGTAAAAGGCCTACTACAATAAAATGTTAATACATACCCTTTAATACCCATCTTTTGATTATTGTAAGTAACCATTATAAAGTACTATGCAGACTGGCGACGAAGGCTTTTTACTCATTTAGGTGTAATATCTTGATAAATACTTACTAGTTCTTACCTTAAAATAATTAATAATAGAGGAGTACGACAAGCAAATAATAGAGGAGTACGACAAAAGTTTGAAGTTCCCTATGTGGAATGTCTGGTTTGGATTTTTATTACACTGTTATTTTATCACAATTTTCTGATCACACCATGCACTGAACACTAAGAACTAAACAAACGTGTTGCAGAAGCACAACAAACTAGAGATAATTAATTATTTCTGGTATGCAATCGGAACGAGAAACCACTACCGGCTTTTCACGTTAAAGGTAAACAATTTAATAATGCGCTGCCTCCGCCACCATATTTGCCTTGCCCATATCATGTTGATTGGCCTTGAGTTGAGGTGGTGCTGGTCAAATCAAATCGCAATGTTGCCAGTTGTTGACTGGAGCACGGTTCTGCAATGTGATTGGACGTATTTTTCATACGTCATCAATTGGCACTTTAAAATTATTTCAAATTACAGCAATTTTGAGGATCTATAATAAAGTATTCAATGTCATGGAACTATTTTTTTAGATAAATATACTGAAAATAGTCTTCTATTTCAGATTTTGTCCTTGAATTGGGTATTTTATTTTTTGTGAAAGAGCCCATGTGAAGTGGCAGAAATCCGGTATTTGAATACATTTCATTAGCAACTCTAGTACAGAATTGTTTCTTCTGATGTCAGGTTATATTTTTATTCCCGAGGACTAATCAATGACAAAAGATAAACTAGAGTCAATGGGCGCGTTCAGGGAACACAGCTGCTGACATTCAGCGTAGAATTTCGCTGACCAGCAGCTTACGATATTCCCTAAGCGGCACAAAGCAGCAGAAAGAACAAGAAACAGTAGCTGTCTCATGCGCTCTCTGTCTAGTATAAAAATTTGAGAGAAATATAAATAAATCTTCTTCGTCAAATCGGTCTATAATCGATCTTTAGTCTTTAATTACTGGCTGATCATTTAATAATTGAAAATATATTATTTGACAATACAGTATTAAACATTAAATTTCTAAAAAATAACAGTTTATAAAAATAATTTTACCTATACACCTAAACAAAACAACTTAAAATAACAGGAACTGGCCAAGTTCGACCAAGTCACCTTTTGCGCATTTTTTTTTCGATGGCATGGTACAAATAAAATTACTGAAGGTGTAAATACCCTACAATAAAAAAAAAACGACGTCAGGGGTGATGTGGAGGTGAAGATTGCTGTTACTTTATATGTAAACTTATATAGGGAATATTATCGATCGTTATTTATAAGCCAACTAGGCGCATTTTTTTCGATCAGATGGTATTATAATTACAATCAAAAGTTATTTATGCTGATTTAGATTTTTCAGAAAGTAGTATTTTTTCTTAATTTCATTGTATATAGAAAATTCGACATGAGATGGAAATGAACTTGAATTTTCTTTTTTTTTTCGCTTTGTAACTTTTTTGCCAACAAATATCTCCTATTTTTTAAAGATTCGATTAACTACGATTGACTACAAACTTCAACAAACCATAAAAAGTAAACAATAAACTGAGAAAATTAAAGTTATTTGTTATTTTACATTAGTTGACCACAGATAAGGAAATAGATTAAGGCTGACTTGTCTCAGCCTAAATATTTACTGCTGAGAATTTTGCACAGCGGCTGACTGTTGCTGTTCGTCAGAATAGACCGTTTAGGGAAATCGTTTCTCAGCCACTCAGCCGCTGACCGTCCCTGAACGCGCCCAATGCTGTTTTATACCTTTTTGAAACAGTTGAATGTTGATCAAGATAACTTCCGCCTTCCCTAATTTATCTTCTAGTTCATTCCAAATTTCTACCGACAGTTTGTTCTGCAATAAGTACTTTGCACTTTGAACATTAGATGGTACTAATTTTATTCTCGACTTAAGACAGTCATGACTATTTCCAAAAAAAATCCCTTTGATCTAAGCGGCCGATTTTTTTTTGGGGAAAATAGAGGTATCGGCAAAGTTTACAGAATAAAATATATCGGTAACCGATGTGGAAAAACGACACGCGCCGTAGAAATGTTAATATTGTCAATATCGGGCAGAGTTACAAAGATTTAGCCATTTAGGATAGGGCTTTAAATAGAATATTGATTAAAATAAAAAAAATCGGATTAAAATCAAAAAAATCTGATTAAAATAAAAAAATCATGATTTTTTTGCACCCTGGTTAAATATAATTTGAGATACTAACATAAAATTCCATATTTTCGCCAACTAGATTATTTCAGCATAATAGATTTTATGCGCCTTTATAGCTTGATGTGACAAAAAAACATTTTTTTGGAAATCAGCTTCGGAATTTTTTTTTTCTCAAAATGTATGCGCAGTGGAGTTTTTTACAAGAGATAAAAAATATAGTAAATACTAGAATGGACCATTTTACGAAAAAAGAATCGGTCGTCGGTTGAGTTGGAAAATATGTATACTAAAGTTTATGTAGGAGTGGGGGTAGCTTTTACCCTTCCCGTACTTTTTCTGGATTTTTGTAAAAGTCAAATATTAAAGCACTTAGCAAAACATAGACACCCAAAATTTTATCCAAATAGCAATAACGGTTCTTAAAATATCTGAAAAAAGGATTTATAAGTTTGATGCCCTCTAACGGACAAACGAAGCACTTTTATATAGAGGTAAATTGTGTCCAATGAACTTATTTTGATTTCAAAAATATGTAGTAGTTCTATATGTCGACGGAATATTGGGACACCCTATATACAGAGTTGTCCGAACTGTATTCCGGAAACTTCCTCAGCATATTCTGCAGATAAAAATAAGTAAAAAAGTTCGTATACATGTATGTCCTAAAACGCTTACTTTCGGAGATACAGGGTGTAGAAGTTTCATTTTTATTTCGATTTTATCCTAATAATTTATGAAGTAACGTCAATATTTGGATGGAAATTGGTGTATGGAAGTTTTTTGACATGCAGAATTTGATTTTTGTGTCGATATGACTCCTATTTGTAGGGGGCGCCACCTACATATTTTTTAACTGGTTTGAAGAGTAATCACTTTTCGTCTGTACCTGTATAAAACTACTGAGTAAAAAAATATACATTCACGACTTTTTTTTACGTAAAAAAGGTCTCTTATAGTAAAAAAATAGTCTAAATATATTGAGAATGGTTGCTCGTAGAGATTTTTAAGAAGGGACATTGTTTACGTAAAAACTCTCGAAAATGTAGATTTTTTCACTCAGTAGTTTTATACAGGTATGGACGAAAAGTTACTATACTTCAAAACAGTTAAATCACATGTAGGTGACGTCTCCTGCAAATAGGAGTCATATTGACATGAAAATCAAATTTGTCATGTAAAACTCCCAAACTCCCCGAAATTTTCATCCAAATATGGACGTTACTTCAGAAATTATTTGGAAAAAATCGAAATAAAAATGAAACTTACCTACACCCTGTATCTCCAAAACAGAGTATGTCCTAAAATGTATGTCCATTTTAGGACATACATTTATACAAACTTTTTTACTTATTTTTATCTTCAGAATATGCTGCCGAAGTTTCCGGAATACAGTTCGGACCACCCTGTATATGAATTACCCTTATGTCTATAAAGTTATTTTAAAAATATGTACTACTTTTGTCTGCTTATTTTTAAAAAATGCTAAAATCTGAATGAGTTAAAATCTGAAGTAAAAAACCTGATTTGGTTTTTTTGAAACACTAGTTTACCCTGTACATTTCTCATTTTTGTTTTAGTGAGTTTCTGGGTGTTCTAAATCCTGATCAGAAATACGGTACCGAAGTCGACCAATGGTTGCATGAAATTATTCATAAACTGGACAAGCAGTATCCAACTTCCTTTGATGCAGCAGTTAGTGAGATTTTTAAAAGTGGATCTCCTAATTATAACAAAAACCACTCAACCTGTCTAAAGAACATTTTACAAAATGCTATGATGTTCGAAGGAAAATTCGAAATTTTAAATAAACTCTATCATCCTAGTTTGGAATTAAGACAAGAATCGTTGTCATTTCTGACAAATCATTTCTCAAATTTCAGACAAAGTGAACAAGATTTTATTAAACATTCTCTGTATGATAAATTAAATGATGAAAATCCAAAAGTTGTTAAGGAGACGTTAATGTTATTGCAGCAGACTGAAGTTGTACATAAAGATTTTTATGATAATGTGCTGCTTTATGTGATTAACAGTAAACAATTCTTGTCGGATAAATGGAAAAATGTATTTGTATTAGCAATTAATTTATTAACAAAAACCAGAACATTTGATTGGAAATTATTTCTTTCTATCTCGCCAGTTTTAATTTTACCTCCAGGAAACAATTTTAAGGAACTAAAACAAATTTTCAAGTCTAAGTTTTTTTCTAACTATATTTTATTTAATGAGTTTTGCAGTAACTTAAAATACATTAACAATAGCACTGAAATGTATAATCAATTTATCGCCTGTTTTGAAAATAATGATAACTCTGAAATAGTTGAATCATTATTGCAGAGTATCGACTTGCAGTTAGAAAATTCTATAAATCATTATTACAGCATCATATTTCTTTTATCTAAGTTGGTACCAAACTCATGTACTATTAAAACCGCGTTTTCAGTGTTACAGATTTTTGAACGTTTTTATACAAAATATGATGAAGAGAGAAATAAGGGCGCGGAACGTTTAAAAGAATATAGTAAAATTAAGCTTTTGGATAAATTTCCCCTTGAGGATTTTGTAAAATGCACAGAAAATATAGTTAAAAAAGTGACCTTAAATAAAGATAGTATAATACATATTGATTTTTCTGAAGATACTGAACTAGCTAAATTTATAAAATTATTGTTTACTCAAATTTTTAAAGATACATTTCCTTCTAAAATTCGTAGTGACACTATTAACTATATTTTCTCAGAACCTTATGAAATAACAAATCTTTTGTTAAACGTGGCATCTTCAAAAGTGGTATCAGATAGTTATATTCTGAAAATATTGGACTTTATTCGACATGCCTTGAACAACGCGCAATTAAATGTCTTTGACATTAATACTTTAGCGTATCTATTGACTTTACTTGTTCATTCAAAGGCTGAAATTAGGAAATCTACGTTAACGCTAATTAAACTTTTAATAAACAAACAGAAATGTTTGAAGGACGCTCAGAAATTCGGATATCTTTGTGAGGGTTTAATATCACATTTTGATGAGATTTTTGTTGATCCTGAGCAGGTGTCATTAATAGCATATAATTTATTAGTAACAGGGTACGAGGCAAAGAAAATTAGCGACGAAGTGAAATTATGTTTAAGCGATTTAGTTCATTTTGCATGCGATTTAAAATCGCCTGTTTATGCCAAAGCAGGTGTCCTGATAATTTTGTCTCATATAAATACCTTTGAAATAACAGAAAAACTCTGTGAAAGTGGATTTACACTATTTATGAAAACCGCTGTTATACAAGACCATTACGCCGTGGTTTCTGAGACAATTATCAATAGGCTTGATCCCCTTATTGCATCTAAAATAAATTTGGAAACTAGTATTTATAAATTTATTAATTTTGCCTTAAGGCATGACAAGAAGGTAATTATTGCTGATCAAGAAACCTGCTTACCTGTTATTCTTTTAAATCAACTAACTAGAGAAGTTTATTCCCGATTACCAAATGACGTCTTGGAAAAGTTACTAGATACTATATGTGAAATATTGACTTACAATCAGCATCCAGAAGTCCATTCCCTATCTAATCGTCTATTTAAACACCTAGATTTGGACGCAAAAATGATTGTTAGTATACTTCAAAATATGAAAGATGTAGAATCATCAAAACTTGTTTCAACCAAAAAGAGAAGAAGGGTAAATGTGGTACCTACAGTTGATATACTAGATACATTAGAGTGGAAAAAGGGAGTGTGTATGTTGGAATTAATTCAAGATAAAAAGAAAATTCGTAATTCCCAATGTCTAACACCTTTATTGTTCAGTATTCTGAAGAAGTGTCTGGATTTTGAGGAACAAAGCGCTGTTGAATATCCGAAACAGTTAATATTATCTTTAATTTTGTTAGTTTGTTCTAAGAGCGAGAATGAAAACCTCCCAGAAAATGTTTTTAACATAGAACTTGTTATTCAATGTATAAGAGCATCTCAAAATCCTCAAACTCATCACCACGCCTTACTGGTTTTAGTTGAGGCTGCTCAAATAGTTCCAACCGATGTATTGCATCATATAATGAGTATATTTACTTTTATGGGATCGTCCCTGCTTCGTTACGATGACGCTTATAGTTTTCAAATTATAATAAAGATTATTGACGCCATTATTCCTATTTTGCTTACGAAGAAGGATACCGCTTCGATTGCAAACGTTTTACAAGTTTTTGTAGATGCATTATCTGATGTACCAGAACACAGAAGACTACCAGTTTATAAACAACTTTTGACCAAAGTTAATGAACTGGAGAACCTTTATATTTTCTTGCTGTTGGTTTTTGAAAAAGAAATAATGTCTGGAAGTCAAGAGAAACAGAAAAATAATAAAGGTGAGTTGTTTCCATTACTTATTACTACTGTAAGTCCTCTGTTCAACAAAATTCTAAGTAACACATAGTGATTTTAAGTAGCGATGGGAACTATCGAATGAATTAGACTATCGAATGGTTACTGAATGAATGATTTCAACTATTGAATGGTTTTATTCGTATAAAATAATTCATTCATTTGTATACTAAAGCATATGTGACAACCTCGCCGTGCGACTAAATGGTTATCGTTGCGCCACGAGCCACGACTATATCGAATGCTTTTGATAAATGAAATTTAGTATTCGTTTGATATTTGTGTGCATCAGTGCATTATTAGTTCTTCCAAATTTTTATAACTTCGCCTTGTAAATACTATGCTATTTTTGCGTTTATTAAAATATTTAAAATACTAAAATAGTAGTTTTTTTTAATTGACGATTGTGTGCGAAGTGGTCAAAATTTTTCCGAAAATTTGTGTGATTTTCCGTAGCCCGATCTTTCAATTATTTAATTTTATATGGTATATTATGGTTAGGTTAGATTGCATTTTTTTAATGGGAAATTTTGAGAAGTAGCAATTTTTAAGAGAGATGAGATGAACTTACAATTAATTTTAAAAATATATATTTGTATTTTAGATGTTTTAATAATATGAATTAGTTGAACTTAATAATCATATTTAAGTAATGTGGTTAAGTAAATGGTTATCGAACTCAAATTTTGGGGTCAGAAAATTAAATTGAAAGTTTTACACGTGCCATTTAAAAAAAAAGTTAACAATGTTTGTATTTTGTTTATGCTAATTCTCTTACTTGTAGTTTTTTGCGAAAAAATATTTCATTTGTTTTTTAAAGTAAATGCCAGTAAAAATAAATATTATTTTTAAATAGTAATATAAAGTAATAAAAAGTAATATAAATAATTTTGATTTCTAATTTTTTATTTATATTTTCCTTCCATTACACTGCATGGTATAACAAATTATTACTGTTATTATTATTTATTAAACCAGTTTTTGCTTAAAAACATTAAAAACCATTTTCCTACATCCAAAATAAAAAGTATTATTGCAGTGTAACAACAGAATATTAATAAAAAAATGCAAAACATACTATCCCTAACTAACTAATGCTAAAGAATAATATTCTTTGCTAATACTAACTAATACGAATATATGGCAACAGCGCCCTTCATAATGTAATTTCTGTGTAAATACTAGCACCTTAATAAAAAAAATAATGTGTCCTTATCTTTATTTGACTCCGCAAAAAATCAAAGATGCCGGCTTCTTTCATAGCATTGCATTGGAGAGTGGTCTTTCATAGCATTGCATTGGAGAGTTCTTTCATAGCATTGCTACGTCGCCGGACGACAACTAAAATCCAGTTTATATTTTATTAAAATCGATCCTGACGAATAAATGAATGAATTTTATAAATGAATGGTTTTTGCTGCCGAATTACTAGAATACAATATTTCAAGGCAGATGACGCATCTATTCGATAATTTTTATTCGAATAGTTTTCGACGAATGTTTTCTTACTAGCTATCGAATTATTCGAATGAATTGCAACTATCGAATGTTTCGATAGTATTCATTCGATAGTTCCCACTACTAATTTTAAGTATATGTTAAAAATGGCGGCGCAGTCGGTCTCAACGCACCTTAACAGTGATCACTCTGTAAGTTTAATTCAAAAGTCATTTATATATTTTTTTCTGCCATTTTTTATGACGTCTGTCGAAATTGTCTATTCTCTTGCTTAACTGATTATCATCTATATGTATAATAAGTCAGAGAATAGATAATAAGAGGATATGTTTAAATTAATATTTTCCTTCAAAATATTGGCAAATATGCTTGTAAGTTGTCGGGCTGTAAAACTAATTAAGGAAATCGTTATAATTTTTATCCTCAAATTATTGTTCTAATTAATCACTTAAATCAAGTTATATTTTGTATAATAGAAAAAAGTATATTTTCTAAATAATCATAAATTTGTTCATAAGTGGAATATTTCATTAAAACTTCTTTTATTGTTTTAGATCAACAAACCACCCTGGATATAGCATTGCATCTTTGTTTAGAATTCTCGCCAGAAGTTATCCTTAATGTGTGTCTTCAGCTGATTAACTATTTAAAATCGCTTCCAGATGAAAAAGATGACAAGATTGACTTGAAAGTGATTGGTCCTATATCTAATATTAGGAATTACACACCAAAACAATTTCGTCACTTTAAATATGTCCTAATTAATTTTATAAAAAATATTTTAACGGACATACTGCTTATTAATAAGATAGTTGTATTATCACAAAACGAGAGTGTCAGTTTAGAGAAGCTTTATAAGGACTTAATAGTAAGTATTTTAACTTATATTCAGCGTATACAAAAAGTTACAGAAAAGGCGGCAAATACACCACAAGCGCAATATTGGAAAATCATGTTACATCATAGCTATGATATCTTAGATAGCATAAATGCCTTACTTACACCTCACATGTTTTTGCTGGTTATTAAGGGACTTACTCTTTATAACATTTATACCGTTAAGAGGAGGGCTTTAGAATTACTAAATGCAAAATTACAGCATAACTTTCAATACTTTGACGAATGTGATAGAAGTGAAATATATATCTTAATTCCACCTATTATATCAATAATAGAAACACTCAATTCTGAAGAAGTAGAAAGTGATCAAGAAGTTTTAATTCAAACTGCTTTACTGTCTTTAAAACTTATAGTGAAGGCATTTGCTTCAGATGATCCAGAAAAATTCGTACAGATTTTAGAATTTATTAGTAATTTATTAAATTCTGGTAAACCGCAGAATAATGTTTTGGCATCAGTAATATTATGTCTGGCAGAACTCTGCGCTATTTTAAGGGTGCACGCTATATCGTGTCTTCCGGATGTTATGCCAGCATTTCTAAAAATTTTGAAGAAACAGAAACATCAAGACACATCTAGTTTACTTTTAATCAGTGTCGTAACTGCAGTTAACAAGTTATTAGACAGTTTATCACTTTTCCTAAGTCCATATCTTAAAAAAATTATATTTGAGATGTCTATTTTAATCAGTAAGTGGAGCTGCTCAAACAAAGACCAAAAGGCAACACCTCTCGTTAATAAATTGAATTTAGTTGCTAAAAAATTGGGTAGTTTAATACCAGCTAGAGTCCTAATACCGTCTATTGAAGATAGTTACAATACTTGCATAACAAAGAAATATTTCAAGGCAATCGGGTCACTAATGGATATCTTGTCAGAATGTATCAAACATTTAACTCCAGCAGATCTAAATTCAAGTACGCAGGACCTTACCAACTTTTTCTTGCACGCTTTAAAATTCCGATCGGAAAAAAGTCAGTCAATAGAAGATGCCAATAATGTTGAAACTCATATCGTCAAAGCATTAACTGTGTTTATTTTAAAATTATCTGAGAGCTCCTTTAAACCTTTTTACTATAAAATATATGACTGGGCCATTAGAGGTGACGAGAAAAGTGAAAGGCTCATCACTTTTTATAATTTATCTATGAATATTGCGCAGTCGTTGAAAGGGCTTTTCGTTTTGTTTGCCAGTCATTTTTTAAATAATGCAGCACAAATTGTCTCTGATATCAATAAACTAAAGGGTGATAACACCTATTTCAAAGATGAAGCAAAGGACATTATGCTATTAGAATATGTACTAAAAACACTTCAAACTGTATTTAGGTATGCTAACCAGAAGTTTATAAATCGGGACCGTTTTGACATACTGATGCAACCGCTTGTAGATCAATTAGAGAACGATATAGGTGGAATTGAGATATTAAATCAAAGGAATGAGACATTATTAACACCAACAATCGTACACCTTTTCGTCGCAGTTTCGGATGATGTCTGCTGGAAACAGATAAATTACCAAATTCTTTTGAAAATGCGCAGTGCTACGCCCGGTATAAGACTGATTGCTCTCCATTGTCTGAAGGAGGTGGTTACAAAATTAGGACAGGATTTCTTACCTCTTCTACCAGAAACCATACCATTTTTAGCTGAACTCCTTGAAGATGAAGAAGAAACAGTAGAAAAAGCTTGCCAAAAAGCTATTCGTGAAATAGAAGTTGTCTTGGGAGAACCTTTGCAAAAATATTTTTAAAAGTTTATGATGTTATTTGCGTAAATTCGGACATATAATAATATTACGAGCTCTTTTTATTTAAAAAAAAACTATTTGCTACCATATAAAAACATCCTTTTTTGAAGATACCCATATTATCCTTAGCTAGATAATATTTTGTATTACTGTATGTGTTTTACAGGTATTTTAAAATTGACCTTTAGGTTATGATAATAATTGTGGATTTAAATATATGAACTATAAAGTAACAATAACGTTATTTTTTATAAATATTAAATGTGTAGAGTCACAAAATTTTAACAAACCTAGAATGTAAAATTGAGGTATGTAATTGTTGAAGATTCATTAATATATTTTTAAGTTTATAATATGAACAATTGTTTTTTTACATATTAACCAAACACTAAATTAACTAAGTAATGATTTGTCAATAAAATTTGCTAGTCCGCAAGGAGTTTGAATGTGGCTGACTTGAATTCCAATTTATCAGTGCAGTTCGATTTCATTATTCTAGTATATAAAATATGGCACTCTTAAAAATGTACTTCTATTAAATGTAAGTATTTATTAAAAAAAGTTTCAACACGCTACTGACATATTAAGTAAGTTTAAAGTGGTATAAATTTATTAAATTGGTTTTTAGGTCTTTTGTTAAAATTCGTGACAAATAGTGACCCCAGTAGCACAGCAATATTGGGGTTAAAATAATATTATATTTACATATTGGCCCTACGATGGAAACGAGAGTATTTTTTAAATTGTCCAATGTATATTTTTTATATGAATCCGATATTACAGATAAATATTGTACCAATATTCCGAATTAATATACAGGGTCCGGCAATAGTGCGTCGGGCATCTGTAGCTCCTAGAATAAAAAACTTGGGAATTTTTTTTAAGTGAAACCTAAAGTATGTACAAGGATGTATTTCAGGAAAATATTTTAACTTCTATATAGTGGCTCAAAAAAGTGTGAGTGGATCGGCATGATTTTTTTTAAATGGAACACCCTATATATTATTGCATTTTTGGCTTCCTTTCAGCTCACTTTTCATAATCCTAAGATATGAATAAATATATTTCGATAGTTTCAGAAATATTAATAAATAAGTAAAAAATATATTTTTTTCAACCTTCATTAAAAAAATTATTACAAATACCATGACTGTAGTGAAATCAAAATTATACTAGGTATTTACTTTAGATGGTCTATACTTACTTTGCTATTAATATCGTAATCTTAAATCATACAGTATGTTCAAAATTCTACGCCAAACTTTCTAAAATATAAAATAATTTTTCTTTGTTTTTTTAAATGAAACACCCTGTATATTATTTTTTATTAGATGGAGAATTAAAAAATGAACATTTTTTGTATTTAAAGTATTTCAAAATGTTTAATGGTTTCGCAGATACACGCAGTATTATTACATATGGTCTCTCAATGGTAAAATACGAGAGAAAAATCGTTGGGTGGGTTTGATTAAAATTTACTATGGAAAATGCCATATGAAATGTAAAACCGGAAATATGTGCGAAACCGTTAAAAATTTTGAAATACTCTAAATACAAAAAATGTCCATTTTTCAATTCTCCATCTATTGAAAAAATAATATAGAGGGTGTTCCATTTAAAAAAAACGAAGAAAAATTATTTGATATTTTAGAAAGTTTGGCGTAAAATTTTGAACATCCTGTATGATTTCAGATTAGCATATTTACAGCAAAGTAAGTACAGTAAGTACTCCATCTAAAGTAAATACTTAATATGGTTTTGATTTCAGGACAGCTCTTGTATTTTTAATAATTTTTTTAAGAAAGACTGAAAAATATATATTTTTTATTTATTTATTAATATCTCTGAAACTATAGAAATATATATTTACTCATATCTTAGGATTATGTAAAGTGATCTGAAAAGAAGCCAAAAATGCAATAATATACAGGGTGTTCCATTTAAAAATAATCACTCCGATCCACTCAAACTTTTTTGAGCCACCCTATAGAAGTTAAAATATTTTCCTGAAATACATCCTAGAACATACTTTAGATTTGCACTTAAACAAAATTCTTAAGTTTTTTATTCTAGGAGCTACAGATGCCCGACGCACTATTGCCGGACCCTGTATATACAGGGTGTCCCAATATTCCGTGGACATATAGAACTGCTACATATTTTTGAAATCAAAATAAGTTCATTGGACACAATTTACCTCTATACAAAAATGCTTCGTTTGTCCGTTAGAGGGCATCAAACTTATAAATCCTTCTTTTTTCAGATCGGCGCACTGAAATTTATTTAAGCAATTTGATTTAATTAATTTCGATATGTTCAGTTTCATTTAAGGATGCAATATGCAATTCTGCTGAAACTGTGATACTTAATAATATTTGATATTAATAATTCTGGAGTTAGAATTTATAGATGTATAAAATAAGATTGAATCAAATATGGAAATTACAAAATTTTCGTTTAACATTTCTATTCTTCAATTTATGTACATTGTGTATTACGATTATTGTTTTAAATTGAAGGAAGAATTGAAATATGTAATAATATACAGGGGGTTTCATTTAAAAAAAAAATTGATGTGCCACAACTTTATGACCGACCCAGTATACTTAAATTTTCTAGTAGCTAAGAGGCATTTAAAAACCCCTTATAACAATATCACAGTTTCGGCAGAATGGCATCATTAATCAAATGAAACTGAACATATCGAAATTAATTAAATCAAATTGTTTAAGTGATATTTTCAAAAGTCAATAACTCGGAAACGGTTGGTTTGAGGTACATTGTGTGTATTTCGATTTTTGCTTAGAATTGAAATATGCAATAATATACAGGGGGTTCTATTAAAAAAAAATGAAATTTAGATGTGCCACGTCTTTATGGCCGACACTGTATACATAAATTTATTACTCGCCAATAGACATTTAAAAACTCTATAATTTTTGTATTTAACTTTTTGTGGTACCTTGTATATTTTACCTAATAGTCGACCGTTTCCATATGACCGTTTCTATGAACAGTGACCGTGTATACAGGTTTTTAATTTGTTTATTACTCGCGGCAAGAGCTTTATGGTTGAAGTATGGCAACCTCGGCCCGCTCGTCGATAGACGGCGCGACGGGACGAGTCGGCAGAAAATTCAATAATGCACGCGTTCTCAATAGGCAGTGTTGCCATTCGTTGTAACTGTCGAGTTAACAAGCAGCATTTGGACGACGGGACAACGTTGTGTCACGCGACCAAACGTCGGGGCGCAACGTCGGCACAACCACGTGCCAACCCTAGTCTGCACTAGTTTGGAGAATAATTTTTGGGTCGAAACGACGTTGGATACAGACGTTGGCTAGAAGCCTAATTTAGTACAAACTGCAACGTTGTTTAAAATCCTAATTCACAGAAATACAAAACTAATATGGCGTCTAAGTCGCGTTTTATCCTAAATTGGGATAATTATAGTAAAAATATTATTTTTATGATTTAGTTAGAGACATATGTCAGATGGCAGTGAAGGAATACAAAACAAAAGTATTTAAGTGTGGAGGATGTTTGAAGATCATAATTATTGAAACACTTTAACCGACTCTGTAACTCGTTACCCAAGGCAAAAAAGTTAAACGCAAACAACTTTATTGATAAATGTATTGTTTCTACTTTGAAAAATACTAATGGGCCTTAAAATTAAAGAAGTTTTAAAAATTTTCTTGAATTTTTTTAGTAAAATGAGAATAATTTACTCGCAGTCGAAAAAATTGTTTTCGCGTGTTTTTTAGGGTCAAATATTTCAAGTTAATGTATTCAAAAAGCAGGAATTGCTATTTTAGGAACGAAACATTTTCTTATTTAACAACATGGCGGCTTTCACTTTGTTATTTTGGAGATTAAGATGGAGTAGTTCGAGTAGTCGCATACCTGGACTAATAAAGTCGCAGTTCGGCCTTAACAGGTAGTATACTAGTCGCAAGATTGCCTAATTTAGTCATCCTAGAGTCTAGCTTGTGCCGCCCTCTTTAACCTTAATAAACGAGGGAGTGGATAAAATATCGGTAATATATGTCGATGTATATTTAAATTTAGTTTTATATGTACCTTTCTTATGTCCCATTTTAATTAATTTTTTTTTATAAAAACAAAAACAGCACTGAACTGTCTGACTGAACAGAACAATGAAGTGAAAATTTAAGATTTAAGGTTATGGTTCAATACAGTTGCAAAAAGGTAGTGACTCGATGTCTTACCAACGTAAGAATAAGGAAATCTAAACAACGTTGGAATTAGTAAAACAGACGATGTTTGCATAACGTTGGAATAGGTCCTGAAACTGACGTCGGAAAACTCTATATTGTCCAACGTTGTAACTACGTTGTCCGAATCACCTAAAGATCACTTAAGCAAAAAAGGTTACAAGGCAACGTTTATTCGACGTCGCAGAAGATTCTACCTTGCTGTAGTAGTAGTCCAACGTCGGCACAACATTATAAAAATGTTTAAATTTATTTTAATACCCAAGGTAGGGAGCTAACTATTTTTTGTAACTAATCCAACGTTGTGTTTAGTAAACATGGTGGTCGCAAGTCGTGAAAATGCTACTTGGGAACCTGTATACAGGGTGTCTCAGATTTTAGTCGGGAAAATTTAATAGACTTGCAAAACTAAACCAAAAAGTCTATATCAACTTAAGTAAGTAAGATTTTTATAGCTTCCTTTTCGAGATACAGGGTGTTAAAGTTACTTAAAAAAGACAAACAAATTAAGATATTTGAAAAATTATTTAATCGATTTTGATATAACTTGTTCCGTTTGTAATACTTACTATGGGACTTAATTTGATGTAATTAGATTTAAGTTTAATGGTCAGGGGCGGCGGTGGGGCGTAATTGTTAAATTATTTTAAAGGAAAAAATAGGCACGCCACTGTTTTTTTAGAAGTTTAATATTATTTTTGGATTTATTAATTAAAAATATTATTTTTTTGTCTCCAGACTTTTTTGTCTATCTTGCTTACTTCTTGCGAAAAAAATTAAATTCATTTATTCACTCCACCCTGGACAATAAATTAAATAATAATGGTTAGTTAAAACTGTATCTCGAAAAGGAAGCTTTAAATCTTACAAGTTGATATGAACTTTTTGTTTTATTTTTGCAAGTTCTATCGTTTATTAAATTTTCCCGATTAAAATCTGAGACACCCTGTATATGTATATTATTTCTTTGTATATTTTAATATTCTGGTAGCAGACCTGTAACGTGTAAACCAATTTTTTTGGCTTGCAGTCATTTTTGACGTTATTGACAACAGCGTAAACTAAATGGCAATTTAACCTTAATTTCTTTAATTTTCTTCAGGTACCTACTTGGGTATATTTGAGAGGGTTTTTGATGTCTATGGTTAAAAGCTCCAATGTTTTGGGTGAAAGGAAAATATTAGTTAGGCCGGTTTTTGGTGGTGATTGGGGCAAGGTAGGTACATGGAGGTAAAGGAGATTATGGAATAGGTGCTGAATGGTGATTATTTTGTACTGTAGGGTATAACAGCTCATACAAATAGTTGGCTAGACAATATGCTTTTCGGGAGGTGCGAAAAACCTTATATCTTTGATTGAAGAAATAAGAAGATGCGCAACCTTATGGGCGATTTCGTGGCACAAAACCCGACCGGTAGGGTATAACAGCTCATACAAATAGTTGGCTAGACAATATGCTTTTCGGAAGGTGCGAAAAACCTTATGTAGACCGAGATGTAGCTGGCGTTACCGTCAGTCTCTCCGGGAACTTGAGATTTAGTTTAGCTCTGCGCTGATTGTCGTTTACAGCAAAGCGGATAAAGAATACTGTACAGTAGCAGACCCAAGTTCTGCTTTCAGTGGACAGAGTGGTTGCCGGAGACAGTGTTGCCAGAACTCTTTAATCTGTAGATTTACGGATTTTGGGTACAGTACATTAATAATACGGACTTTCTATCATTAAACAATTTAATATATTATATGGTGAAACAAAGAACGGCGTCAGAGTTGGCTTGGAAATGAATATCGGTGTTTTATTTCATATGTAAAATATCGTAAATGTCAATAATCGTCATTTCCAAGCCAACTAAACGACTTTTTTCGAACACACGACATATTCAGTACCTATAAAAGAATTTTTATTTTTGTTTGTTTATTCTATGTTCAACATAAATTTTCAATACAGAAACGCGGATTTTTAATTCGCATTTTTAATCCGCGTAAATATTGTCGTCAAACGTATTACATATATTACACATTTTAATATGGCAACACTGTCGCTTTCAAATCCACACCGTCTTCGATATGCCTTCGCTGGCCGAATTAGAGAAAATAAATGTTTTATACGTTGACGATTTTTGTCTCCACTGTAAAGCACTTGAGACATAAGGGGGAAATCAAATGAGCCTTGTCACGAATTCGCCCATTAGGTTGCGTATCTTCCCAATTTTTTCAATCAAGGGTCATATCTCGATGCTGCAGTTTTCTGAAAACGACACTGTAAAAACTAGTAAAAGTGTTTATAAGGATGATAACTATAGGTACTATAGGTATTACATTATGTTTATATAAAATCCAAGTTGCACAGAAAAGCAATAAATTATAGGAAAGGCATTTTTAGTAACAAAAATTATTTTATTTTTAATTTCATACCACAGATTGTTCACAGTTAACAATATTTTCACTTCTGTATAGTCACTGGATCATTGAAATCAACAATAATCTACCTATGATTTAGATAATGCTGAGAATAAACGGCCTATAATTAAGCAATTAAATAAACATTTAATGCCTATATTTATTAATATATACATATGTGGTGAAGCTTTAGGAGAAATACTTTTTCAACAAAATATAATTATTCAAAATTTAATTTGAAGCTCTTTTCTTTTGCTCGTGGAACTGTTTCATTCTGTCCTCAAGTTCCGGTCTAAAATGTCTAATTAAACCTTGGACCGGCCAAGCTGCACCATCGGCCAAGGCGCAAATTGAATGACCCTCTACTTGTTTACTGATTTCCCAGAGCATATCAATTTCTTCCGGTTTAGCGTTACCATCAACAAATCTATATATCATTTTGTTCATCCAATTAACACCTTAAAAAAACGGTTATCAGTTGATAAGGTATATTAAAATACAGGGTGGTCCGAACTGTATTCCAGAATCTTATATTCATACGACAGCATATTCTACAGATAAAAATAAGTAAAAAAGTTCGTATAAATGGATCTACTAAAATGCTTAGTTTCGGAGATACAGGGTGTAGAAGTCAATAGTAGTAGCAACGCCAATATTTGGATAAAAATTGGTGTGTAGGAGTTTTTTGACATGAAAAATTTGAAAATCAATATGACTCGTATTTGTAGGGGCCGCCACCTACACATGCGTTTTAACCAAATACCTATTAACTCTATATAGATTATCGCCTATCCCTGCAATGTGTTGGAGTTGAAGCCGAGTCAGAGACAACTAGATAACCATGTATATTTCACATAAGTCTTTCTATTAGGCAGACACTGGCGCAATAGCGCAACTCCAAGATTCCGAATATCGATTAGCCGAATTAGCCATTGTCGAACGGGAGCGCAAACGAAAACCGTACAAATGAACCGCTGATGCTAGTCTCTTATTGGTCTAGTTATCCGATCGATAAGTTAAAATCGACGCATGCGCACAACGCTTCAGTACGCCGAACAGAGCGACTTATGTAAATTTCCTCTGAAGATTTATATACCCATTTCACCGGCTCGGCTTCACAGAGTGCAGTTTGTAGTCAACATTCTTTAGTTAATAAATATATGGTTTTAATTGTTTTTAAGAGTAATAACTTTTTGTCCGTCCCTTTATGAAAGAATTACTGAGTAAAAAATATACATTTCCTTGATTTTTTACCTAAAAAATTAGTGTTGGGAAAATTCGAATTAAATAATACGACTAATTCGATAGTAAATTAAAACTAACTAATTCGAATTATCTTTTTCGATATAATCGAGATAAAAATTAGTAGTATTTTATATTATATCTGTGGTTAACCGAATTACAAATGAACATAAAACATAACCTCTTATGGACGAATACGAATATTAGTAATTAGTATAGTATTATTAGTAGTATATTTTCGTTCTGAACGAACTGAAAATTTTCACTTAAACTGATTTATAAAGGGAATCGACAAAGAAAGGAACGATCCGATATAGAAAAATCCAGAAATCATTGTTATTTCCTATACCACGTAGGAATAAATCAGTTTAAGTGAAAATTTTCATTTCGTTCAGAACGAAAGAATACTACTATTATTTGGTTCATTTCCATCTCACCCAAATTTCACCGAACACCTGCCGAACACTAAAATTAATTTTCTTTTATCTAAATAATTATTGATTGCAACTGATAAAATAAAAAGAAATACGAAAAAATACGATACTCGGCACTTTTAAATTTAAAACTTTAAATTATGGTTTAATTTATTAAACGGCTTCGGCACAGTTAATAGAATACATTGAATAAAGAATATTTTTTTTTTATTTTTTATTCAGTGATAGAATATAGGTATGGCAATGGTTCAGATTTGTTTAAAATAGCCCCTAGACGAGCACTAGCTGGGACGAATTTATTTTTTAGGTTAAATTTATAATACTACTAAATAATTCGAATTATTAATTCGATTGTGAAATATGAATTATTACTAATTATACGATGGTGAAAATAATTCGATTATTCCCATCACTATAAAAAATGTATCTTGGTAAAAACTACGCTACGGGCAACCGTTCTTAAGATATTTAGAATGGAAATAGTCAATACATGTCATTATTGAAAAAAAAATTATGAATAACAAAAAAAATGACGAAATCAGGCACACAGTGGCAATGGCGAGGAATGCAACAACAAAACTGACTAAGATAGAGAAAGTTACAGCAATCACACGAAAAACTAAACTGCGTATTGCACTTCTCATTTTCCCCATAGCTATGTATGGCCCTTGTTTATATATTCTTAAAGTTGGTCAACCTCTCGACAAAATGTGCTGCCTCTGGCGAACAAATCGCAAAGCTTTAAAAGAATGAAGCATGTGATTAGGGGCGGAGTCAAAAATATCGATTATTTGCGGTATTTCCCTCAGAGTAATGTAATAATATAGCTCGGATTTTTGCGAACTATAATAGAGTTCAGCTGATTAAGAAATTTAAACAAAACTATTATTTCATTGTTGATTTTCGATTATTTTTACTGTTATTTTCTACTTACTGGATTTACTTTTTTTTCTTACTGGATTCTAAACCGTATTTAACAAAGAAATAACAATTTTCAATATGTTGGTACATTAATGCTAATTACTGGTAATTATTAATATTTAAAAAAAGTTACATACACTTACTTTATTTCGATTTGACCCAGGGCTATAACATTTTATTTCATTCTTCGATCATTTTATTCTAAATTGAGGTTTTACGTTTTTAAGATATTTTTTTTTGAAAACAAAACGTTTATACATTCTTGATTAATTTTTTTCTTAATTAAAAATAAAACTTGGCACTTGTTTCAATAATATTATTTGACATTTAAATAAATATTATGTACTTAATACACCATTTAAATCTTTATTACACGAAATAAATCTTTCTTAGCGTAAAACATGGTCAGAGTCAAGTTTGCTTTAACTTTGTACCATATGAAAAAAAACGGCGTCCAGTTGGCAGGGAAATGACGATCGACGACATTTCCGACGGTCGACGACAGTTCCCACATAAATTTACATATAAAATGACAGCGATCTTCATTTCACAGCCATCGCTGACGCCGTTTATTTTCGATCAAGAATTATAAAAACTGAAAATATCATTATGTTTTAACTCACAAAGCCCGTTAAACCATAAAACTTTCTAGTATGTTGTTTTATTAGGAGTAAAAATTACACTTTTCGTGGCGAGACTGTAGGTTTGACATACAGCCGAAGCACAAAAGTCATTTTTATCTCGAATAGAACATGCTATTTTTTCAAACGCCACAAATAATGTTTTAAACAATTTGAAACGTTCCAAATAATATAAAAATATTAAACTCATACCTTGTAAGTAATTATCATGATACAAAAAAAACAAGGTATGATATTGCGCAGGTTGGTCACCACGTCACAGGTGATAAACGGCAATATTGGTCGGCAAGCTCCACGCGCCAATTTCAAATTTTCAAACAGATGACACATAATAAATGTGTATAATGTGTCATAACTTTTCAAATGTCCAGCTCGATGATTTTACATAACTTTAGGGGTTATTTAATTCTTCCCTATTTTAGGTCTTTTTTTATTAGTGGCAATTGAACAATACGGATATTTTGTTGTATGGCATATGACGTCACAGGCGATATGCGCAAACTGAACGAAATTGGAGACGCTATCGACCATACCTTGTTTTCAAGTTTTCTTTGTACCATGAGTAATTATATATCGAGAAACTATGGTTACGGCTCGTTGAATTTGAGACTTATGTCATTTTAATAATATATTTTCATACTTTTATGCTTAGGCGTAAAGTGCTTTACTTTTATGCCTAGGCGTTAAAATGACTTTTTTATATTGTCAATCACGTCGCAAAAATTAATACTTTTGTGACGTTTGAAAAAAAAATAATATTTTGAAACTAACTGGTATATTTTTCTGCCACAACAAAGTTATTATACAGTGATAAATGATAAGATCATATTGAAATACGCTACTGGGTAAAAAAAATTGGCTAAATTTTATCAATAATACTCCATTTCAAAAGTTATTTTCCAAAATAATTAATATTTTTTAATAATTGATTGCAATTAATATTATTTGACTAGTTTAATTTGATTAATTAATAAGACTAGATTAATTTCATTTAAAATAAATTTGATCAGATTTTTTTCGTATATTCAACTACCAGAAAAGTAGAAGGAAGATTATAATGTATCTATCACAATATTTAAAAGAACTACTACAATAATTATTAGAAGAAAAACAAAAAGAAAAAAATACCCAAATACCTTCACCTTCTACTCAACTACAAAATAAATGAATATAATCTCTTACAAGAACACTACACAAACTACTTCTTGTATTCTACACTAAACAAATTATCAAACTTATTAATTAATCAAACATAAAGAAAAATTAACCAAATTACCCCTTCACCTACTACTTAACTTCAAAATAAAATATAAAAACACTACTAAATTTCTTCTGGTAGTCTACACTAAACATTATAATCAAACTTAATAAATTAATCTAATTTTACATTACAACTACAAAGAAACAAGAAAATATTTTAAAACTACAAGAAATAAAACTTCGATACGTGCGACCAGTATAATAGATCAAGCGGACAAAGAATATAAAATACTTTAAAATGTGCATTCAGAAAGAAAAAATATCTCGAAAATTATCTAAACAAACATTTTTTTTTCTTATCAGTGAAAAACATCGACCTCGTCGGCCTTGCGGAATTTGTCGGGTATTTACAATGGTCGAATTGTATAATTACCAGCTTTTATAGCATATCTAATAGACAAAAAGTATCTGGTCGATTAGTACCAATTGGCACAGTCCGAAAATTATCGATTTTTATTTTCTCTGTTTTTATTGGCCGCTTCAAAATTCAGAGTAACAAAAAATATTTTTCTCTAGTAAAAGACTGTGAAATACGCCCCGCCATCTGGTGCTTTACATCCATAAACGTCTTAGGTTGAGCTACTTTAAAAATTCATATACAAGGGTATGGCTCTGAAACCTGGACACTAAAGGAAACTGATAAACAAAGAATAAACGCCGTGGAGAGGTGGGTATATCGACGACTGCTGTGGATACCATGGACGGCTCATCGAACAAACATTTCCACTATTAAACATACCCATTATTAAAAATAAGAACTAAAAATCGAGACATATCTGGTCACAAAATTAAATAAATCAATCCTACGATATTTTGGCCATATTGCCAGGAGTGACACCTCGATGGAGAGACTGATAGTGGAGAGACTGGAAGGCGATCACGTGGGAAGGTCACCTAAGAGGTGGGTAGACCAAGCCAAGACCCTTGTGGGCCACAGCCTGCCTGAAGCCTCACATATGGCGCAGTGTCGAACAATTTGGTCCAAGGAAGTGAGTGGAATCAATACATGATGTCACCATACTCTCACGTAGTGTGAAGGACTGAAGAGAGATTGACAAAAAATAAACATGTTGAGTAAATAGTTATTTGACTGAAAGTATAAATTTGGGAACTTTCTATTATTTATTTTCTAAATTAATCATAATTTTTTTTAGAAAAAATGATAAAACAGTTTCTGTTGAACATTTGACATAAAAACATTTCAAATTTATGATTTCAGTCTAATAACTACTTGTATTTAGTCAACATGTGTAATTTATGTCAACGATGACAGGTATTGATAATTTTGATTCCAAATATCTCGAGAACCATTACTCTTAGCGATTTTTACCAAGAGATCTTTTTTTACGTTTTTTTACTCAGTAGTTTTATACAGGTACGTACGAAAAGTTATTACTCTTCAAACCAGTTAAAAAGTATGTAGGAGGTGCCCTCTATAAGTGAGAGTCATATTGATATCAAAATCCAATATCTCACGTCAAAAAACTCCCAGGCACCAATTTTCATCTAAATATTGCCGCCACTTCAGAAATTATTTGGAAAAAATACAAATAAAAATGAAACTCCTAAAAAAATAAAAAAATTTCTCCGAAACTAAACGCATTTTAGGACATACATTTATACCAACCTTTTTACTTATTTTAATTTGTAGAATATGCTGCTGAAGTTTCCATAATACAGTTCACCCCCAGAAAATACTTAAATATATATTCTACAAATAAGTTTGTATAGTGAAAAACTCATCTTTAAGATGGGTTAATATTCAGTGGCGTGCAATGCAAATCAAAGCAGGGTAGGCAAAAATTGACAAAATAATAAAATAAGAATGCATAAATAATCATTTAAGTAATCAAAATAATTATTTTTTATATATGTAAATCAGAAAAAAAATCAGATTTGACATCACTGTACAGGACAGCAGTCGACACGTGACGCCGACAAAATTAAACTAGGCGTTACATCCCTATTCTATTTCTTTCTACACACTAGCCTTCCAGTCATTGCGGTCTGTAAAGTATGCGGTAGATTCCTATTAGACACAATACAAATTAAATGAATCTGCTTTTGCGTAAATCATATGGAGAGTCTTTATAGAAAATTTTATATGGGAATTGCGCAATAACGTAGTAGTCGAAAATTATTTTAATATATCTTAAGTAGATTTCTAGAATAAGAATAAGATAAAAAATACTTAATGCGAATATTTGATGGATTAGTAATAAGTTATAATGTAAAGATATATAACATGATCTTATGATATGCCTGGGGTATGCAACTTTTGCCTATATTATATGCACGCCACTGATTTGTATGCAACTGTCAGGCGTCGTCCATCACACCAGTCTTTTTAAGGTATTCCTGTAATTTTTTGAATAAACCAATAAAATTTCATGACATGAATGACGGACGACGGAATACCAATGCATATAAACCCGCAATTAAGCGAGTGTCTTATAAGCTGCCCATATATGGAAAGGCCCGGCCTTCGGACTCGGCCTTGAGGCTGGGTCCGAACAGATTATTAACACACTAACCGCCAAGCATGAGTTAACTTGTTGTTTATCCACCACTAGAAGCCAGCCACAAGTTATCTCATTCCTGACCTGACAACTATTCTTCAGCGCCCAACACGGGTAAATGTTGGCGTTAGATATAGAAAATTTTTAAATTTCAACCAATAATTTTTCCTAATATACAAATATTATCCAAAAACAGATTTTCTATTTACCTTCTCGGCAAGGAGTACATTGTCCACAAGACTCATGCTTATAAAACATTATCAATCTAGCAATAGCCTTTACAATATCAGTTTGTTTATTCATGACAATAATAGCAGCAGTACCCAAACTAGTTTGAGCAGCTACCAGTCCATCAAAATCCATTAGAACATCTTCACACACTCTGAAATAAACAATTTCATTAAATACAATAAGTCTTAAAAAAGTGATATTGTACTTTTTGGGTATGAGTGGGGTAGAAGATCCTCCTGGGATTATAGCTAATAAATTATCCCAACCACCCTGAACTCCACCGGCATGAATTTCAATAAGTTCCTTTAGTGGAATACTCATTTCTTCTTCTACTGTACATGGTGTATTTACATGTCCAGAAATATTAAACAGTTTTGTTCCAGAATTACGTGTTCTTCCAAACGAAGCAAACCAAGCACCTCCTCTGCGGCAGATAGACTACACACAAAAAGTTTATCAGAAAACAAATAGAAAAATATTTTTTAAAATACACAAAAGTCACTTACTGGAGAAACTGCAATTGTTTCAACATTATTTACTGTTGTGGGACATCCAAATACACCAACATCTGCTGGGAAGGGTGGTTTTAGTCTAGGTTTTCCTTGTTTTCCTTCAATCGATTCAATTAATGCTGTTTCCTCTCCACAAATATAAGCACCAGCTCCTCTGTGCATAAATACATCAAAATCATAACCTGACCCGCAGGCATTTTTTCCTAAAAAGCCTGCTTGATATGCCTATAGAAAAAAAGATACTGGATATTGATTAAAGTTACAAATATAATGATTAACATTACCTCTGCTATAGCCACTTGCATATTTGATGCTTCATTATAAAACTCCCCTCTAATATAAATGTAAGCAGCTTTAGCACCTATTGCTCTTCCAGCAATCAGACATCCCTCTACAAGTTTATGAGGATCGTGTCTCATTATTTCTCTATCTTTACAAGTTCCCGGTTCACCCTCATCAGCATTTACAACTAAATATTTTGGCCGGCCATCACCAGGTCTGTTCATGAAAGACCACTTCATTCCTGTAGGAAAACCTGCACCTCCTCTTCCACGAAGACCTGATGTTTTCAGTTCATCTGAAAATAAGTATTATAATTCCATTTCACTATATATACCTTTTTGAAAATACTTACTAATGATCCAGTCAGCTCCTTTTCCTAATATTTCTTTAGTTTTGTACCAATCTCCTCGTTTAATTGCCCCTTTAAGTCGCCAATCATGTTTTCCATATAAATTTGTAAATATTCTATCTTCATCTGCTAATGGTCCAAACTTGGTTTTTGTTTGGGGTGGAGGTGTACCTGGTGGAGGGCCTGAGTAAAATGCTATGGAGGCATTATTAGATGTTGCAACCAAGAATCCTAAAGAAAATACATTTTTTTAATTTAATAAAGAACTTGATTAATTAATTAATAAAGAACTTGATTGAAGTCAAGAAGGATATTGTGTATGGTCATTAGTATTGTCATGAAACTGAATTATGTAACAATATATAACCAACAAGAATTGTTCTAGTTACAAAACATTTATCATAAAGCATCTGAAAATTATTATGGAGGTATGACAAGTTTAAAATTCTTACCAGTTTGATTTTTTGTTAAATTTATTATACGAAATAAATTGCCAGCCATAGCCATAACGAAAAATATTAGCCCACTGACAGATTATGACATTTATGATAATTTTGCGCAAGGATATATAGAATAAGGATATTCGACTGGCCCAAAAAAAACGTGCCGTATTTTGTCGAGGAAGACGATTTCATCACGACCAATGGGCGTCGAGTATTTGAAATTGAAAACATATAAATTGACGGTAACCTATGTTTTTTGACTCATTTCACTGACAAATGTGATGAGATTGTTATTGTAATTTATAGATCCAAAATCCAAACGTTTTTTGAATAAATAATGTATTTTAAAGTTATTTCCTAGAGGTTTGGTTTGGCCTTCTATATTCTGGTATTTGTCTACTAATAAATAATATCTTATTTTGTATTTCGATGTATGGAAATCCGCAATTTTTGTATCTGAAGCCGCAAAGAAATTTCGCTCTATAGTGAGAAAAATGTTATATCTTTTTAAACGCGTAGAATAACAAAATTTCTTATTTCAGATGTTCTAAATGTGAGTGCTTAATGTCAAAAATTAAAATATATACTTGAAATATTTCAAGTTATACCCTTTGCCCTTTGGAAGTAAACAAATATTGAAGAAAGTGTTGTGCCTTCACAGAATTTAAATTGGCATTAGGAATAGATTTCCTTGATTTAGTAATGATATTGCTCATAGAAATTGATAATATACTATTTTATATTCACTCGTTCAAGTGCTGATCTATTTTTTAAATTGAATATTTATGTATGTATTATGTATAACACGATATAAATAATTTAAGGACATAAGAAATTAAAATTTCAAGTGCCAATATTGATTATTTTTCCAGTTTTATTCAAATATATTGAAATTAATATGGAAACAAAAGTTCATAAATATTAGTTTGAAAAGCCATGTCAGAAGAGTAGGATTAAAGACAAAGTATTAAGGTAACATATATTTGCATAAAGTTTTAATAACACTGACAATTTTATTTGTTATTTGTTTATGTATTAATTAAAATTTAGTTGCAATTTATTTCATATTCTAATATTTTTGAGAAAATTTTACTTAGATACATACCTGAATATTATGCTGCTTTTTTATTTTAAAGTGTGCCGACTGTGCTGTTATTTTTATACTAGTAATATTGTATACTGTAGGTATCGTATTCATATATAGTTATATATATATATATCAGTAGTATAGATACTTACTTTCTTTCTATGTGTACTTATATCCTTTATAGTCTTTCTAAGTGCATATAATACTACTTTTTTAAGAGAAGGCAGTTTTTAATAATCTATTGTTAATTCCCCTAATTCTGTGTCCCCTGGTTCTGCTATACAACAATTATATATTTTTTTATCATTACTGATTTTAAAAGTTTCTTTTCAAAGAATTTGACCATATATTTTTTTTTCAGAGTAATTGGGCTGTTCCTGAACAATATTGAATATAAATATTCAAAAATATGATTGATAACTGCATATCCTACTAAGTAGATCAATACCAAAATCCCATTAGAGAAATAAGTTAAAAATATGTTTTACTTGTATAATTTTCTTGCTATTTGTCCACCATTATTTGACTTAGAAATTAAATAGTCAAAAAGAATTTAGTACCAGTTTTTATTTCCCAAAAAAATTGTTAAATAATTACATATTGCTTAAGATACAGTATATTATATTGTGTTTATAGTTGATAATTCTAGTTCTTAGTTGTTTATAGTTGATAATTAACAATATTTCTGATGTTAGATATTATATTAGATAAAAAATTTAATTACCAATAGCTACCTACCTATGTAGCTGCAGATTATATATTGTGTAGTAGGTACTGTATAATTCTTTAGTTCAAGAAACAAATATCAGTACAAGTATATAACCAAAAAAATGTTGATGCAAATTCTTTGTATAACATACATACCCCTATGGTATTCAACTTTTCATTGTTCTTTTAATTAGATACACAATAAGCACATTAATTCGTTTATTAAACAACCAAAACTCAACTACTTAAATTCACAATATAAATATCACAATAAATGTATAAGCTTTGATCAATTCCTATTATTAATACCTGACGACTTCATACTTTATAACTACCAATGGCTATCCTACTAACACACTAGCCAACTAATAATAAATCTGTTCTAAAAAAATACAACATAAAGACATCGTTATTGCAATAATATAGAAATATATTCCATATATCATTAACTACCTAGGTATAAATACAATACCCACATCTTCTTTTACGCGAATAGTGCGTTAGGAGGCAGAAATATTGCCTGCATTGTACATCGTACAAACATTTCTCTTTCAAAGGGTCTAAATGTTTTGTCTTTTTACTGTGTCCCTGTAATATGTTATCAATTAACAACAGTTATCAAATATGACCTGGACAATAATAATTGTTTTAACTTTTTTTCAAACTAAACTCTTTAAACAAACTATATAAATAAAATTTATCTCATAACCTAACTTGCTGCTAGAATTTCTTTCTTGTTATTCTATGTTCCTGTATTGTTATTCTTCACATTATCAATTTCTATGAGCAATATCATTACTAAATCAAGGAAATCTATTCTAATGCCAATTTAAATTCTGTGAAGGCACAACACTTTCTTCAGTATTTGTTTACTTCCAAAATGTCAAAGCATATAACTTGAAATAATATATCAAGTATATATTTAAATTTTGACATATGCACTCACATTTAGAAATGCACTCACATTTAGAACATCTGAAATAAGAAATTTTTTGTAATTCTACACGTCTAAAAGATATAATAACATTTTTCTCACTATAGAGCAGAAATTTCTTTGCTGCTTCAGATACAAAACTTGGATTTCCATACATCGAAATACAAAATAAGATATTATTTATTAGTAGACAAATACCAGAATATAGAAGGCCACAAACCAAACTCTAGGAAATAACTTTAAAATACATTATTTTTTCAAAAACGTTTTGATCTATAAATTACAATAATAATCACATCACATCTGTCAGTGAAATGAGTCAAAAAACATAGGTTACCGTCAATTTATATGTTTTCAATTTCAAATACTCGACGCTCATTGGTCGTGACGAAATCGTCTTCCTCGACAAAATACGGCATATTTTCCTACATAGCCCGCTATAGGGAGTTGAATATCCTTCTTCTATATATCCTTGATTTTGCGTTTGACCTTGGTTTGACATGTTTGTCAAATTTGACGTAGTCGGCTATAATACCATAGATTAATGATTGGGCAGAAAAAATGCCTTTTCTGAGGTTAATATCAGGGTTGGAGTACTCCAAATATTTAAAGCTAAACGCATTCACTTTTGGTTCTGATCATCTGACTGCAACGTCACTGTAGGACCATATAAAAATATGGTAATGGTGTGGATCCGGTGGCTGACCTTGAGACGAGTTTTTGCTGCATATAGTCACAGACACTACGCATGCGCACATCTTCGATGTTGCCAGATTGCAAGTTATTTTGGAATTATTTTCAGTAGAAAACAAATATGTGCTTTTCAGTGTTTTTTTGTCAATATATACCGTATAATCGAAAAAACGGCGTCCCGTTGGCTGGGAAATGACGATTGAGGACATTTCCCATATAAAATGACAGAGATCTTCATTTCATAGTCATCGCTGACGATATTTTTTTTCAATCATAGTACGCGGTATATTATTCCCATATAACACACAATATCCGCAGGATATTCATAGAATGTCGAAATATCCCACTACAAGATCATCCTGCTAAAGACATCTATACGATATTCTCTAGACATTCTGAAATCCCGTAGATGTCTTAGAACAGGATATCCTATGGATATATCTGTCGTATATCTTATGTACATCTAGCTGAGATGTTCAAATATGCTCAAGATAATAAAATATCCTAATAATATTGTCTAGATATTTAAGAAAAATAAATAATTTACTAGTTTTTATATTACATAAAATGCAATAAATCATACTTTATGGGATTATACCTTAAAACATAATATTTTTATTTCTTCACGTGAATTTTTACTAGGCATTAAGTTCCTAGGATTCACCATTTCCAGTAAATACATCGAATTTAAAAAACCCGCGCAAAAAAATTCCCATAACTCATTTTGACAGTTGGGTGTTTACGGATTTATGACGCAGACGCAGTGATCAGTGGTCAGAGACGCTATGATTTCGACGTGTTTTGTGCTTTCGATTTTCCCGCTGATTTTATTGTTTCCATTCTGTTTACCGCCAAATTACCCTCTTTCCATGTGCTTTCGATCGTTATCATTTATGGTTATCATATGGTTATCATTTACAAGTTGTTGCGGTATACCGTTGTTGCTGTTTTTGTAGTTCATAAACATAAAGGTTAGTAATACAACATTCGAATACTTTTTAATATAATATAATTATTCATCATGCCCAAATTTAAAAAAAGTAAATCTGCTTTTTACCGAGCTCTGCAGCAAGATTCCCTAAATAATGTGACTGCTGGTATTGCTAAAGTTATTTCAAACCTAGAAACTGCTCAGTCATCAGATTTTGAGAATCATGCTCGCAGCTCTGTTGATCATTGCCCCCATCCTGAGCCTGAGACTGAGTCTGAGCCTGAGCCTGAGCCTGAGCCAGAGCCTGAGCCATTATCTTCTATGATTGATGTTTCCTTAAATGCCGATAAAGAGGGTACTGGGGTTACCATTCCTTATACTTATGGGTCATTAGAGGTGCCATTTGAGATATTTAGTGACGATACTGATATAGAATCTGAAAATGATTCCATTGAAGATTCACTCTTTGTCGGAGATCCTAACGAGCAAGCTTGCCTTTCCTCCCAGAATGAAAGCACTAATATGCCAGAGCAATTGCAGCAATGGGCTCTTTCAAATAATGTTACTAATATGGCATTATCAAATCTATTAAAACTTTTAAAACCACATTTTTCAAATTTACCATTAGAGGCAAGAACTCTATTAAAAACACCTAGAAAAACTTTGACCAGGTTGATGGATCCCGGTGAGTTTTATTACTTTGGTCTAGAAAAGCAGATTTTAAAACTTCTCCAAAGACAATATAAAACATTTTCTAAAAAAATCACAACCTGTGAAATATTAGTAAACGTAGATGGTTTGCCATTAAGCAAAAGTTCTGGGAGTCAGTTATACCCAATTTTGATTTCTCTGTTCGATTCAAATTTTGTCACTGTTGTTGGACTATATCATGGATATGAGAAACCTAAACAGTCTAATGATTTATTAAAGGAGTTTGTTGACGAAGCCGCCATTCTTTCTAATAATGGGGTCTGTTTCATGAATAGTAGAATTTCTTTCAAAATTAAAGGTTTTATATGTGATGCTCCTGCAAAATCTTTTGTTCGTTATACAAAAAATCATAATGCTTATAATTCATGCACTAAATGTTGTCAAGAAGGATCTTATATAAATAACCGTATTTGTTTTCCTGATTTAGAATTTATTAAACGTTCAGATGAAGATTTTTTGCTACTACGTCAAGAGGAGCATCACACAGGAACATCTATTCTATGTAATTTACCCAGTTTTGGTTTAGTTTCCTCATTTCCATTAGATTCTATGCACCTAATATTTCTGGGGGTTATGAAAAAACTACTTGTCACATTGTGGTGTGCAGGAAAACCACCTTATAAATTATCAAGTAGAAAATTGTCAGCCATATCAGAAAATTTATTGCGATTAAAAGAACACATTCCATTAGAATTTTGTAGAAAGCCAAGAGCTTTAAATGAAGTTAAAAGGTGGAAGGCTACTGAATTCCGACAATTTTTGCTATATACAGGACCATTGGTAACCAAAAGTACTTTGGAAAAAAAATATTATCAGCATTTTATGGTTTTACATTCAGCAGTGTTTATATTATCTAGTTCAGACCTCACAGAACCTAAATTAATCTATGCAGAGAGTCTTTTAAAATACTTTGTTAAAAAGTTTTATTTCCTTTATTCTGTGGAATATATGTCGCATAACATCCATAACTTGTTGCATTTGGCTGACGATTGTCGGCAATTTGGAAATTTAAACAAATTTAGTGCCTTTCAATTTGAGAATTTTTTACAAATTTTAAAGAAGTTAATAAGAAAATCTGATAAACCGCTACAACAAATCATAAACCGTATAACTGAAATTGATAATGTTGAATTAGGGATTCCCTTTTTCAAAAATAAACATATTCAACCAAGAACTCACTCTTCAGGACCCCTTCCTAATGGCTGTTATGATCCACAATACACTGAACATTTTTTTCCAAATTTTACATTGAAATTAGTATCACCAGATAATTGTTGCCGTTTAGCAAATGGAAGCATTTTTATTGTTGAGAATTTTGTTTCAAGTCTTAACAAGGAGATTAAGGTGGTAGGAAGAAAATTCAAAAATGTTTGTGATTTTTATAAAAAACCATGTCCCTCGTCAGAACTTGGAGTTTTTCAAGTGTCAGAATTGGATAACCATTTAGAAATTTGGTTATTAAGTGAGATTACATCAAAATATGTTAAATTGCCAAGTTCTAACAACAGTTTTATTGTTTTTCCTTTATTGCATATTTAAGTCAATTTTGGCACTTTCAAGTATAAAGCCCCGTTCACAGAACTTTGTATTGTCGCCAGCGACACGTCAAAAAATCCAATGAGTAATGAGATAGAAGTGTCTAGCCCCAGCAGGGAACTATTAAGCTTGACCAATCAGGTTGATTAGCGTGGTTATTTGGAAGGTGTTAATTCATTTGTGTTTGTCAAAAATTCTAACATGATTGGTCGGGCTTAATAGTTGCCTGCTGGGGCTAGACACAAGTTAATGAGATTTGTAAAAAATTCAAACAGCTGTCAATTTCAAATTTATACACCTCTCGTTGATTCTTTGAAGTGTCAACCAGTGTTGTAGCCAGCGACCCAACGTCTTCTCAGAACGACGTCGTGTCGCCAGCTACACTGATTGACACTTCAAACGACCAATGGGAGCTGTACTAAATTTAAAATTGACAGCTGTTTGAATTTTCTGCAAATCTGATTGGTTCTTTTTGACGTGTCGCTCGACAATACAAAGTTCTGAGAACGAGGCTGAGAATCATGCAACGTCGTTCTGAGAACGGGGCTTAAATATCTATATTTTTTCTTTCTAAAAAAATACATTTTAATTATACATGGTGTTCCTAGATATCATGTATGTATTAAACTAGGTGATTTTTTGGCTTTGGCTTTTAAAGGTGAGTCAAAAACCTACTTTTATAGAAAGTTTGATATCTTGAAAGCCATACAATTTGAGACCTATCTTTACATGAACTTTTGATCATAAAATAAGGTAAAGAACCACCCCCTTTCATATATACAGGGTATCTTATTTTGGTTGAGACTGGGTTTTTTGGTTATTAGTGGATTATGTCCATATATAGAGCTGAACCAAAACAAGACACCCTCTATATGACATTTAGGAACACCCTGTATAATTATGTAATAATTCCAATAATTCTTTTATTGGAATTCTATTTCTATTATTTAACTATTTAAAGTGATTAAAAAATAGTATCTCGATTTATTTCCATATATTGATTTTTATTTGTTACATATAATTGTACTGATGTTTGTTGGGTATCTGCCAGTGGGTTTTAGTAGGTTGTATAGTGTATGATGTATAGTGTATATGGTTGCATGTCTCTGTGGTATTTTTGTATTTTAGCAATATCAGAATCATGGTGTTAGCATGGCATATTGTGTTATTCATAGATGAAGAGAGGGTGGAGACCTTCCCAAAATGTTGGGTGATAAACAATAACTTGGGTTACTGGCCTAACACAAAAAAACTTAGTACTATAACAGCATTAATTAAGGGCTGCTCTTTACCCGAAAAGGATACCTGGGATCTTGTAAAAATAAGAATAATTGGAAAGAATAAAATTTATGGTACAGGTTTACACTAGCAATATTTTGTTAAATCTATATGTATATGGTATATATGTTATGATTAAGGTCTAAAATAAAGCATGTATGTGTGTTAATCTCAATATTACCTGGTTAATATCACAACATAAAGGAAAACAAAACCAAACCCAAACATTAACTCGTTAATGGCGATATTATAATAATTAATATCAATTATTGATATTAACTCCATTTTAGACTTTAGCCATAACATATATATACAATATACAGGGTATTACTTTTAGATGATTATTCACAAGCGTCTCGTGCCGCCAGCAAGGCTTGCTTTAAAACTGACATTGAATCTACTGACTGCGACGAAAATATTCAAACTAATTCCTCAAAGGGTAGACCAATCATCCGGAATAAAAGATATTTAATCTCAGACGACGATATGGTTGAATCAAGTGACAGTGAGGTTGAAAGTAGTGCCTCCTCATTGAAGTCAATTCCATCTAAGCCTTTGACAGGTACCTATCTGTTTTTATATTTATCTGCAATTAGTATACAGGCTGTAAATAGAAGTGTGAAATAATTCAGGTGTTATATGCCCTAATGTTTAGGGCATATTATATTCATATGAAATATTTTCTTAGAACGAAGTATAAAGAATCATCTATATTTTTTCATTTTTATTTACACCCTGCATATTTATGGACAGCCTCTTTTTTTACATTCTGCATATGTTTTAGGTAAAGAAACCAAAAAGCAAGAAAGGCAGATAGCTAGGAGCCAAGACTTCAGGCAAGAATCTGCAACTTCTCAAGAGGATACTCTTTTTAGAAATAGAAATGAAGGTATTGTTATTTTTTTAATATTACTATAGTAATAGAAAGTTTTCTATTTGCACTATTTGATCACTTACTTACTTGATGTTTTTATATCAGTTTTCTTCAGATTATGCATACTTCTAATCTGTTTCAGACTCCACTTCAAAAATTAGAGAGAAAGAGCCAATTAATAGAGAGGCACATGGCAAAAGCTATGAAGGTAAGGTGCTTTCAAGTAACATTTATTTTGCGTTTCATTCTAGATCTTTAGAAGTCAATGGAATTTTATTAAAATATTTGGTTTTAGAGATATTGACAAAAATGTGCTCTAGAATTTCATATTTAACGCTATTAACCAAGGGTATAGCAGAGGACACTACCCTCATAAAGTTACAAATGGAAAATTTACAGATATCAAATCCATCGCAAGCTACCCCTAATGAAGAAGTATATAACTTTCCATTCGACAACACTGATTCATTCGAGGAGTTTGAAAAAACCCTTGAAAAGAGGGAGGCATATTCAAATTTCGTAAGTTGGCCTTATTTAGTATATACCAGAAGTTTAATGTATTATAACTTTATAGATATGAAGAAATTGTCAAATACATGACAGATTTTTTTTTTCAGGTAAATTTCATCTCACGTATAGGTGGAGAGTCAGCTTATGAGTTCATTAAAAGGGTTATGGGTCGCCTGGTGACAGATGAGGTAGCAGCAAAATATTCTTTTACAGGCCACAAAGGCAAAAGGCCAATAGGCCAGTTTTTAATCACGAAGGCATTAAAAGGTATGTATTTTATTTTGTTGTTGTGTCATAAGTGTCATGTTAAAGAACAGTGTCTCTAATTTTAGTACTTTCTTTTAAGTAAAGCCAAATCAAACATAAAATGGTCATTTGCTATTTTTTTTATGCTTTTTCTATCACTTTAATAATCGTTTCGGAAATTTTAGGCTTTTTTTTAAGATTAATAAAAAAAATATGAAATTATAAATAATAAATAATTTTTAGATGCTTCTAGAAATGTAAACTACTTAAAACATTGCACTGAAAATGATCTAGAAAAAAAATTAAGAGACTGGCTTAGGCATGCTCCAGCTAGAGCGAATAAACGTCAAGGGGTTCCTCCTAATAATCCTCCTCCGCCAGAAGAGGATGAATGATTTTGATAATTATTTAATGTTACTGTAAAATAAATTTAAAAATTATAAATATTTATTTATAATTAATAATTATAAATAAAAAATTAATTAGCAAAAAATAAATAACTCTATTATTTGTTAGAACACCGTGATACACAGAATATTATTTAATTTAAATAAGTGAAGAATTATTTTCTATTATTAAATGCAAAATGTTTACCAGCAACCTGAATACTTAAGATATCCAAATGCTAGAGATCAATATTTACATTTTATGCCATATAGGAAAAAATTCTGGACTGCCCCTAATGTCATCTTTTTAGTTTCTATGAAAATTTTTCAAATATATCAATTTAATTTTTGCACACACCCACATTTTGGCTTAGCCTCAAAGCTATACTAATACTGTTAGTGATATATAATTTGAAATATCTTAACTCATACAAATAGTTCTAAATTTTCATACAAAATATGAATTGACATAATATGGCATGGCTATTAATAGATATACATATTGTGTCAAAAAATTTTATTTTTTTTGCAGTGCAGTGGCGAAATACCCATAAAGGATTTTTTTGGAAAATTTTTTTTTTATAATTAAGAAGTATTGTCAAATAACAGTCCTATCAGAATGTCCTAAAAATATTCTATAATGCTCCTAAAATCATCTCTATATTATCCTATAAATATCCCAAATAATCGTAAAAGGCTTGCCTAGGGATGTCTTGAAGATGACTTTTTTTGTCCCATTTGGATATCCTATAAATATCCTTCTCTGGTTTTTGGATATCCCTAAGATATTTACTATATCCTTGGTGGATATTCCCAAGATATTTATAGGATTCAGAATGTCCTAAAAATATTCTATAATGCTCCTAACATCATCCCTATATTATCCTATAAATATCCCAAATAATCGTAAAAGGCTTGCCTAGGGATGTCTTGAAGATGACTTTTTTTGTCCCACTTGGATATCCCATAAATATCCTCCTCTGGTTTTTGGATATCCCTAAGATATTTACTATATCCTTGGTGGATATCCTCAAGATATCTATAGGATTGTGTTGTGTTATATGGGTTTATATTATAATTTTAATATTTCGCACAATACGTGAACGCTTATTATGTATTTTCATAGTAAATAAAATTAAATAGAAATAAAACTCTAGATTCGTATAATTAATCTAATTGCTCTAGATAATTGTGCTACGTTTAAAAAGGGCTTTACTAAAAATTCGGGAAATTAAAAAGGATGTGTCCAAGTTTTTTCTTTTTTTTTAATTTTTAAATGCTGTAGCTCCATGTCATGTTCATAATAGTTTTTTTTAACATTCTATCAAAACTCGTGGAGGAGGCCTTAAAAGGCCTTTTAGCCTCCGTAATTAAAATTATACAATCAGCTTCAGCAACATTAACGGTTATCTTGTTTAATTCTGCTTATACATATATTGCATTAATTTTTCTGCAACCTTAAGATTTCTCTATTCTTACACCTAATTTACGTGATTTTCTTAGCATATATGATTTATAAACCATATTTTTCCTAATTGAAGGATGGAATAGGATATGCAAAATTCAGATATTTTACCTTTATTTTCCAGACAAAGCATAATATAGTATTAAGATTAAGACATAACAAATATTATAAAGAAAGATCTTAATATAAATTACAAACTAACTAGGTCTTAGTTTGGTCTTATATAAAAACGCAGGTATAAAACTAATAAGATCAAAAACTCAAGCCTTCACCATATTGTCAAGATTTGGCATTATAGGAAACAAGAAATTACAGTAAATTAAGAAAATAATATCAAAGTACACGATATTAAATACTGTAATGTATTCTACGACACAAACCATCTCCCTTCTAAAGAGAAAAAGATAAAACATAAAGCTTATTTTAGTCTTATCACCACACTCTTCGATAAAATATATGTCTAAAATTGCTATTAATCCACTAACTTCATATTTTTAAAAATTATGATACAAACATTATAATCAAAGTAATATAATATATTAGTAATAATTAATATATATTATATTAGTAACATATAGGTGAAATGTTACCTCTCATCGAGAGGTAATCTCCCATTGACGTATATTGTTCTATAAGACTAGTCATGGTAGTACTTCAATACATCAATACATATAATTAAAACTATTGTTGCCTGTAAATAACTAGAAATTAAATAACTTGAAAGAAATAAAATAATTCTGATAAGTTTAAAACCATTAAGAAAAAATCCGTGAATGATAATTTTTAATTCTAATGTAAATATATAAATAAATGTTATTATTATTACAATTTTATATATTCAATTTTATATATCATTCCTTATTTTTGGATATCAAGATAAATCTGAAATTATAAAATTAATTATAGAATTTATATTATTATTTATTAGTACTCAAAAAAAAAATTCAACTGCAAATAATTCGAAAATAAACTGCAATTTGGCAACATCGACGATGTGCACTTGCGTAGTATCGATGATCAAATGCAGCAAATATGGGCTTCAAGGTCAGCCACCGGATCCACACCTTTACCAAAAATATTCAACAGTAACAGTTTAGCGCTTATAAAAACAAGCAACATATCTAACTAATATAGGCTAATATATAAAATCCTTAAATGACTGACATACTCATTAATCACGATCCTGCTCAAACCACTCAACCAATGCCGCCTCTAATAGAACAGCCTTGGGCGAGATTTATGACGTGACGCTAGTTAGATACTACGGATTAATAATATGTTGTAGAATACATGGAAAACATAATTATTCCTCAGATTTTTGGTTTGTATTTTAAAAATAATATAGTTTACATGAAATATACATAATATACAGTTAATAACGACAACATATATACCTATTTATATTAATAAATACTTTGGCAAATAAACTATGAACCATACAAATGCAGCAAATGTTTTACAATATACAAATAACGTATTACATAAGATATTGGGTAAAATGTAAATATATTTTAAATTTTAGGGTTTGAAAATCGATCTAATTTAACAAAAAACATTCAATATCTACTAATAGTGATGTATTATTATTTGCATTCACAAAATTTATATGTATATTTTGCAAGTATCAATGTTCGAAAAATTATATTTACAAATAATACAATATCATCTAAAAAAGGCGTCAGCGATGGCTATGAAATGAAGATCGCTGGCATTTTATATGTAAAATTATTCTAAAATTTTTTGATTTTCTTGGGATTTTAGGTTCGGGAAGAAACACTGATTTAAGTTTTCATTTGGGTTTTCATTATTTTTATTTGGTTTAAAAAAAAACGTTTCGGCTAACTATAGCCTTCATCAGTGTTGTGTCATATGAAAAAAAAATAGTGTCGAATATAATCTAAAAATATAAAATATTCACACCACATAATGTTTACTGCAATTAATAAACTAATATAAACTTATCAAAAAGATGACCACATATTTTTTAGAATTATTATTCTTAACACTAAAACTATCTACATTGACTATGGAGTACGCAGTAAACATTATGTGGTGCGTGGTGTGAATATTTTATATGTAATTTTTTGGATTATATTCGACACTATTTTTTTCATATGACACAACACTGATGAAGCCTAAAACGTTTTTTTTAAATCAAATAAAAATAATGAAAAACCAAATGAAAACTTAATCAGCGTTTTTCCCGAACCTAAATCCCAAGAAAATCAAAAAATTTAGAATATTTAGAAACAAGGTTCAAGAATATCAAATTTTCCAAGATTGTAAAATTCTAGTTAATTATTTTATGTGTACAATTATTTAGGGAATGTCATCGATGTTCATTTCCAAGCCAACTAAACGTCGATTTTTTTCGATGATACGGTATAATTCTTACATAAAATGTAAATAACATTCGACCAATTAAAACAAAGAAATATGAATTTCATAGTATTTTTAGTAACACCTTTATTCTTAAAACTTAATTTTGTATTGCAAATATACCAATTTTATTCATATTGTATTCAGCCATCACTTAAATATTTGATATTAATTTGGTATTATAAATAATCAACACTATTCAGTAAAAATTACTGAACAAATACCTATATGTTATGCTTTACATACATTATATTATCAAACAAAAACACATTCTTCTTTTAAACTTTATCATTCTTGTCTTTACAAAAATCTTTTTTAATTTTGAACTCAAAATAATAATCTTTTTCATGATCTTTAATACGCATATTCTTTATTTTTCCCTAGATCATAATAATGTTTACCTTACATGTTGTTTATCTTTACGTGTTTGAATCATCGAAGCCATAGACTTAAAATAAAATATAGACCTTGAGCATCTTTATTTTTCCCTAGATCATAATAATACCTACTTTACATGTTTATCTTACGTGTTTGAATCTAATGAAGCCATAGACTTCAAATAAAAATATAGACTGAGCATCTCATTCATAAATAGCTGGAACATGCGGTCAGACACTGTCTTGTTATTGTTGTGTTATTGTTTTTAGGTTATAACGAGTGCGACACGAGCGATAGATAGGTTGTCTCTGTCGTAACGGTCGTTCCCTGACGACTCTGCCGAGAAACACAACACTGTCTTTCGTTTCTCGGCACACCTGAACTCTCCGTATCATATAAAGCCGGGTATTTTTTTATTTTAATGAAGCTATAATTAAATTAAAATATATCGTATTTAAACTTTTTATATTTTATTAAGATTTAGGACAGGTTTTTAAATAAACGTTTAGAAAAACAATTTAGAGTCCAAAAGGATAAAAATAATAAAATACACGTTATAGAAGAAATTTTATAATCGAAATTAGGTAATTTTTGAAATTAATAATAAATTATTAATTTTAGTCAAACATTTACAACCCCTAATATTAATCAAAACAGGATCTATTCCACAGATATAATAGAATCGGCGACAGGAGAGAAAAAAAATATGATTGTTGTATTTTTTTTTCTGGTTAAATGATGTCTTATTATGTAAATTAGAGAAAACATAAATCTGTTCCATTAAAGCAAGGGAAGGTGATAGGAAGTGGATAAAACAAAAACTACATTTATTTAACTCGGTACCTCAATGTCTTTATTATACCGGGTGCGTCTCAAAAGTGGCTCATCCCCATAATTTTTTTATATTTTCAAATAAAA